GTTGATCATGAATAATGATATCAGACGCTTTCGTGAGCTATCGTGGTGTGGCCATGTCGCCTCTGAAAAAGAATAGATATTTCAGTGGGTATTACCCGGTAAAATAAAATCGTTAAAGCTTAATCATCACCATTCTATTTATTGTACACATGCCACGCTATTTCTTTAAGCGTCTGAATTCGTTCCCCTTGTTGAGTAGGTCCTGCCAAGTTTCCTACCCCCTTGTCCACGACTCACTTGCCCATGGTGTTTTTTAATGTGGTGAAGTCCACTGAGGGCCATCTGATAACACACACACATTATGGAAAAGCAACAAAAACAATCCAGCATATCCAGGGTTGTAATATTAACTGCAAAAATAACCGATGGCCTATTGTTCCTGAAAAATAGTTCGTGGAATTAGACCTCACGCATATTGGTGAATGTAGATATTTTCTTTCGCGATTAAGACATTATTTGGTGATGCTGCTATGAAGAAGGGCCATTATAATTATGTATTGTTTGATTTAAGGCCACAGTGTTATTGACGAATGTGTTGAGGGTTTTTTGTTTGTTAGTGATGATATCCATCTTATCATTGAACCGTTTTGGGGGTGAGACATAAACTGTCAGATTTGGTTACTTCCATCTCGAATCTTGCACTCTGGAGGTGGAGTTTGTGTCGTGATGAGATCCCGTTGGTTCTAGAAACACTAAATTATTAACTTTTCTTCTTACCTGTGGTCTTAATGTAGTTGTTCTCTTAGTCGAGTCGACTAAACCAGTCAAACATTTAGTCACTGTTATTATATGTTGGTGTGATGGGAAACTATTTCCCCCCATCTCAATATCATAACTGTTCATCACTGCATCACTGCTCGATCCCTGTACAGCGTCCATCCGAATGTGAATAGATGTCCAGTAACCCTAAATTGATGAATCCACCGGTACACGTGGTCTACTATGCAGTCACGTGAGTCTATGGGTTCAATCCATGGTCATCGTTAACTCCATTGATAATTAATATTACGTGTGATTCATTACATTAAGCCTACACCGGCTATACTTTGATAGACGTCGTCACACCTTTCAGGAACGCATCCCCGACGTTAACCGGGCTATTACCATATTTCGGAATCCTTATAAATAAATATAACGAACACGCACAAACAAACACACACACACACACCTGTGTGCGCTTCTGAGCATCTTTGGCCGTCCGTTGTTTTTAGTTCCCTCCATTATTTCTGGGTTGGCAAGTCACGCGCACACAGATTCACCTGGAGCGGGCGAGCACGTTACTAGCAGCCCTCCGTTATTGCATTACGTTAACGACTGCGCCTTTATTCAATAATGCATCACGGGCAGGACGCACAGCCCGTGTCAAATCACAGGCGTGGGTTTCCATCACGAACCTCATTACATTAGAAAACGATAAAAATATCTCTCAAAATCCACGTCGATACAACACAACCTCTGCCACTATATAAAAAAAAAACTAATTGGGGACGTTTAAACAGGACAGGCATTAATTTTTGAGCTCTCGTAAATTAGGAAGCTACATCATGCAAATTGTATAACTTGACGTATAAACTCTTTTTTTCAGATCTCTTATCAATTTTAATATCGCGGTGGCTAAGCACAGGGACAAATTGCCCGAAGACATCAAGCGGCCACCAATTATTAAGGGTTCCAGTAGATGAGTGTTAAAATAGTTCTTGCATTGAGAGGCAAGAACATGGAGGAACAGACGATGGGGAGGGAAGTCTAAAGTGTAGTGTGAGGGGAAGGAGCAGGCAGATGTTTTCACACAGCATGGACTAGACAACAAATTCCGTGTAACTTGGTGAAAATGGTAAGCGGCTCGGTGGATATATTGGTAATTATAATTACATACCACGGTGGATAGGAAGCTCATTATTTGGGTAGGTAAGGAAGGTTGATAACAGGATATGTAGATATGTAATTGGGTATATGTTAACTGTATGTATGCAGGTAGGTGAAGGTAGGTATGTGCTCATGTAGCAAATGGATATGTGTAGACAGGTAGGATGATTGACAGGTTGAAATCTGTGTGGATTTGTATGTGAGTAAGTGGTAGCTGGCTGGGTGGTTATGTAGATAGGTATACAGATGGGTCATATTAATTTCCATCTATTAAAATAATATTTTACCAGGTAAGGCCCATTGAGCTAAAGAGCTGTATTTTCTAAAGCGACCTGGCAACCACAAATGGTAGCCCAACCAAGTGGATTATCTTTTGATTTAAAGCTTTCGTGACTGCAAGAATTCATATTCTTAGTTCTTTCGGTAAAGTCACGTAGAAGGGAAACAATAAAATAAAAAAGAACCAAGAATAAGTGGATTATCGTTACGTGGACATTTAGAGCAGCCAAATTCCTTCTCAAGGTGAGACATCTCACTCATCAGCCGTGTTCTCGCCGCTGCTGGATGAAGGCCTTCCCACGTCATCACCATATCTCCTGGTCCTGCAATGCCACAATCCATCTTGTGTGTGTGCATGAGCCGCCCCTTATCACTTCTCTTTGACAATGTTTTCCTTAGGCTGCCATTCCACCTTTCGTCTTCACCGTTGACCGTTATCCCTTTCAGTGACCTATCCAACCCCCATTAATGTTTTTTTCAATCAATATTCAATATTACAGTCCGTTGCTGCAGTTATCCAGGTATCATAATCAAAGGCCTTAATAAAAACTAAAGTTCTGTGTATTGGAAATGTTCAGCACAAACCAGGAACAACTGCGCAGAGTTGCCAACATGAACAGTAATGAAAAAACAACTCGTAAGAGGAGTCGGCAAAGGAGATAGGTTCTCAAAAAGACCATTCACAGTGATATTTGTATAAATAAGGGGGTAAAGATAAATGGTGAAGTATTAACCACCTCACATTGTCTGCAAACGTTACAGAAGCTGATGGTAATGAACGACGGAAATGATTGAAGCAAACTAGATTTGGCGCTTTCGTGGCTGCAGGAATTACTTTTTGGTTCTTTCGGTAAAGTCACGTAGAAAGAGAAAATAAGACATTAAATAATAGCATACGACGTTTCGTATGCTATTATTTAGCAATCTTTGGAAGAACGTAATCAACCAGGTAAGGTGTTGACTGTTATGTTAGCCGACTATCTGTGTTGTATTGCATTATATTTCTAAGTTTACTAGGTTATTTTTCTCTTTCATTTGTACCTGATGATGATTGCTTGTGTTGCAATCGAAACGTCGTAAGCTATTATTTTATTTATTATTTTCTCTTTCTACGTGACTTTACCGAAATAACCAAAGAGTGTCTACATCATTAGCCCTCCTTTGCCAGTACCAAAATGTAATATAATAGGGGTTTTCCCCTTTTTTCTAGCAACAAAACTGAAACCTTTTTTTTACAAGGATTCATGTCTGCATTAACCACAATACCTGCAGTCAAAATGCAAACAAAAAACATACTATGATAATATATGCATTGTCCTTGAAACTGGTGTGGACCAATCAGTTTCAAGGACAATGCATATATTATCATATTGTTTTTTGTTTGCATTTTGACTGCAGGTATTGTGGTTAATGCAGACATGAATCCTTGTAAAAAAAGGTTTCAGTTTTGTTGCCAGAAAAAAAGGGGGAAAAACCCTATTATAGCCAAAGAGCGATTGAAGCACTTTAACTAAGAAGGCTGCAAAGGGGGGCTAAAGATAAAACAAAATAAAAAATAAAGACAATTTAACACGCAGGTTTTCGCGACAAATATTACGATGCATTGATGATTTTTGAGTCATATCACGTCAGTAAAATGTGTGTCATGCACCCTCCACCACCCAACACAGCCAGTGTTGGCAGATTTCTGGCAACGGCCTGGCGATGCTGGCTGTAACGACCAGGGAAACTTTCGATTTAAAGTTTTCGTGACTGCAAGGATTCATCTTCTTTGGTTCTTTCGGTAAAGTCACGTAGAATGAGAATAAAATAATCAATTAATAAAATAAAATAACAATTAAATTCTCACGACGTTTCGGCCACAACACAAGTGGCCTTCTTCACTTTTGTAGTGCGTATTTAACGTGGCGCTGCACTCTGATGTCGTAGGAGAAAACATTTTTTAAAAGTCGTCCCGACAGTTCTGTTCTTTCACCTGAAGAAGGCTACTTGTGTTGTGGCCGAAACGTCGTGAGAATTTGATTGTCTTATTTTATTATTTTATTCTCATTCTACGTGACTTTACCGAAAGAACCAAAGAATACACATTTATATTTACGCGATTTAACCCAATATTTGTGTTGTATTATTATATTAAACGCATGTTTTATACATCTGACCAATGTGGCTCCTGAACCATATCGCTGCTGCCACCACGCGTAATAACCGGAACGTATCACTCCGTTGCAGAGTAAATGCCCGGGTGCAATTCCCATTCGATGTCCTTACTTGTTTTGTTTGTTGCAGATTTTAACGTTTCGTCTCTGATTGTCAGCTTCACGATCCCCGGCGGACGTGGTAGTTTCAGGCAACTCTGGTGGGGGGTGGCGGTGCTGTAGTGGTTAGCGCTACGCTGCGCTACGAACCCGGCCACCCGAGTTCCATTCCCGCTCACGGATAACAGCACCGGTGACGATTATCTGAAACGGTCCTGGGCCTCCCCTAGGTCGACTCAGCCTTAAATGAGTACCTGGTGCGGTGTGTTAACATCGCCACTGGGGAGACAAAGGCGGCCGGGCGTGGTTGCTGGCCACCCACCCCCTCGTGTGCCGTTCCGGCCTTCATAGGTGCTCGCTAACAGCACTTGCCCCTACAGTCTGTTACAGGCTACACGGGGGATCTTTGTCTTTGTTTGGGGGGGAGGGATGGTGGTGATGGGGATGGCTGGTTGTAGTGGGGGGTGGGAGGAGGAGGAGGTGTGGGAGGGGGGGGTCGTGGGAGGGGGGGGTCGTGGGAGGGGGGGGTCGTGGGAGGGGGGGGTCGTGGGAGGGGGGGGGTCGTGGGAGGGGGGGGGTCGTGGGAGGGGGGGGTCGTGACGTCACGCGCGACGCCATTTTATTCCGCCCTGACATAGCGGGCCCCGCGTAGCAAGCAGCGTGAGCCGGCGCCTGCTGCAGCTGCTGCTGCTTCTGGTGGTGGTGCGAGGCGTCGCGAGGCGTCGCGAACGTTCCCCGCCAGCGCGGACTCATCGCGACCCCGCGACTCTCCCTCGGTGGGGTCGACGGAACCGCCAGCAGCCATGGCGCTCAAGATCGTCAAGGGGAGCCTGGATCGCATGTTCGACAAGAACCTGCAGGATTTAGTGCGCGGCATTCGCAATCACAAGGAGGAGGAGGTGAGGCGCTGGGCCCTTGACACCCTCCCCACCACCACCACCCCACCCCGGCGAGACGCCACCTCGCACGGTTGGGGGTTTCAGGAAATGTCGGAGGCTGTCGCGACGGCCTAGCGGGACTCCGCGAGGACGTGGTCGTGTGCTTGTGCTAACGCCATGTGCAGTGTTTACAGTCAACAAAGTGATTGTTTTTGTTGTTGTTGTGTGGTTGCCCCTTCGCCTCTGTGTACTGGTACGGGCTGTCGTTCGTGGGGTTCGATTTCGTGTTTTTTGTTGTCCCGCCGAGTATCTGCTTATTAATGGAGCTGTCATTGAAGTCGCCACTCGCTTTGTACCGTTGCCGATAATGCAGTGTCATTTGGTTTCTAATTAATCTCATTGTGATACAGCTGCGGATACACTACACGCACAGTCGCGTTTTTAGAATATGCAATGTAATGAGCGTTTAGGTGCAATAAGATACGTACTGTACACACGCCCACAATGTACTAAACCATACTACTATATTGTCTATTATCACATTTAGTTATAGAGGCAGTTTGCCAAATCTGCCTCCTAAATGCCACACAGAATCTTAATAGCGCATTTACGGGGAGTGGTGATCTAAGGAATACGTACAGGCAGTATATATTATATAAGTGTAATTTGGATGATAGCAATTCACAGTTGTGCATTTTACAATTTGGCTACACATTCTACGATGTATATACTATATATTTGTTAGTTGCATTTTGGAATGAGCTGATGCATCCAGTGTACCATAGATTTGATGCTCGTGTTTTATAACCACAGTGAACAGTGTATACTACATGTGGTACAGTGAGGGAAAAAAGTATTTGATCCCCTGCTGATTTTGTACGTTTGCCCACTGACAAACAAAGAAATGATCAGTCTGTAATTTTAATGGTAGGTTCATTTGAACAGTGAGAGACAGAATAACGACAAAAAAATACAGAAAAACGCATGTCAAAAATGTTATAAATTGATTTGCATTTTAATGAGGGAAATAAGTATTTGACCCCTCTGCAAAACATGACTTAGTACTTGGAGGCAAAACCCTTGTTGGCAATCACAGAGGTCAGACGTTTCTTGTAGTTGGCCACCAGGTTTGCACACATCTCAGGAGGGATTTTGTCCCACTCCTCTTTGCAGATCTTCTCCAAGTCATTAAGGTTTCGAGGCTGACGTTTGTCAACTCGAACCTTCAGCTCCCTCCACAGATTTTCTATGGGATTAAGGTCTGGAGACTGGCTAGGCTACTCCAGGACCTTAATGTGCTTCTTCTTGAGCCACTCCTTTGTTGCCTTGGCCGTGTGTTTTGGGTCATTGTCATGCTGAAGTACCCATCCACGACCCATTTTCAATGCCCTGGCTGAGGGAAGGAGGTTCTCACCCAAGATTTGACAGTACATGGCCCCGTCCATCGTCCCTTTGATGCGGTGAAGTTGTCCTGTCCCCTTAGCAGAAAAACACCCCCAAAGCATAATGTTTCTACCTCCATGTTTGACGGTGGGGATAGTGTTCTTGGGGTCATAGGCAGCATTCCTCCTTCTCCAAACATGGCGAGTTTAGTTGATGCCAAAGAGCTCCATTTTGGTCTCATCTGACCACAACACTTTCACCCAGTTGTCCTCTGAATCATTCAGATGTTCATTGGCAAACTTCAGACGGGCATGTATATGTGCTTTCTTGAGCAGGGGGACCTTGCGGGCGCTGCAGGATTTCAGTCCTTCACGGCGTAGTGTTACCAATTGTTTTCTTGGTGACTATGGTCCCAGCTGCCTTGAGATCATTGACAATATCCTCCCGTGTAGTTCTGGGCTGATTCCTCACCGTTCTCGTGATCATTGCAACTCCACGAGGTGAGATCTTGCATGGAGCCCCAGGCCGGGGGAGATTGACAGTTCTTTTGTGTTTCTTCCATTTGCCAATAATCGCACCAACTGTTGTCACCTTCTCACCAAGCTGCTTGGCAATGGTCTTGTAGCCCATTCCAGACTTGTGTAGGTCTACAATCTTGTCCCTGACATCCTTGGAGAGCTCTTTGGTCTTGCCCATGATGGAGAGTTTGGAATCTGATTGATTGCTTCTGTGGATAGGTCTCTTTTATACAGGTAACAAGTTGAGATCAGGAGCACTCCCTTTAAGAGTGTGCTCCTAATCTCAGCTCTTTACCTGTATAAAATACACCTGGGAGCCAGAAATCTTTCTTATTGAGAGGGAGTCAAATACTTATTTCCCCTCATTAAAATATAAATCAATTTATAACATTTTTGACATGCGTTTTTCTGGATTTTGTTGTTATTCTGTCTCACTGTTCAAATAAACTTATCATTAAAATTATAGACTGATCATTTCTGGGTCAGTGGGCAAACGTACAAAATCAGCAGGGGATCAAATACTTTTTGCCCTCACTGTATAATGCAGAGTCGGGTTTCTGATCTGTCACTACGGATTGCTATCAACTCCCATATCGTGTGGGTGTCTTTGTGCGTACAGCGTTTATATCAACAAAGGAATTGGTCACATTAGGCCCACCCTATATTGCATTGAGACTCAATTGAGTCTTACATGGGTTAAACATAATTTGATATGTTTTAAGCAGATATTAATTGGCATTGAATATTTTCCCGAGGCCCCCCGGGACACCTCTGGTTTTAATTAGGCCCTGGTTTTAACAATGTGCAGTACGTATTACAGCATGCACATATGATGATGCTTTGTGTATACCGTATATACGATCTGTGTTGGTTAAGGCGTGTGGGTGGTAAATACATGGTAGAATATAAGTACCGTATTGTATGGGAAGTACAACCCCAGATTGTGTTACACTTATCGCCACCCGGAGCCGGACCAGCCTGATGGAAGTTCTGGACGGTCAAATCGCTTGCGTCACACAAAATGGCGTGAGCAGGCCCTCATCCAGCAGTAGATTGGCAAAGGGCTGTAGGAGATGCATGTGGTAAGATGTAGTAAAACATTTGTGCACCATGCAAACGTGTAGTCTCTTATTCAGCTGCTTTAGCTCTTTCTGAACCAGTGGCTGAATTTTATATTTATTTTTTGGTTTTTTTTTTTTTAATCAGCTATTGCCCACAGATGTGTAACTTCTGGGACTGACATGCTGCATTTGATGGAGAGAGGGCGACCCTTGTGTGTGAATTCCACGTGTCGTCTTCACCCCCACCACCCAAACGTGTGATTGACTCGGCTGTCATTCCCTCCAGCCAAGCGAGCCTCTTTCATACTCACGAGCACACGATTTAGGGATTCAACTTCGCCACTCCGTTGCAGCCATAGAGTACAGCTGCCCCCTGATTGTAATAAAAAAAACGTTTCTTTTTCATTCTTAAACTACGTATAGCAATTTGTTCTTGAGAAACACGTTTTTTTACGTAATCGCACAACTGTTAATCTTTTCTACAAATGAAAGCCAAGTAGTGACCCAATATATTTTTGAGTTAATGATAACTCACAAGGCAATGGCTCAGAACTTTCATATTTTATTAGGTGTACTATACAGTTGAACACGTAGGCTTTCGTGACCAATATCACGGAACGAATCCGGAGGATTTCTCCAAATCTGGCTGTCTGCCTGATGATGTTAGTTGTAATTACTGACGAAACGTCGTACTCTGTAAATGTTGTGGATTTGCTCTCCAACACACCGGTGTGCTGTACTATTAACGAATTAGCAAGTTCTGTTTACGTGACAAACCTTACTAGCTGGCTGTGTCGGGTGGTGGCGGGTTTAACAACACATTTATATTTATGCGATCTAACCCAAAAAAACCTATTATGTATGTATGTATACAGTTTACTACATACACTTGCTAATCCAATTAAAGCAATTGAATTTTGTATGCAACGTAGCACGTTTTATCATGCACACTTCAACTTAATTGTGGGCTTTATATCATCAATAAATATCTGGATTCACACATACAATGTGTTTCCTTATTGGACGTTAATATTTTACCTGATCCCAGCCACATAAATTATTTGCTGCATTCGTTGGCAGTCTTACATAAACACATCATCAAGATGCATTTCCACAATCTCTCATCTGAGAAAGCTAGAAGGAAGCATTCATGTAACTGTCCATCCACCTGAACTACAGTTCAATTAACATCCCAATATAAATGTTATGGGTAAGTACAATGTATCCCAAGACCCTAGCTGTTTGTATGTGTGTCTTCAAAATCCATCAGTAGTAATTTAAATCTGAACCTCATGCTGGACCTCCCACAAAGTGCACCTCAGTCTAGTGTGCTGTGTGATCATCACGACTCGAAATGAAGGCAGCCGGCCATGCGAGTTCCTGACCACATCAACATCCCCGTTATACTTTGCCAGAGCAAATTTCATCAACAGCGATTTTTTTTTTTCACTGAGTAATTCTCTGGCATAGCTTCCCAAGCACATTCAGATCATTGTGAGTTCAGTACCCCATTGAGGCTCAATGCAGGCCATCATCTTCCCCACGTTAAAAAATAATAATAAGTGCGAATCATAACGGACACAATGTATTTGACGTTTTACTCGCACAAGTCAGAGGTGCAAATCCTGGGGGTTCACGAGAACAGCTTTGTGGGAAAGCAGCAGTGGTTGTCATGTGAAGATACTGTCCCCTACATTAGATTTGCATCATCGCAAACACTTGCTGAGGACCATCATTTGGAGTAGAGCACCTCTCATCACCTATTTGAGTGGGGAGGAAGGGGGGGCATTTGTGGACTTTGAACGGGCACCTGCTCCCACAGTCTGCAGTGCTGAAAGGGGGGGGGGTGCTTTTGTGTGTTTACGTGTGCGTGTGTTTGCAGGCAAAGTTCGTCGCTCAGTGCATCGAGGAGATTAAGCACGAATTGAAGCAGGACAACATCAATGTGAAGGGGAACGCGGTGGCAAAGCTTGCCTACGTACGTAGCGTGCATGTGCCAAAGAGGAAAATGCACCGCATTCGCTGGAGATTGTTGTTCTTTGGTGTCGTGGCCTGGTTTATTTAACTTCAGTCAAACTGTCTCCCCCCCCCCCTGAAACGGGCAATGGGCTGGTGCTTATCTATTTTGGCAGGCCTAAGCCACTGGAGGAAATTACACATTTCTGTGACAGTCCACTCTAGAATGGCCACCGTTGGCTTCCCAAAGTGGTACTAATTTTCTTTTTTCCTGGAGGGAGATTAGGATTGGTCAACTCCCAACTTGTTTGAAAGAGGCAGCCTTTTGATTTTGAGTTTCACACTAGTCATCGTGCCACACGTCCATTTTAATGAGGGAATGAAAATGCTTCTTAAATGTAGGCATCTCCGCAAGCTCTTCAATTAATGTATATTTTAATTATTGCAATTTAATATTATAACTGACATTTTAATGCCATTGCGAAATAGCATTTTAATTTTACAGTAATTTTGTGTCTGCATTTTCATAAACGCATAATAACATATCTTGCACTGGATATTCATGAAAACAAGGAGGATCTCTGTCAATAAATTAATTTAAATGTAATACACTGGTCACAAGTGAACATGCTTGACACCACAGGGCCCAATTTTGTAAATGAAACACTACACACAGACAACGCAGGCACTAACTTGTGGACTTTCCCCAACTCTCCGCATTCGTCATGCAGCTCCAGATGCTGGGATATGATGTGAGCTGGGGCGCTTTCAACATCATCGAAGTCATGAGTTCAGGAAAATTCACGCACAAGGTACTGCCCGCCTGTCTCCCGGTGATGTAACCAGTCGGAAACCTTATGCCTTGTATCGTTAATGTTTGATCTTAATGGGTGGATTATCCGGGTTGTGGATTAACCGTGCTCATTTGTGCCTTTTTGCTTGCACGCCGGTTTACTCTTTGGCTGATTCTCTCCGAGAGCCAGTATCTCGGTTCCCGCGTGACTGGAAATTCTGTTGGCCAGTAAACCATTTAAGAAGCAATAAAAACGGATGTCACATTGTCTTCGGACCCATTCTGTGTGTTAAAAATAAATGTGTTTCTGTAGCCTGTATATGTGTTTCGTGGTGTTATTATATTATCTGGCCCATCCCTCCGCCCATTACCTTGGACATATCCTGAGTTGACTGTTTGCACAGCTAACAAGTTGTCATTGTGGAGCCACACCTGTTATCCAGCTCTCTGGATGAAAGGGTTGGTGGATCCACGTACATGTGTGAATCTCCCAAACCCTGCTGGCTGTCAAGTTGGCCAATAGAATAGAAGTGAATTCGTGACCTTGTCTGTTTTCAATCAATGAGTGTTAGCCCTCTTAATTGTGGGTTTCACTGAGTTAATAGGGTTTTCACCGCATGAAAAGCACTTATTGAAAATAAATTTGATAAACATCTCAACCCAGAAGCTTCCTGAAAAAGAGGCTTGAGGCTTATCGAGATTTTATTGGATAGTGAACATTATTCAATTGGATATACTTTTTGGGGGTTGATTGCTCCTTATCTGAGAAAAATGGGGCAAAAGTGGCTCTACATTTGGTAATGATACTTCATGTTAACGTTAGTTTATGAACATAACATTGTCACAAATTACCTTATTTATGCTTTGTGTATTTATTTCAGTTCACAGAGCCAGACTAAAGCACCCTCAGCATTATTATTCTTCATTCACAATTCCTGAGATTCAAATAGTGTGACTGGGTACATTCATAATAGTTTCTAAGCTCCACTGCCAGCCAAGTCACCAGTGCTGTGTTTACTTTGCTGTCTTTTACTTGCTAGTAGTCTCTGTAGACAATTTTAGATGTGAGCTGTTTTTGGGGCTGAGTTTGCCTAGGATAGGTCCACACCAGCTACACCTACAAAGTGCAATTGGCAGCTCATGATGTGCATGACTCATGGATATAGCCGGAGAGGTTATAGAGTGGCTTTGCTGTCCAGCCTGCCACTGCTCCACTCATGATAAATAGCCAGAGTAGGCAGCATATGACATAGTGACTAATGGTTATGTATAGTGAACATTTTATTTTGGAATAAAAATTCTCATCAATCGAGCTGGTAAATGTCAATTTAATATTTGCAGTGTGTGACGTGGCAGAATGAATGAATGGTGCAGTGTGCATGCTCTCCGGCATTTGCTGTTATAAATAAGCCGCCGTCGTAATGGCAATGAAAGCAGCAGTACAAGGGGAAGCATTTGTCTTTGATCAGCTCTGGTGTGGTGCTACACAGGGGACCAATGCATTTCCCCAGCATTGTGTCAAATGACTCGCAAGCACCGACTCTAATACAACTCCATTCCGGACGGCTCGTTGGGCCATTCCAGATTTTGGTTTTCATCTGGTTCCAATGGACGGTGGGTAAAAAGAGGAAAATTCAGAAACACTTGCGTATTTCTGTGCACGCCAGTGTGCCACTGTCAAGTCCCAGATGTGCTGCAGTATGTTTTAATTGACCCAGACAATGAAGTAAAATAATTAGCCGATATCTATAAAAAACTATTAAATAGATACCTAGACATTGAAATGAAACCGTTTACAGACATTTCGATTTAAAGCTTTCGTGACTGCAAGGATTCATCTTCTTTGGTTCTTTCGGTAAAGTCACGTAGAATGAGAATAAAATAATAAAATAGCAATAAAATTCTCACGACGTTTCGGCCACAACGCAAGCGGCCGTCTTCAGGTGAAAGGTACAGACCTGTCGGGACGACAGAGCTTCAATGAACAATGTTAAGATTCGTAGCGACTTTTAAGCTGGTTGTGAGAAGTGAGGCACCTTGACAAAGGGGTTTACATATCAAATAGCTGAGGGATTAGCTTGTGACTGGTCACAGGAATGGCTATGTTAAAGTCAAAACCTACACATCTAAATTAATGGTTTAATTTAGACAGCTAAATTAAACCATTAACATACAATCAAATTAATTAACAAATACATACACAGACTTCAACATTAATACATTAAGTAGACAAATAGGCATTGACATGTACACAGGAGATCGACACAGAAATTCAAATAAAACCATGGAATAATTTAAGACAGCCATCCTAACATGCACTTACTAATTAAACACACAGACACACGGCGCCCTGACTGACACACAGCAGCTGATTAATCCACTGCTGTTCGAAGAGTCCACAGTGATATTTTGGTTTGGTGTGCCGCGATCGGCGAGCACGTGAGAAAGCGTGCCGTGGAATGAGAGCGTTTGAGAAGCACTCCTCTGGAGGACCGCTCCACCTCCATCCACACCGATAACAGAGAACTTAATGTGCCTCTGACTGTTGTCTTCTGATCACTGGCCATGCAGAGACTTTTTCTTCTTCTTGATATATCCCTTTTTATTTTGCTGCTCTTGATTGTGGGAAGGGCCTGTCCTTGCGGCAGAGCCCTGCGCTTAGCATACGTAATGGGTGCCACGGCGGCGAGATGTAAACTATCTCGCCAGGTATGCAGGAAGTCGTGAGTTCGATCCCAACCCTGACGCCTGTATCTTTGGAGTTTGTATGTCTCTCCCTGTGGTCGCGTGGATTTTTCTCCGGGTCCTCCTGTTTTTCCCTCCACATTTACACACATGCGTTTACAATATTTGCTATAAATTTCCACATGGTAAGCCACTTCGTTGAGCTATCATTTGTGGCCAGGTCGCTTCTGAATAAGAGCTGTATAGCTCAGTGGTCCTTACCTGGTTTAACCAAATAAATATATGGACTATTCCCAGTGTTTGGCCACGGACTATCGCATGTAACTTTCTCACCCGCCCATACTGGACATTTGTCAAAAAGAGCTTGATAGCTCATCAGATTCCTCCAGTCTAAATACATATTCTGATGTTCTATGTTTGGAGGGTCCAGCAGGCCCCACTGATGGCCTGTGCTTAGCCGAAGCGGTGTCTGGCGGCTGCACCCCATACAGGTACTGGTTGAGGCCCAGCTGGAAGGCTGCCTTATCGGCAACCCCGTAGGTGTCCCCCCCCCCCCCCCCCCCGCGTGTATCCACGGACTTCATGGCCAGCCCTAGTGGACACCCAGAGACCCCTCGTGGCACACAGGGCTCGTGTCCACCTTAGCGATAAGAGTCTGGGCAGCAGCATGCTGCAGGGAACATTGGCGATGGTAAGGACAATAAAGTGTATGCCCTCCGCCACCGTGTTGTGCTGATATTTCTACGAGCAGTGTGGGAGGTGGCTAGTACCCCTTTTCCATATATAGTGTCGGGGAAGACGAGCGGCGCAGCATGCTGTGCAATTTCGCCCCGGGGCCACTCATACGACGCTCCTGGGCGCGTGCAATTGCCTGACAGTCTGCAGTGAAGCTGGCGGGCCTGCCGAAGCAGGCCCAGTGCAGGCGTGGGAGGTTCTGGCTCCACTGGGTTTGATGACCTTTGCGGTTGAGCTGTACACGCGCATCCACGTAGGTGGCGTCTGCTGGCCCAGTGGCACCCTCATTTTCTACGCCTTTGTTTCAGCAGTCCGTAATAAAATCTCAATTGGTGGATAGAGGAGAGCCAAGCCACAACATTTACAATCTGAGTACTCAAATTGTAATTGTTGTGGCTTGGCTCTCCAACACACCGGTGTGCTGTACTAGCGACGAATTGGCCACGTTCTGTTTACGTGACAACCCTTACTAGTTGGCTGTGTCGGGTGGTGGCGGGTTTTAATGACACTTTTATATATTTACGCGATCTAAGCCAAAAAACTTGTTATGGCTGATATTGGTCACGAAAGCCTACGTGTTAAACTAGATATTGGACATCACTCCAGGGTACACCACTTGGGCAGTCCCCTTCCAGACCTAGTTATGAGACAGCTGCCAACAAGTGGGGTTGGGGGACTCACCTGGAGGGGGTTCCTATTCAGGGGCAGTTGAATAGCACAGGCTGCAGCTGACGCTGATAGTGGGTGTCGATCCATATAAACTGTTTAGACATTTTTTTTTGGCAGGTAAGGCCCCACTGAGCTATGTAGTTCTTTTTCAGAAGCGACCTGGCCACAAATTATAGTGGCTTATCACGTGCACATTTATTGCAGCCAAATACTCTAAATGCATGCTGATTATAAATGTGGAGGGAAAAACTGGAGTACACGGAGAAAAATCCAAACGACCACTCCAAAGATACAGGCGTCAGGGTTGGCATTGAACCCACGACCTTCTGCATACCAGGTAAGGGAGATAACATCTTGCCACGGTGGTGCCCCAACACCATGACCGTAGCCATGATAAACCACCAGAGGTTTGAGCAGTTTCAGTGTTTAATACAGATGGCCTGGGGAATTGTAACATGAGCAAAGGCCTGGGGTGTCTCCCAGTCCTCCGTCTACAGCGCAAGGGCCTCTGCAACTGAGCCGCAGGCTGTTTCAGTTTGGGCTGATTGGGTCTGGTGGAGTGGGAGCAACACCTAGAGGCTATTTAGCAGATATATGGCCAGGAGGGGTTCTGGCTCTAAATCTCTTCATGCAGTGGTGACTTTGTAATTTTTTTGCTCAGAATGTGCTCATTTGTAAGACTGCCACCTGCGCCAGGGCATTGTCGTCTTCCGTCGTAATTTAATTTTGTATTGACTGTTGGAACTGCCTGGCTGTACAATGGATGGATTTTTGTCGGCCGTTCCAGCAACATGGCTTTCTTAAAAGGTTAAGTTTCCTCTGTGCACATCTGAGAAGGATATGACTGATGGGGGTGGCAGAAGAAGGGGGTGTGGATGTTCAAAAAGTCAGGCGGATGAAGGGAGTAAACCCAGGGATATGAAAGTGACCGGCAAGTCTTCTGGGTGTCGGCAGTGAGTTTCTTCACCCCAAAGTTGCCTTGGTGTGAACTTACTTGACCAGTCTCACTTTTTGCACCAAGTATAGAAACGAGTCGCCAGCTGACCGCGTGGTAGCCTTCCCATTTGTCCGTGGTTCCTCGTGCCTCTTGAGTAATTCTCCCTATTCAACAGTCGTTTTCCCCGAGTCGTTCCCTCTTTTCAAGAGTGACTACTGTGCGCTTTACAAGTTGAAATTGTTGTCTTTGTATTTTGCATCTCTCAATCATAAAATGGTACCAATAAACATTGACATTTTTTGCAGCATATCTCAAAAGCATGTGCTTCCCTGTCCGGTGTTCTCTGTGCTCATCTCCATAGAGGGTGGGATATTTGGCTGCATCTCAGTCATTCCATGAGGGCACAGACGTGCTCATGCTCACCACCAACATGATCCGCAAGGTGAGGAATGCTCGCTATGAAGCTGCTGTGCTTGGGACGCTCGCCACACTCGCTACATTTACACACACACGCAACACTTACCACGGTTGAAACGATAATCACGCTTGAGGCACTAACCGCCGACGGCAAACTTGTTTAATTGTGAAGTCACTTGGGGCAATTTCCAAGGTAGAAGCTGATCTCATGTGAAGATCAAAACGTTGGACCCCTTGGAGCTTGGTGTGTTCAAGGAGGAGATATTACCCAATATAAAAGTACCTTGTACGTGATTAACTATTCCGTGTGTCTCGGGCTGTTAGTGTGAAGCCTTGGTTAGTGCAAACATTTAAAATCATGGTCGTGAGCGCGATTGTTACTTCACTGCTGTACTAGAGAGTATGCAAGCGATGACCAGGGCTCCTGAGTAAATGTATCTTTCTAGCGATGACTATAACGATCTTGAGTTAATGTATTTATCTCATGTTGGATAAAGGCACGATAGACACAATGCCACGCACATCCTGGCTCTTATTTTGTACTCTTAACACTCCACCGTGCAGCTTTGTAGCGACTGCGACGGTGATTTTTTATTGGACTCGTTGATTCATCGGCAGGACCTGAACAGCCAGAATCAGTACGACGCGGGCGTGGCACTCACCGGTGTGTCCTGCTTCATCACGCCCGACCTGGCCCGCGACCTCGCGAATGACCTCATGACCTTGGTAAGTATCAGCGTTTGGGTGCTGGTCTTAGCTTGCGTAAAGTTTTTTAAAGTCATGATTGTCACCCGTACTGCGAGGTGACGCAGGATCGCGAGAGATATGTAAATCTTTATAAGATAAGATTGCAACAGCTTGGGGTGGGGGTGGAGGGGTGCCCTAATCCAACAGTGTATTGATCTTTGCTGATAAATGACTACCGGGTGGCTCTTATTGTTATAGCAAGAAACTAGCGGCATTTGTTCACACCCTTAATCCAGAAGTTTAAATTTTTGTGACCTACACTGCTGGAAAATGAGGCTATCCTCGTCTTGAGTAATCACCTGGTTAAGCAAAAATAAACTTTAACTCAAGGGATCAGTGTGGTGTACGCAAAAGTAGAGAAAGCCGGTTCACGAATCCATCTTGGCTCACTTGTACGTGTTAAACTTGCCTACCCCAACTCTCTTTTCGTCGAAATTAACCGAACACCCCTATGCAGGACCATCCTGGAAACTACCTCTTTTGAGGCTCACTGAGGCTTATTTTTTGACACAAAACAATCGGAAAAATGTCCGTTAAGTTTCAGCCAAGGATTGACTCGGCCAACATTTTGTTTAGGCTCAATAAATTGATTACCACTTTGAGAGACTGGTTCTGCACCAACGAAATGTGAGCTTGCCACTGTTGACATACATTCACCGATGGAGATGTGCAGCGCTCTTGAATTTGAAGGAGGCTTGTTCATTCAACTGTTCAACTGTATTGTGGTTTTAACCCGGTGGCAAATGAGTTTATTACTAAGTCACTGTTATATGCACTCACCGTAAAACATGTTATCATCATGTGAACAAAAATTTTATTTACAGAAATTACAAAACAGAACACATGGGCTTTAAGTTATTTACAGGTGTGTGTGAATTAGCATGTCTGTGAGTGGGGGGAGCGGTAATGTAGCGGTTAGCGCGCCGCACTATGAACCAGAGTTCGATTCCCGCTCACGGCCAACACCAGTGATGATTATCTGAACTGGTCCTGGGCCTCCCCTAGGTCGACTCAACCTCAAATGAGTACCTGGTGTGGTGTGTAAACTTTGCCACTGGGGAGACAAAGGCGGCCGGGCGTGGTGCTGGCCACCCACCCCCTCGTGTGTCGTGCCGGCATTCATAGGTGCTCGCTAACAGCACTTGCCCCAACAGTCTGTTGACTGTATGTGTGGACTTCATTGTCATGCTTGTCTGTGAATGTGTGGACCCTAATGTGTGCTTGTGAATGTATGATGTGTGTATGCGTGCACGCCAGATGTCCTCAACACGCCCATACGTACGCAAAAAGGCTGTGCTCATCATGTACAAGGTGTTCCTCAAGTACCCAGAGTCACTGCGCCCTGCATTCCCACGCCTCAAGGAGAAACTAGAGGATCCAGACCCAGGTATGGCCCCTAACATAGTAATGTCAGCTACCAGTAGAGATCAGTGCTGCCTAGTTGTTACTTAAGCAGTGAGACAGTGGCACTGATCAAACCACGATCTTTTTCCTATATTTAATTGAAATGTTTGTGCTATTGGCATTATCAGAAAGCGAAGTCATTTTTTTAAAGCTTTCATCGGTTACAGAGAACAGCCCCGAGTATAACATCACAGAACTGCCTCCTAAGTATTTACACAACATTTACAAATTGTAAATTGCATTTACGAATTGTAAATGTTGTGGATTTACTCTCCAACACACTGGTGGGCTGAGGTAGTAACTAATTGGCACGTTGTTTACATGATGAATCTTACTGGCTGTGTCAGGTGGTGGAGGGTTACGACACATTTCTAAATAACGCGATCTAACCCAAAAACCTTTATTATGAATAATATTGGTCACGAAAGCCTATGTGTTAAACAGAATAAGGCCCGTTTGTTTATTGGGTTGCATCTTTCCCTGAAGTGGCTAAGTGGCAAGCTTGCTAAAAGCACTTTCCCCAACAGTGTTAAGGCGATACGGGGGATCTTTGCCTTTGCAGGCGTGCAATCGGCAGCTGTAAATGTGATCTGCGAGCTGGCACGGAGAAACCCAAAGAACTACTTGTCGCTGGCACCACTCTTCTTCAAGCTCATGACATCCTCCACCAACAACTGGGTCCTCATCAAGATCATCAAGCTGGTGAGGAGACTTGAGGGGCCCGTGGATGTGAAACCTTTGACCTTTCCTTTGGCATCTTATCATCATCATCAATCTTTTATCATGCATTTTTCATAATCATCACCATCATAAATGTGTAATCATTCAGTTAACCTTATTATAAGCATCATGATTGTAAGCATTATATAATTATCAATCACGTATTTTTTTTTATCATCCATCATTATTATCATCATACAAAAATAGAAAGTTTTAACAAAACAAAATGCAGATGCCACTATCATACATATTTATTCAACATCAATACAATGGCATCACAGTAGGAACAGCGCGCACTCATCACGCCTAGCCAAGACTTTGAAGCTTTCCTTCTGAACACCGCTTCAAACAACGTGCCCCGTACGGCTGCCGAGATAGAGCCTTGGGTATGTGTCTAGATGAAAAGAGAATGTTGTGACGTGTGTGTGTGCGCGTGCTCCCCGCGGTAGTTTGGAGCGCTCACCCCGCTCGAACCCCGTCTGGGCAAGAAACTCATCGAGCCGTTGACGAACCTCATCCACAGGTTCGTGGCAAACATGCTGCAGTTTAAATTCGCAAAGCGTCTTTTAGGTGCCGTCGTCTCTCCAGGCCCTGCAGGCAAATGAAGACGGGCATATTGAGGTTATTGGGAAAAGGAGGGATGTTAGTTTGAAAGCAAAGGTGGAAGTTACGGATTAAAGGCTACATTCACGGGGGGGAGTAATAAGACATTTGGGTAAATGCACCATTGACCAGGCATACTGTTAATGGCACAGACTGTACAAGTCTGTTCTCCTGTAGCGCAGTAGTTCTGTTCCTGAAGAACACCGCATAGATGGGAAAAATCGCATCACAATAAATATGTAATGTAGGGTAAAGCACAGTCCGCGATAACACGTGAGATGCGTACGCAGGCTGAAGACTGAGGCGCGTAGGTAGCACGGAGATGAAACAATCAATAGTTGTCCGCTGAAAATACGTAAGGCTAAAAACGGGTTTTTTTTTTCTTTGTGTGGACATGCAGCACGTCCGCAATGTCCCTGCTCTACGAGTGCGTCAACACTGTCATTGCTGGTAAGAAATATGCTTGCGTCGCTTTATAGCGGTCAGTCTAGATGACAATGACCTTCAGGCTTGATTTATATCACATTTGTTCTGATAAAGTTACATCACAAAGGGAAGAAACTTATTTCTGGAAGGGAATGAGCAGAGCCTCACACCGCGATAGCCAGGGCTGTCCGAGCTGCAGCCCATGGGACATTGGGGCCCATCTTTATCTGTCCCATGGTACCATTTAAACGTATTGTTAAAACAGCTGACCCGCAGCTTTAAGGGAGGCCACATGCTTTATCGCTTTACTGTACATCTCTTCTCATTTGTTGTTTAATCTTTCTCATCTTTTCGAGCACTCTTCTAAGTACATCATTGTCATCTCTGATAGCACTGTGTTAAATAAGTCTATCGTTTGTTTTTCTCATTTCCGGTCTCATATCTCCTCGCAAAATGTCTGCAATCTCCTGCTGTGCTCTTCCAAATACATTTATCCTGTAACTCTATTCTACATATCTTATAAATAATCTCTCCTATATCTAATTTTTTCCTAAATAATCCAACTCGCTGACAGTTTTCGTTGGAATATACAGTGAGGGAAAAGAGTATTTGATCCCCTGCTGATTTTGTACGTTTGCCCACTGACAAACAAAGAAATGATCAGTTTTAATGGTAGGTTTATTTGAACAGTGAGAGACAGAACAACAACAAAAAGTATGGAAAAACGCATGTCAAAAATGTAATAAATTGATTTGCATTTTAATGAGGGAAATAAGTATTTGACCCCTCTGCAAAACATGACTTAGTACTTGGTGGCAAAACCCTTGTTGGCAATCAGAGGTCGGACGTTTCTTGTAGTTGGCCACCAGGTTTGCACACATCTCAGGAGGGATTTTGTCCCACTCCTCTTTGCAGATCTTCTCCAAGTCATTAAGGTTTCAAGGCTGACGTTTGGCAACTCGAACCTTCAGCTTCCTCCACAGATTTTCTATGGGATTAAGGTCTGGAGACTGGCTAGGCCACTCCAGGACCTTAATGTGCTTCTTCTTGAGCCACTCCTTTGTTGCCTTGGCCATGTGTTTTGGGTCATTGTCATGCTGGAATACCCATCCACGACCCATTTTCAATGCCCTGGCTGAGGGAAAGAGGTTCTCACTCAAGATTTGACGGTACATGGCCCCGTCCATTGTCCCTTTGATGCGATGAAGTTGTCCTGTCCCCTTAGCAGAAAAACATCCCCAAAGCATAATGTTTCCACCTCCATGTTTGACGGTGGGGATGGTGTTCTTGGTAATAGGCAGCATTCCTCCTCCTCCAAACACGGCGAGTTGAGTTGATGCCAAAGAGCTCCATTTTGGTCTCATCTGACCACAACACTTTCACCCAGTTGTCCTCTGAATCATTCAGATGTTCATTGGCAAATTTCAGACGGGCATGTATATGTGCTTTCTTGAGCAGGGGGACCTTGCGGGCGCTGCAGGATTTCAGTCCTTCACAGCGTAGTGTGTTACCAATTCATCTTCTTTGGTTCTTTCGGTAAAGTCACGTAGAATGAGAATAAAATAATAAATTGATAAAATAAAATAACTAATATTCTCGGCCACAACACAAGCGGCCTTCATCAGGTGAAGGGACGAGACTGTCTGGAGGACAGCGCTGGAGTGAAAAAGCCACGCTCAGATCGTGACCTTTAAGCTGTGAGAAGAAACAAAGCGCCTTGACAAAGGAATTAGCATAGAATTTAGCATTGAAATGGCTGAGTGATTAGCTTGTGACTGGTCACAGAAATGGCTATGTTAAAGTTAAAGCATACACATCTGCAGAGGCACCCCTTGACAAAGGAATTAGCATAGAATTTAGCATTGAAATAGCTAAGTTAAAGCATACACATCCGCAGAGGCACCCCTTGACAAAGGAATTGGCATAGAATTTAGCATTGAAATAGCTGAGTGATTAGCTTGTAACTGGTCACAGAAATAGCTATGCTAAAGTCAGAGCATATACATTCACAGAGGCACCTAGTACAAATCAAACAGGAGAATTTAGCATTGAAATAACTATGCGAATTTAACATTGAAATAACTGAGTGATTAGCTTGTGACTGGTCACAGAAATGGCTATGTTGCAGTCAAGGCCTACACATCTGAGCTATTCACAGTAACTGGGTATACACTACAATATATAATGAATACTATATAGTGAACCAATAAAAAACTAAAATATAAATTACCTCAATGTTATCAATAAACTCTATATTCTCCAATCAGCTAAGCTACCAACAATAAGTCGTTATATCACAATGCTATATGGCAAAAGAAAAATGGGTGGATTCTTACCCTCAACTTTAGCAACACGGATAGCTACGGGCCCCGTTCAGACGGACGAGTTCATCCATGGTCGGAACAAAGGAGGGGGAGAGAGACAGCTGCGAGGCGCTGTTATACTCCACGTTGTAAACCATACCATTAACCGTGGTGTGAGAGGTATTAAGAGTCAATGCTGGCGAAAGAGCTGCGGTCTGAAGGTCATTGTAAAATACAATTAATTAAGAACGGAAATGGTTTAAACCATCTTTCCAATGGTTACTAAGCCAGAATCCATCTTCTCAGTTGAAATTGTCTCTGTGCTTGTATATGTGAATGGCCTCATGAACGAATCTCTCATGGTAGCCGGTTGGTTTGCAAAGAACCTCCGTCTTGGAGAAGTCAATGTCATGTGAGCCCATTGAATTATAACAGTGATCTGCCACGGCAGAGGAGTTCGTTCTACCGTGTTTCAAGTCTGCTTTATGTTCGCGGATGCGGTCCGAGATATGTCGTTTGGTTTCTACAATGTAGCTATTACCACAGAGGCACTTTAGTTTGTAAACGCCCGGGTACTGTATGTCTGGAACAGCATCTTTTACAGATGGAACTAGATCACGGATTTTATGTACTGTGTTGAATCGGACCTGGATCTTGTGTTTATTCAGGATTTTGGAGATCTTTTTAGTGACCCCTGCAATGTAGGGTAAGGTGATGGTTTTGAGTGGCTCCACAAGAGGATCCTTCTTCATGACTGGAGTGATGGCTTTGTGGATTGTGTAGTCGGAGTAACCATTAGCCCTGAGAGCCTGGTGTACGTGCTTGAGTTCACTGGTAATGTGTTCCTGGTCGGAAATGCATTGGGCTCTATGGTATATAGAGTCTTGATGAGGGAGTTCTTCTGGGATGGATGGTGGTGGGAATCCGGTTTCAAGTAAGCATCTGTATGGGTAGCTTTCCTGTAGACAGAGTGGCTCATTGAACCATCATGTCTCCTTTTAATTAAGACATCCAAAAAGGGTAGTTTGCCATCTTTTTCGACCTCCATGGTAAATCTGATGGCTGGGTGTATGGAATTGATGTGGTCGCGGAATTGGTCTAGAGCAGGCTGGCCATGTGGCCAGATGACAAAGGTGTCATCCACGTACCTCTTCCATAAGGTCGGGCGTAGAGTGGCAGTCTGGATGGCGTCAGTTTCAAGTTTTTCCATGAATACGTTGGCTACAACCGGAGATAGGGGGGAGCCCATTGGGGTGCCCTCAGTTTGTAGAAAGTTCCATTCCAGGTGAAGTATGTGTTGGTTAAGCAATGTCTCACCAGGGGGGGTACATCAGTATGCAGTCCTTGATGAACCAGGTCTTCAATGATAGCGATGGTGTCGGGTACCGGGACTTTGGTGAACAAGGACACCACATCAAAACTGACAAGCAGGTCGTCTGGGGACAGGGAAATGCCTTTGATTGTCGATACCAGGTGAGTAGAATGGTATGGTTTACAACATGGAGTATAACAGCGCCTCGCAGCTGTCTCTCTCCCCCTACTCTTCCGACCATGGATGAACTCGTCCGTCTGAATGGGGCCCGTAGCTATCCGTGTTGCTAAAGTTGAGGGTAAGAATCCACCCATTTTTTTCGCCATATAGCATTGTGATATATAACGACTTATTGTTGGTAGCTTAACTGATTGGAGAATATATAGAGTTTATTGATAACATTGAGGTAATTTATATTTTAGTTTTGTATTGGTTCACCATATAGTATTCATTATATATTGTAGTGTATACCCAGTTACTGTGAATAGCTCAGATGTGTAGGCCTTGACTTCAACATAGCCATTTCTGTGACCAGTTACAAGCTAATCACTCAGCTATTTCAATGCTAAATTCTATGCTAATTCCTTTGCCAAGGGGTGCCTCTGCAGATGTGTATGCTTTAACTTTAACATAGCCATTTCTGTGACCAGTCACAAGATAATCACTCAGCCATTTCAATGCTAAATTCTATGCTAATTCCTTTGTCAAGGCGCTTTGTTTCTTCTCACACAGCTTAAAGGTCGCGATCTGAGCGTGGCTTTTTCACTCCAGCGCTGTCCTCCAGACAGTCTCGTCCCTTCACCTGATGAAGGCCGCTTGTGTTGTGGCCGAAACGTCGTGAGAATATTGTGTTATTTTATTTTATCAATTTATTATTTTATTCTCATTCTACGTGACTTTACCGAAAGAACCAAAGAAGATGAATCCTTGCAGTCACGAAAGCTTTAAATCGAAAGTGTTACCAATTGTTTTCTTGGTGACTATGGTCCCAGCTGCCTTGAGATCATTGACAAGATCCTCCCGTGTAGTTCTGGGCTGATTCCTCACCGTTCTCATGATCATTGCAACTCCATGTGGTGAGATCTTACATGGAGCCCCAGGCCGAGGGAGATTGACAGTTCTTTTGTGTTTCTTCCATTTGCGAATAATCGCACTAACTGTTGTCACCTTCTCACCAAGCTGCTTGGCAATGGTCTTGTAGCCCATTCCAGCCTTGTGTAGGTCTACAATCTTGTCCCTGACATCCTTGGAGAGCTCTTTGGTATTGGTCATGGTGGAGAGTTTGGAATCTGATTGACTGATTGCTTCTGTGGACAGGTGTCTTTTATACAGGTAACAAGCTGAGATTAGGAGCACTCCCTTGAAGAGTGCTCCTAATCTCAGCTCGTTACCTGTATAAAAGACACCTGGGAGCCAGAAATCTTTCTGATTGAGAGGGGGTCAAATACTTATTTCCCTTATTAAAATGCAAATCAATTTATAACATTTTTGACATGCGTTTTTCTGGATTTTTGTTGTTGTTATTCTGTCTCTGACTGTTCAAATAAACCTACCATTAAAATTATAGACTGATCATTTCTTTGTCCGTGGGCAAACGTACAAAGTCAGCAGGGGATCAAATACGTTTTTCCCTCACTGTATCTGTTCTTTTTTGCTATCGTATCTCTCTTAGAGCTATTACGGAAACAATTTGTCAGGAAGGTTCTGGCAAGTTTGCACAAGACAGGCAAATGTTGCCACATGTAACCCAAATTGAATAATTTGCATGACATTTTTTTAGGATTGGGATGTTTGGCCAATACGAGTTACATTATGTTTTTTGTTGTAAATTATTATTTGTCATCTTTGTCATATGCAAGTTATTGATTTATTTTCTGCCTCACAGCTCTCAGCGTGTTAATTAATCCGGCCTTTGTAGATGGATAATCCGGATGATACTCTCATATTTGAGAAAATATTTAATTTTAGCTTAGAGCTTGACTGAGTACTTTAGTTTCATATTCAAGTAATTATTCATCAATTAATGTTAGTATGCTCACAGTACATCACTTGAATCTTGCAAGTATAATACTATGATTATGGTGATTAATGATAATTTATATGTAATTTATACAATGATATCCCTTCAGCCTAACTGAATGAACGAGACAGTACAATCAAAGCAGATGGTACAAATGAGTCGTATTACCAAAACCAAAAAGATACAATATTTGAGTGAAACAGTGATCCTAAATTGTTACATATGCTATGTAAGAACCAGCCTGCTGTACCAGCCACCTTTTTCATTGACAATGTGTTTTTTATCTGACACTGGCTCCTCCCTTACATTGACAGTTCTCATCTCGCTGTCGTCTGGGATGCCTGACCACAGTGCAAGCATACAGGTATTGGTGTCATGTAGTCTACAGTCGCCCATGACCACATTATAAGAAATGCACCTGATCTCATCAGACCTTGGAAGCTATGCAGTCTTTGAGCCCGGAACGTGCTCGGACAACAGGTTGTTAGTATGCTGTGGTGCTACGTAGTGCGTGACAGAGACAGTGCAGAAAAATCCATTGTTCTGTATTTCTATACACCCATGTCTATGCTCTCTCCCTCAATCCACACTGAGCATGTTTGTATCAGTGCACGCATCTTGAGGATCTGTTTGTTTGGTCCACTGTTGTGGATTCACAATGCCTCGATGGCGTTTTGACTGACCCTCGCGTACCGTACACGTGCCCCACGTACGGCCTCCTCCTTACTCGTGTGATTCCTGCACGCGCGTGAACCCCACAGCTCTGCGTACAGAAGTTGCGCATTCTCATCGAAGACTCGGATCAGAACCGTGAGTGCCTCCCGCCCAAGGGATTGTCCCCTTCTGTGGTTTGTGTGGTGGAGCAGCATGCACATTCTTGGGCTTCTCATACAGAATTGCAGCACTGCTCTGTAAAGCTATCGCCTTTATGTTGTAGGCGGGTGCTTAGGTTTGTCTTTGTGGCCATTGTAATACAATTGTTAATTTAATACAGTCGGTAAGTCCTGTCCTTTATTTAGGAAAGTGTATTTAATATATTTACCAACGAGTTTTTGTGGTTTTTTGAAACGGAATAATCTAAATAGTATATATTTAAGCAAGATAAAACATGTGTGAGTTTTGGACTTCTGATTTTACCAACTCAAACAAAGTAATTGTTTGGCTCGGTGACTAAAAACGGAGTTTCTAATAATTGTTCTTCATAGGCCAAACAAAATAAAGACGACTTCTCTTGAGGCTCATCAGTAGGGGTGTGACCTGTGTAGTTTTATTTCTGTATCATATTTTGTTCAGCTCTCTAAAATTGCATCTTCTCATTTTTAGCTGTTCAATGTAACATCCGGTAATTTACAACACTTGTTTTCAGTTCTGTAGAACTGAGCGTTGTTTTAAAGCACTCCTCTGTTTGAATGCAGTGCTGCTATCTGTGTTGCTGTATAACCGTACGTGTTGTGTTATCACGTGCAACTCTGTGGGCTATATTGCCACGTAATCTTGTTTGCGATTGCCATGTAACCCAGTGTACTATGTATTGTCAATGCAACACTGTTCCTCTATTACATTTTTATACTGTGTGTTGTGTTGCTTTGTAACTCTGCCGTTTATCCGTGTAACTCTGGGTGCTGAGTTTCCATCTAACCCCACGTTGTCACTTGACTCCGTGTGCCATGTTCGCGTTCCTTCCAGTGAAGTACCTGGGGCTGCTAGCTATGTCCAAGATCCTGCGCACTCACCCCAAGTCCGTGCAGTCCCACAAGGACCTCATTCTGCAGTGCCTCGATGATAAGGATGAGTCGATCCGGTTGCGATCCCTCGACCTGCTCTATGGCATGGTGCGCCTCCCGACCCACAACACCATCCATGCATCTGCTCGTCTTCGTCCGTGTGTCTGTCGCATTCCCAGCTTCGGTTGGCTACGTACGGTGCAAAAAAAGTTCAACATTCGTTTAACACGTAGGCTTTCACGACCAATATTATTCATCACAAAAGTTATTGGGTTGTATTGCGCAAGTATAAATGTGTCGTAACCCTCCACCACCCGAAACAGCCAGTAAGGTTTGTCATGTAAACAACGCGCCAATTGGTTACTACTTCAGCCCACCCGTGTGTTTGAGAGTAAATCCACAATATACATAGTACGGGGTTTGCCCAAATAGCTGAGCAGAAGGGATTAAATGGGGACTTGAGAAGAGGTGGATAGATGTGGTTACAGCAGGTGCCATAGCTGAGTGGACTTGTCTGCAGTTGCCACCAGTAGTATTAGCATCAGCCTCTAGTGTGGAAGAGGCTTGTGAAAGACTACCAGGTGGCTGGCAGCAGCCATCCTTCGCTTATTGCAGGAGGTGGAGGTTTGACACTCGCAACCTTAAGCAGAGCGTCAGGTGGCTACAACACAGTGGCTTGGCATGGTAGAGAGTGCAGGTGGTTAATATCTTGACGAAAATATGAATAGGTTTTACCCTTTCTGGCAATAAAACAGGAGGTGTAAAGATGTTCAAACACCAAATAGAAACCTTTTGCTAGGCATAGAGTGACTGCATTAACCACACACAGTACTTGTGGCGAACATTCAAACAGACATGCTCTGATAGTAGTGCACGCATTGCCTTTGAAACCGATAGGGCGACACCAGAGACAGCCTTCTTTATGGCCTTGTCTCACCAGTGTTAGACCAGAGAACGCCAAAAGGCGTAATTTTTATAAGCCCGATAACGCTGGGCAGGGTCTCCACCCACCGGTGTGTGAGGCCTTCAATCACTCCCACGCGGCCCCAAATTAAACCTAAACCTAGCACAGTCGTCATGACAACTGATAAATTCAAGGGGTACTATTTTTCATAATGTGCACGATAAACTCAAATGTGAACAAGAAGGGACTTGTCTGCTTTGTGTTGGCACCACGAGACAGGCGTCGTGCGGGGAAAGCGCAGTTCAAAATAAACGACGACGATGATGATGATGTTTGCTACCCGGTAGAGACCGCCTGCGGCGAGTCTCCCCGATATATATTTTTTTACACACCTCGCGTGCAGGTGTCCAAGAAGAACCTGATGGAGATCGTGAAGAGGCTGATGGTGCACATGGATAAGGCGGAGGGCACGACCTACCGCGACGAGCTGCTCACCAAGATCATCGACATCTGCAGTCAGTCCAACTACCAGCACGTCACCAACTTTGAGTGGTCAGTGAGGACAGCGCTCTCCATAGATCCTCACTTTGCCTGTCTTGCTTGGTCATCCGGTTATGAACAAACCTGATATCATGGGACCTTTTTGCCAGCATCAAAGTATGAAAAATAAGAATATATTTTACCCTTTCTGGAAATGAAACAGGTGTTAAGATGTTCAAACACCAGATAGTTACCTTTTGTAAATAGATACCTTTGAAGGATACCTTTTTGCAAGAAAGTAAGGCTGTCTCTGGTGTAGCCGAATTTATTTAGAAGACAATGCGTATATAAGTATATAATTATCGGAGCATATTTGTTTGCATGTTCACCACAAGTGCGTGTGGTTAATACAGAATAGATTGGTGTTTGAACATTTTAACACCTGTTTTATTGCTAGAAAGGGTAAAAACCTCTTCTTATTTTTCAAACAAATCAGATTTTGGCCGATGTGTTTTCGCATATAGCTCCTTGTAATAAGGCGGTTAATCATCCTTTGTCAGTCGCTCCCGAGCCAGTGGTGATGATTCCATATTTCCATCGCAGGAGCTAATCTATCCATAGGATGACGGTTGTTGACTAACCACGAGATAGAGGTTTAAACTTAAACGTGTGAGTTCAGTGCTATGCCAATGGTGCCAGCCAGCCAAATATAGTAATTCAACAGGGACGATGTTATTAAAAAATCACTGTCCCCACCACGGCAGTGTGGAATGGCACCAGCAACGGACACAATAACGACCCCCCCACCCTCCATTGCTCACCTGAACCTCGCTGGCAATCTTTCGGCCCCCCTCCGGTCGTATGACCGCCGCCGTTATCACCCGCGGCCCCCCCGCGCCCCCAAGGTACGTGAGCATCCTGGTGGAGCTGACTCGCCTGGAGGGCACCCGCCACGGCCACCTCATCGCCGAGCAGGTGCTGGACGTGGCGATCCGCGTGCGCGCCATCCGCGCCTTCGGCGTGCGCCAGATGGCGCTGCTGCTCGACAACGTGCACGTGCCCGCCAGCAACGGGCAGCGCAACGGCATCTGCGAGGTCCTGTACGCAGCCGCATGGATCTGCGGAGAGTTCTGCCAGTACGTGCGACGCACCATTTACGTATGCGTCGCAGGGGTGATGAGGTTTTTCTCGTTCCCCCCCGCCCCCTGCGTGCCTGTGATCGCAGTTATCGTAGAAGCTGAATATAAGCACCCCCTCGGAGCAGGTCCAAGAGATGCCGCAGTGGCGATATGTTATCTGCCTCGCCTGGTATGCAGGAGGTCGTGGGTTCGATCCCGACCCTTGACGCCTGTTGTATATTTGGAGTTTGCTTGTTCTTGCCGTGGTCACGTGGATTTTTATCCGGGTCCTCAGGTTTTTTCCTCCACATTGAGAAGCATTTTCTTAGGAGTATTTGGCTGCTATAAGTTCCATATGATAAGCCACTTCGTTGAGCTATCAGTTGTGGCCAGGTTGCTTCTAAAAAAACAGCTATATAGTTAAGTGAGCCTTACCTGGTAAAATAGAAAGTTAATAGCTCTAAGCATGCTTATTTCCAGCTTCTACTGTACCAGCATTGTGTCGGTATGTTCAAGAATAGACCATTTTTACCTCTACCACTTGCCGGTTTAATTGGCAGTCTGTCCCAGGTTGATGCGGGTTTATGAGTGAATATGTATTGTGCATGCGTGTTGGTTGTGATTAGTGGGGAGCGGTAGTGTAGCGGTTAGCGCGCTGTGCTATGAACCTGGCGATCCGGGTTCGATTCCCGCTTACGGCCAATGCCAGTGACGGTTATCTGAACCGATCCTGGGCCTCCCCGAGGTCGATTCAGCCTCAAATGAGTACCTGGTGCGGTGTGTAATCATTAGCACTAGGGAGACAAAGGCGGTAGGGCGTGGTGCTGGCCCACCCACCCCCTCGTGTGCCCTGACGGCCTTCAAAGGTACTCACTAACAGCGCTTGTCCCAACAATCTGTTCAGGCTATAATGGGGGATCTTTGTCTTGTCTTTGTTGAGATTACACCCATTCCTGTTTGTGTGTTCGGTGTGTATTTTGTGCATCTGTAAGAATGTGCAATGTAGGTGTGTGTGTGTGTTGTGCATTGTAAACAAGTGGCATATGGTAGCTGAACCTGTCCTGGCCTTCCCCTGGGTTTATCAGCGTTAAATGAGCACCTGGTGCGATTTGTCATCCTCAGCACTGGGAAGACAAATGCAACAGAGCGTAATTTCTTGCCACATCTTTCGCTTGCCCATCCTGACGGTCTTAATATGTGTTCTCGATCAGAACGTACCACAAGGCTATACGTACGGGGTGGGGAATCTTTTGTAATTGTTATTATTGTATGTACTGTGTGTTGTGTTTGCCTGTGACGCCACGTTTTGCAGGCACCTGGAGGAACCGCGCGTCACCCTGGAGGCCATGCTGCGTCCCCGCGTGTGCAGCCTGCCCGGCCACATCCAGGCCATGTACGTGCACAACAGCATGAAGCTTTACGCCAGCATGCTGACCAGCGCCGGCTCGGCCTCCGCCTCTGGTGGAGGAGGAGCAGGGGGGACGGCTGGCGGCGCCGCCGAGGTTGCCGTCGGCGACGGCGGAGACACGGAAGAGGGCGGCACCGCGGGTGGCGTCATCGAAGAGGTGACGGCGCTTCTGCTTGAGCGGCTGCCGCAGTTCGTGCAGAGCGGTGACCTGGAGGTGCAGGAACGGGTGAGCACGGATCTGCGGATGGGGGGTAAGGGTTTGGTTACACGCTAAGCGCCGAAGAAGATGAAGCGGACACCGTTTCCCCCACCACCGATTAGCATGGTTGGGTCAATATCGTGCGAAGTAATTACGTCCGGTATTGTATGTATATTGCACTTCTTTTGCACCTTATGTAGCCAAGCATGCTAATCGGAGGTGTGGAGGAAGGACAATAAACTCAACACAAACAGCAGTTCTAAGGAAATGAGTTTTCCAAGTTCTAAAGAAATTAGTATTAACAGGTAAGAGTCGGAGTCTCACTGCACAACCAAGAATGGGACCAGCACTCCTCCATATTGGTGTTACTATGGCATTGGTGGAAATTCTGCATTGAAATAGTGGGTCATTGTCTCTATAAAGCAACTGTGCACACAGCATTCCACAAAGTGGCACTCGTTCTCAACGAATTTATCAAATATCCCGTTATGGGGTTCTACTGCAGAAGAGTTGTGAGACCCAAGGTTGTTTGTATATATAGATAAATGACTTGCTATTATATCTGGCTTTTTGGCACTGTAGCAGAGTACTGCTACAGATGGTTGCCAGTAGCAAATTTTGTCGGTGGCTTCAGTCGCACCATCGTCACTTCTTATTGGAAATCTAAATGAGCACCGCTCTTTGGGAAGTCAACGGTGTTTTTCTCAGTACGATTAGCCCCTGCTGCAGGAATTTGCGTTTTCCATCATTGGCTAATTCAATTACCACCAATGAAGATGAGTGCTGCCCAAAGTTCATTTGATGTTTTTTTAAATGGTTCTGATGAATTATTTTCTTTGAACGCTTGGAAATTGGTGAGATTTATGATGCTTTATTTCGAGTATATATTCCAGGAATTTTGAAACTTATGATGTCTGTACCAAGGTTAAGAACTGGTTAAATTAACTGAGCAGCAAAGAGAGACATTGTATCTATTTACTTTAACATCCCAGCTCTGCTATATCTGTCACATCCCATGAGGCGAAGAATCGTCATTTGTGAACTCGATCACTAATGTGCCAGGGAAAACTCTCGGTAAAACTACTTCCAGGGTCAATTCCCTAGGGCCACCCTTACCCAACATTAGACAGCATTCGTTCCTGCTACGTGAAGAGTGACTGGCCACTTCTCAGTTACCTTCTTCCCATGTCACTTTCATCCCTACCACTGTCACGTCCCTACCACTGTCACCGTCACGTCCCTACCACTGTCACCGTCACGTCCCTACCACCGTCACGTCGCTGTCACCGTCACGTCCCTACCGCCGTCACCGTCACGTCCCTACCACCGTCACGTCCGTACCACCGTCACTGTCACGTCCCTGTCACGTCACATCCCTGTCACCGTCACGTCCCTGTCACCGTCACGTCCCTGTCACCGTCACGTCCCTGTCACCGTCACGTCCCACCACCGTCACCGTGCCCCCCCGCAGGCGTCGTGTGCGCTGCAGCTCGTGCGCTACGTGCAGAAACTGCAGGGCAGGGACGTCGATGTGACGGAGGAGTTCGGTGCCCTCTTCAGCGGGGAGCTCAACCCCGTTGCGCCCAAGGCTCAGAGGAAGGTCCCCATCCCAGACGGGTGAGGGCACTTCTGGGGCACCGCGTACACATGGTGCACGCACACGTGTGTCCGTAACAGATTGATGAGGGCAGGTGATATTTGAGAGCACCTACTACTTAGTCGGACACAACACGCGACGGGTGGTATGGACCAGTGTGAAGCTGGGGGCTGCCTTTGTCTCCTCGATGCTGATGTTTACGTACAGCACCGGATACTGATGTAAGGCTAAGTTGACCTAGGGGAGGCTCAGCACCGGTTCAGATAACACGTATCGCTGAGTTTAACTAAACTAAACTTTTTATTTTACCAGGTAAGGCCCACTGAGCTATAAAGCTCTTCTTCAGAAGCGACCTGGCTCAACAAATGATAGCTCGACGAAGTGGCTTATCGCGTGTACAATTATAGCAGCCAAAAACTTGCACGTTTCTAAGCCACGGAAGGGATCTCAGTTCGTGACGGATGGGTGGGCGGTGGGGTGGTTTTTGTGACCGTTCAGGTTGGACCTGGAGGCCTGGATCAACGAGCCCGAGCTGGAGAGCTCATCTGACGAGGAACAGGGCGGCACCACCTCCATGTTCGTCAAGGAGGACGCAGATCCCTGCAAGCCCCGGCAGGCCGACCTCAAGCCTGAGGAGGTTGCCAAGGTACTCGGCGTGGTCAAGGGGAGGATATAGCTTCAGGGGCCTGGCACAGCTTTACCAAGGCAATACAAACAAATAGTCTCACATCGACGTAATGGCACGTTAAACACGTCAAAATCAAGGGGTTGTTACTTACGGCCAATGCCACTGATGCCACCTCGCGTTGCAATATCTGATTTGGGCTCATGGACTACTTCTGCCCTTTGGGGCTTCCTCCTGGCCTCACCGACCTCGGGGTGCCACTCCTTTGCCCGCCTCGGGAACCTCGCTTATTCCATCCATCCCCGCGGCAGGCCCCAACCACTGCATCCTCCTCTTCTCGATTGCATACACTCCGCTTTACTGCGACATTCTATTACAAATTTACAAGTTGCTTATCCTTATCCTACCTTTAAATAATTTAGAACGATGTATTATGTTTCTCAACACGGTGACAACATTCTCTTACTCTTTAAAATAAAATAAAAATCGAGTAAATAGAGGCGACTTAAAAGCAATTGCGTTTGCCTTTTAAAGTAAACATTCATAAAAAGATAAGAAAAATCGCTTGGCAGAATAAGTGCTGGGATTCATGGTGCTTTTGTGTCTGTAGATGAGAGAGCAGAGAAGAAAGGATCAGGAAAACAATCCCTACTACATCAAGAGCTCCCCGTCTCGAAGAAAGGTATTGCCAATTACGATTATTAAAAGGGTTGCCATTTAATCAAGAGCATTGTTTTGTCCATGCTATGCTTCAGAAGCCAGCTTGAAAAGTAAAAGACCATTACTCTGATTTGAATGACTCTTCACTGAAATGGAAAATGAAAAAACAAACATTTCTTTGTAAATTTTGCAATGAAAACGTTGAAATGAAAATAGCAATGATAAAAAAAACTTCAATGCATTGAGATACTGGGTGTCATGATATGGTAATGCTTTACTGCATGACAATGTATTTATGTTATAGAAGCATAATGTGATAATCAGCATGGGCCTCTCTGATGTCGACTCACCCTTAAATAAATATATTGTATGTAATATGTAAAGACTTACGTGGGTTTGGTGACGCCTCTACCAAGATCGCGATATCATCGTGGCCAAAGTGAGTGCCTCGATGCCTCGTCAAGGCTTTCAATCTCTCCCACCCATGCACATGTGTTCAATACCGGTCTTTAATAGGTGCTCGCTAATAATAATACTTGGCCGTGAATAACACTTTGCCTCTGAGGCTGAATGGTTTGTTTTTCTACAGCAGGAACCATTGCCTGGTGTAGACCACATCCCAGTGGTGCAGATAGATCTCACTGTGCCACTCAAGGTGCCAGGTATGTTTCTGTGTTGTCTGTCGATGCAGCATTCGTGTGTATCACTTGCAGTATGCCAGACTTAAAAGCCTGCAGGGCTTTAACGCGATCAATTGGTGACACCTTTGTCAGCAGGACTGTGGGCCTATTTGTATGGACTTTTGCGTGTGTGTAGCTTTTCCTTGGGTACTCTTTGATACCTCTCACATGAAAACAAAATTAATAAGTAGCCAAGATCTCACCTTAACATATCAGTCCCTCCACCTAAAAAAGTTAATGTTTTTTACACTTCCTGTTAACCATAAGGCCATCTGAGAGTGATCGTAATTTCAGCAGCGTTGGTTCAAATCAATACAATCAATACATGCAAACTCTGGATCAGATTCGACATAGTGTCTCATCTGCAGGGCTAGGCTTGCTTGAATCATTGTTGGTGAATCCCATCACACCCAGTGTGATACGAGCTCTGTTTCGCAAGGTCTGGTGTCGACATTTTTTTTTCATACAAATTCGATACAAAAAGGTATGGAAATATGTATTTAATCACAGGAAATATATAGATTAATCAATAATTTCAATGATCGATAGTTGGAGCTCGAGATGTACAAAATAGGCAACAGGGTTAGGGCGTCCGACTCGTACTGGGAAATTAAAATCACGGCCAGAGGCCACAGCCCGTCGCCTCCACGCGCGGGGATATCGAGTAACAATCAGCGCGCGCGTGCGCGCAGGTATCCCGCTCTCAGACCAGTACCTGCGCATGGAGGAGGAGCGCCGAAAGAAGCAGCGCGAAGAGCGCGAGAAGAAAAAAAAGAAGAAGATGAAGGAGGAGGCTGGCAGCGGCGGCGGAGGAGGAGGGGAGCAGGGCAAGCGCAGCCGACGGCGGAGGAAGGGGTCGGCGCACACGGAGAGCGAGGAGGATATCGCGCCGGCGCACACGGTCGACATCGTCACGGAGGAGATGCCCGAGGTGCAAGAGCCGCGGCACGCGGAGGTCGCGTGGCACCAGCGGCAGCGCGTTCGCTGCTTGTGCCAGAGGTTCGAGGTCCTAGCCCGGCAGGCTGTGCCCCCTGGTTGTCACGGTCGCGTGCGTTGACTGTGGAATATACAGGATGCTTAAAAATTTTTAAACACTTATATGGGACTATAGTTTTTAATGGAAAAAAAACGGATAATACACTAACATTATAACAAATGTAATGTTAATAGCTTCACAAAGTCAGTCTCCACTTGTTCGAAATCTTAGTCTACACGTGGAATATTCTCGAGGTTGTCTCCGGAGCCCAGAGGCACATTTCTTGTAGTATTTTTGCAAATTCTCGGAAGTGTTAACATTTTTTGAAGCACCCTGTATACGCGCAGGCTGCTTCACAGGGGGGATGGTGTCGTGGATGAAGGCCTAATGATCAAATTATTTCAAAGAGCGTTTCAATGTAATCTTGTGTGGAGATTTAAGCAGTGTCCTATGTTGAATGCTACGTATCATTGAGTGGTCGCACAGATGATTTCCCAGGACGTCAACTTTTACAAACTTTTCTGCAGCATTTGACGTGAGGAAGTCAAGGATTGACGAGTGATCTGGGTTTCTTTTTTAGATTAGGACGGGTCTGTTAACAGTTGAGCTGGGATAGGTTGAATTCTATGTACGTATGTACATTGAACGTCTTTCGCACGATATGTAGCCAACCGGCGCTAATTGGAGGACAAACAAACAAACACAAAAAGCAGTTCTATAGAAAAACAGGAGGCCTGTGCCGCCAGTGTCACGATCCATATTTCGAAAATGATAGCATTGTGATATAAGGCACAAATACCAAATGTACTTATTTACTATTACATTATATCGTTGTGATGGGGGGGTTAGACCTTGGCATTTGGTCTGTCTGTTGAATGCGCAGTGATTGCATCTCGGAGTGCCACCCTCTCGCTCGCGTGCCGCCCTCTCACACGTGTGCCGCCCTCTCACACGTGTGCTTCTTTCACTTGCGTGCTTTAGGAAATCTCGTCGTGGGTTTCGTGCCATTGACAAGTTGCATAAAACCCCTTCAATGAACGTCTATTTTTGCTATTTAAATTTTCAAAAAGGATAGAGCATACCTGCGACGGTTGTATGTTCTGAGTAGAACCTGGCAGGAAGGCAGTGCAGACAGTCGTAGTCCAAAAAGGGGATGTTGCACCTGGCACATGCGAAGGATAAAGGGGGGGGGACAGGGTCGGTAACGAATGGAAAACTATATTCTTAGTTTTTTCGGTAAAGTCACGCTGAAGAGAAACAACAAAATAACAAAATATATATAAAACAATAAAAATTCTCACGACGTTTCGACCATAACTCAAACGGTCATCATCAGGGTGATGATGATGACCGTTTGAGTTATGGTCGAAACGTCGTGAGAATTTTTATTGTTTTATATATATTTTGTTATTTTGTTGTTTCTCTTCAGCGTGACTTTACCGAAAAAACTAAGAATATGAATTACTGCAGTCACGAAAGCTTTAAATCAGAATGGAAAACTGTTTAGGTTTATTTTGCTGCGTCTTGTTTTCCTCGGTTGTATCGCGATTGTGTTGTCTGTCGTGTCGAGACGAGTATTCTCTACCGCAGGCACTACTGTGCGAGAGTCCTGGAAGGATTCTTCTTATGACATGACACCGATGAGGGGGTTTGAAAAAACACTAAAAGAAAGTTGACCTTGCTGTGTTAGAATATGTGATGTGCCGTGATATGTGTTGCAACGTGTTTGTTGTTGGTGTTGTGCCGTTTGCATCAGGACGCACTGCCGAGTGATGATGATGACAAGAAATATGACCCCAACGACCCCTACAGAGCCCTGGACATTGACCTGGACAAGTGAGTGTTGTGGAGATGAGCTGGCGGTTCTTGCTTGTATTGGGTCATTGAAACTCCAACTGTGTCATTTGTCTCAGGAACCCCATTGGTTAAAACTGTGCTGTATCATAAATACAGTGGTACCTCGGAGATCAAACGCCCCAGAAATCGAACAATTCAGTGATCGAACAAAATTTGACCATTTTTTGCCCCGGACATCGAACAAAAATTCAGAGGTCGAACAACTGGAAAGAACCTGTTTGGGCCGAGACGCGTAGCCAAGTCGACCGAGACAAAGGGGGATGACCCAGTTTACGCGTAGCTCTCGTCCTTTATCACTGTAAAGTTCCTGCCCCCCAATACGACTCCTCTCATCCAGCCAATGGACCAACAGGTAATTTCCAACTTTAAAAAACTCTACGCGAAAGCCCTTTTTCAAAGGTGGCAAAATGGGCTGAGTTACACAATTTTGTATAAAAATATCATCCAGATAAGGCAGTAGCCAGTGGAGCAGGCATTGAGTCATTTCAGAAACATCTTAAAACAGAGGCAGAAACAATCCTCTCTTGATCAGTTTTTAGTAAAAAGGCCCTCAAGTGAATCACAGTTAGTGCTCGAAAAAAGGCACAGAACAGAAAGAACCCCAGAAGGGCAGTTACCCAACGTGTTTATGGAGGGGGACTCCCCTTCCAAGCAACACTGACACCTCCTCCTCCCCTCCTCACCACTTTCCACTCAAGCCGTTCACTCTCCTTACTACAGGTAAAGTAAAGTTAAATGTTAATTTATTCTATTCATTTTAACTGTGTTTTTTGTATGCTTTTATGTACTGTACTTTATTTTAATATTGTAAACTTTGTGTAAAAATGGCTCATAATAGGAGCATCCTTGGGTGGGGAACCAATTAATGCTATTTCCATTCATTCTTATGGGGAATATTGATTCGGTGTTCGAACACGGTTTTGGAACAAATTAAGTTCGATCTCCGAGGTACCACTGTATAGACGCAAGTGTGCAGCTGTGCTTGTACATACGCACGTGTGTGTGTGTTCCTGGTGGAGAGCGGTTGTGTAGCGGTTAGTGCAATTCGTTACGAATCCAGCGACCCGAGTTCCATCCCGCTTACGGTCAACACCAGTGATGATTATTTGAACCTGTTATGGGCCTTTCCTAGGTCGACTCAGCCTCAAGTGAGTACCTGGTGTGGTGTGTAGACATCGCCACTGGGGGGACAAAGGCAGCCAGGCATGGTGCTGGCCACCTACCCCCTCGTGTGCCGTGCCGGCCTTCATCGGTGCTCACGAACAGCACTTGCCCCAACAGCCTCAAAACCTACACATTTCCTGGGAGTGGTAGTGCTGCAATTGTCGCTATTTGCACACTGCAGTGTGAACTTGATGGCCTTATTTCCATTTCCAGACATTGATAACATTAGCAGCATCTGTGAACATACCCTGGGTCATAAATGAGTACCTGGTGAAGTGTGTAAACAGCAGCACGAGAGAGACAAAGGCAGTCGGGCTTCTTGCTGGTCATACCAACTTCTATTCTGTATCATGTCGACCTTAGTAAATTTCCCACATACAGCTCTTTTCCCTATGTTCTAAAGGCCATATGGTGGGAGGGGGGGGGGGAAATCTTTGTATCTAATTCTAGTAATGTAATTGATTGTAACTGGGTCTGTCCCATGACCTGCCATTGAGCCTGGCACAAGCGGCACGGTGATATGGCCGCCACTTAGTAGCAGTTGGCAGCTGCTGTGTGTGGAAGTGACATGGGAGCACTCTGCACAGCACGCCACGGTCCGGATGACCCGGTTTGAATTTCAGACAGTCGCATTTGGTACATGTCGTGTAGAAGGCGTCTTATTTATTAAGAGCACACTGGGCGATACATTTATGTAACGCAGCTACACATAGCCGACCCTAACACACAACCCCATGGTCCAACTACGCAGCTGCACGACTAGCGCATTGACGGCAAGAGCCTTGCAAGAGATCGGCCACGTGGTCGGACGACGTAGAGAGATGACGGAGAGCAGCGACTCCGCCAGGACTCAGAACCCGGAACAGCATCGAACCTCTGGTTCGGTCCCCCTTATATACGCTCCAGCATGGCCAAGCCCCGCCTCCGGCCATGCCCCCTTCTAGAACCCTCGAGCAGGTTCCCGGAGCTTTGACCGACTCCGCCTTTCACCTTTACCCCAGATACGCCCTCCTGATAATTAAACATTACGTAATGTACCCATAACCGCGATTACCTCTTCGGGCCGACAGGTGGCACCCTATCATTACACATGTACTTGGCATGAGCATCTGGAAGGTAAACTCAGCCTAAATGAATACTAACTATGGCACATGAACAGAGAGTAGAGACCAGGAATGGTGCTGGCTATATTACCACCCAACCTTAGTAGGCATGTAATCATTCACCCCCTCCACAGCTTAATGGATTGGGGTCTTGACCCTGTATGGGAAATATTCTGTATGTGAAAGTTCGGATTTGTGAATGCGTTCAGAAAATTATTCACCGTGTACAAATATTGAACTGGGTGTGGGCGGTTACTCGATCATGGCGGATATATGGCAATCCGATGTGCGATAATGTGCCATGGTTACATCCTAAGAACAGGCAGGTTGCCAAAAGCACTGGCCCCGAGAGCCTGTACGTCTGTCTGAAGTAAGGGGTGTTTGTCCACGTGGTGTATGTGCGCGAATCAAGACCCCTGCAGGTAGAGAAACCGGTGACCCCACGAACCCCGCAGCCCTCGCCCGGCCTGAAGGGAGCCTCCTCGCCTCCCGGAGGAGCGGAGCAAGAGAGGAATGAGCAGGGAACGCCCCCCACTAAACCCACTCGCAAACCCCGCAAAGAGAAGGGGAGGGAGAAGGAGAAGAACAAGAAGAAAGCCAAGAAAGATAAGGTACCGACACATCATGATTAGTATTGATGTAGCAGCACACCGGGAAATACAGCACTGGTGGCAAAGGGGTTGGTGGGTCGCGTAAAGCATGAAACTCCTAAACCCACTGGGCTGCGAAGTGGCTAAAAGACGGTCACTGCGTTGCGTGCTTACGGTATGGGGAGCGGTAGTGTAGTGGGTAGCACGCTGCGCTACGAACCTGGCGACCCAAGTTCGATTGCCGTTCACGGCCAATACTCAGTGACGATTATCTAAACTTGTCCTGAGCCTCTCTGAGGTCGACTCGGCCTCATGAGTACCTGGTGCGGTGCGTAAATATCCCCACAGGAGAGACAAAGGCGGTGGGGCGTGGTGCTGGCCACCCACCCCTTCATGTACCAGTGCCGGCCTGCATTGGTGCTCGCTAACAGTACTTACCCCAACAGTCTGTCAAGGCTTTACGGGGAATCTTTGCATCCGGTGTGGTGTGAGAGTTATGCGTTGTGGGTCTGTCACTCTTGCAGAAAGAGAAGCGATGCGAGGAGGGTGCTGTGGGCGGTGCGGCCGTGGTGGTGATGGCCGGTGAGGGTGAGGAGACGCCAGGGGCAGCCTCACCCCAGTCTCAACAGCCCAGCGAGCCCAGCGTGAGAACATCGTTATCCTCACCGTGATCATCGTCGTAATAAACGATGATGTGAATGAATGATAATTCACGGTCGTTTTTCAGTCCACTCGTGGATGAAGGTCTGCCCGCGTCGCGTCGGTCATGGGGGTTTTATGACCACGCCATGCGAGTAAAAGACAGGTTTGTTTAACCGTATTTGACTGCACTGGTCAGTGCAGGTTTGGTGAAGGACAATGCCCAGGCACCAGTTCGGATATCATTTGCCACTGAATTTATCCATGGCCGTGAATTGAACTCGGATCTCTGGTGCTCATTGCAGTGGTGCTCTCCCCACTAACCCCCTGCACTGTGATCATTATCATCACTTAAAATAATACCACTACGTAACACAATTTTTGTGTTCCTGGGTATTGTGTTATTTCGTAATTGCTTATGCCTAAAAAGTATCGAAAATGGCTATTATTCCCCAGAAACTTTGCTTTTGTGACCAGTACAGTGATATTTTAAAATTTACCGATTTTCAGTGAGAAAACGGTGGAATGTGTCTTTTCGTTCACATAAAGTCAGAAAAAAACATGAATCAAAATTCATTTGTATCTATACTAAGGTAATACAAAAATGACTACAAAAGATTTAGAAGGGAGTTTTTCGAGATTTACGATTATACTGTAATCACTTTCACAAATCAGCCCCCAAATGTAGTCTCCCATCATGTTCTCGTTATACTGTCCCTGGTAGCGGCGTTCAAAGTCCAGTATATCCTAGTGGAAGCGCTTGCCTTGCTCCTCTGAGTACGCTCCCATGTTCTCCCTGAACTTATCAAGCTGAGCATCAAGAATATGGACTTTGAGGGACATCCTACCGCACTGAGCATTTGTGACTGATAAGTCCGCAAAAGAATGGAGCTGGTCCACAGTTGTCTTAACACTGCATCAGTGTCACCTGTCGGTCACATTTGCTCAAATGTTATTCTGATGGTTAACCTAAGATGACAGGACCAGAATGCACTTCAGGAAATGCTGATGGTTTTTGCATATGCAAAGATGCTGTGTGCTATCTATGCGATGTTGTGTGTTGTATGAAACTCATGACAGCACGCTTCACCTCATTAGCACAGCCCAGGTATGTAAAATAAAAGCTGATAGTACTAGACAAAAATGTCTTCAACAACAAAACATGGATCCTGGCATGCTTCGCAGGTGCAGATTACACCACCATTTTTGCTCTTTTTTTGCATATATCATTGTGATCTCCAGCTCACTAATAATGCCGATGTCAAGTCGTGTAACCGAACTAATAACCGGCAGAGGATTTTATCACTTAAATAATTGATCGCCCAGCTCTTAAAGGAATCGTAACAGGAATCTCTAGTCTCTGCTGTTTTGAGCTGGTGCCTATCACAAGGCTGCGTGCAGAATATGCGCAGGACGATTGATGCCATCATGACCATGCTGAATGCTTCGATTTCTGTTAGGATTTTCTGTTAAATCTCCCCTTTTGCATACATATTATTTGTTTCAAGCCTACACATCTCTGGCTTTTTAAATTACATTTTCAGCTCCTGAAAGTGCTTGATTTCGAAGATGAAGCCGCTTGGTTTTTTGGGTTGTATCTTTAAACATCGGCTTGAGAGCATCGTACAACCTACTGGCAGGGCCCGGTTAAGGTCCTTGTAGGCCCTAGGCACTTCTGTTTCGTAGGCCTTCCGTGATATATTTCTAGTTGGTACTGCTGCCCCTTGTGACTCCCGTCTCTGTCGCTCGCTTGTTTCATGCCTACTTCATCCAGCCGCTGGACAGATGTCGTTACTGATACGTTCGTTATTTAGTCTGTGCCCTCATTCTATGGGAGCGTGCTGCAGATTTGATTTGAAATTATTTAAAAACACAAACAAGGTAAGCCTAAAAATACAAGCGAAAATGTTTTCAACAATTTTTTTACTATGATTGTCGTCATATCGGATGACGCAGCTTTAAAAGGGATGCTGTAAATTTTCATTGGTAATATTCAACAACAAAAAAAACATGGTCAAAATTTTGTTTTAAAGCTTTCGTGACTGCAGTAATTCATATTCTTAGTTTTTTCGGTAAAGTCACGTTGAAGAGAAACAACAAAATAATAAAATATATATAAAACAATAAAGAAGACGACCGTTTGAGTTATGGTCGAAACGTCGTGAGAATTTTTTTATTGTTTCATATATATTTTATTATTTTGTTGTTTCTCTTCAACGTGACTTTACCGAAAAAACTAAGAATATGGTCAAAATTGTTTTCGTAGGCCCTAGTCGCAGTGCCCACTGTGCCTGTTCAATAATACGGCCCTGTCTATTGGTGATGCTGCTGCTCTCCCAACTGTGCTCACGGGGCCTGTCCCCCCATCTCACTGCCCTTCCATTCGCTCGCTTTCACAACCTCCTCCCACCCTCCTATGCTCTGCTTCTGCAGGTCGATGACCTAGACTTCTGGCTGTCGGTTTCTGACGCGCCACCTCCCTCCAAATCCAAGGTCTGTGGGGACACCGCCCCCACCCCCCCCCCCCCCCCCCCACTTTTTGTTAAAACAGCCGTCATTTTGTCAGCCTTAATTTGGCGCTCTCTCTCGGCAACCCGCTCACCGGCGTGTGTCGCTCTTCTCACCGAGTGGCCACCTGGCGCCGTGTCTTTCAACAGTACGAACCGATCGGAAGCGCATTGTCACCAGCTGGTCCGGACGAACAGAGCGCAGAGGAGGTGGACACAGTCAAGCCTGATAAGGTACACTATATAAAAACGTATAGATCTTTACGTATGTTTGTTGAACTTCTTTCGCACAGTACGTAGCCAACCGTGATAATTGGAGGTGTGGGGGAAGGACAAACACCAAAAGCAGTTACATTCCATGGGTTTTTGCTTAGCTGTGGGAGAAAACCAGAGAACACAGAGGCAACCCATGCAGAAAATGGGTAGAACATACGGAAAAGCTCCCATGTCGAAAATCAAACCTGGGCACCTTTTTACTGTGAGGCACAAAGTGTTACCACTGTTCCACCATGAAGCCCGCATGACCAGTCTCATCATTTAGCAGAGTTGAGCCACCGTAGTCTCTGGATGGGTGACCACCATGCAGAGATTGCTTTCAGGGCTACATCGTCGACAGCAGAGGGAAGTACAACTCAGTGTGTTGCTGTACTGAACTTCTGTGCTCCCCACATTCTCCCTGCCATTGTCAACCCCGTACTGACCAGCGTGGCGAATTGTGGTCAACCAACCCACACTCACCTCTAATTCTAACGACAATAACATTGCCAGTCTCTCCATTGACCTCTCAATAATGGTACAGTAATGCCCCAGTTTACATCGGGTGGGGGGGGTGTGTTCCCGAAAAGGTGCAACTACGAAGATCGAAACGACGTCAATCGGAGCGATTTACAAGGGGGGGGGGTAGTTGGTAGCGAAGGCTGAGAGGTGCCTGATGACGAGAAAGGACGGACGATGCCGTCGGCAATGCGAGTGTGTGGGTTGAGGCAACGCAAATCATCAGTCGCGTTGTTCATTACAATAGAGCGACGACTTATTTGCGAAACTAGATAAAAGGGGGAAGACGTAAATCAACGTATTACTGTACTGGTTTTAATGACTCTTAAAGGAAGAAAAGGTTTTTTTCATCCCGCTACCAGGATGTGAAATTTCCCGATTGTGACTCCAACTTAAGGGCCACCTGACGGGATCCATTGAGGACGCAGTCTAAAAATAAATCGCGCAAAGATAAATTGGCCGGAAAGCTCATTCAGGGTGCACTGTGTCCCTACAGAAAAGCTCGAAACACAAGAAGGACAAGAAACACAAGAAGGACAAGGATGAGGAGGTGGTGGCAGACAGGAAGAAGGACAAGAAGAAGAAAAAAGGGAAGACCAAGGGTGGCTCTGGTGACGAAGGACCCAAGGAAAATGGTGCAGCCGAGAGCCTCGCACTGCCGGTAAAGGTCTTGCACATGCTGTGCAACTACGGGGCAGCAGTGGCCGTGTGTGATGCGTGGCATCGCGCTCACTGTGCTGGCTGGTGTGACGGCTGCACCAGACGGTTGCGTGCAGGAGCACGCAGCGTGTGGCATAACACGTAGCCACGCAGTCAGCTCTCGGTCAATATGGTTCAGTTGTTACCAAAACTGGCTACAGTACAACATTAAAACAATACTAAAGCACAGTATATTGACACCTGAAGTGTATTGATGTACACGGTATGTCGACACTGCACATGTACATACACTTTGTAAACACTTGATAATTCACTTCTGTAAATCCCACCAATTGTATTATATTTAGCCCAGCAACGCGTGACCCTGCACTCCGCTTGCGATCTGCTGTTGCATCATGCCTCGTGGAGGCAGTTGCACACAACATTCACGCTGCATTTGGTGGTGTAGCGGGGTGAGTTTGATGCTAATGCATGAATTAATATCACGATTAGGGCAGTGGCTTTTGTTATTAGGAAGCAACTGTTTCAATACGTGCGATTTATTTGTTTATTTGTTTTTGTGTATCTCCTTTGTGATGGGACTTTGTAAGATGAACGTTGAGATTTATAAGGGCACGGGGTAACATAAGGTTTGAATTTGTCTGTAATAAGGTAGGGCACTAATCAGCGGTTTAAATGTATGAATACACAGCCTCTATTTTAACGTATAAAATACTGTATAAGCTTATAGTTTATTTTGCTGTGACTGCCTTGAAAATAGGTTTATAAATGCATTAGCAGTGCTGTACAATAATAAATAAATACAACTTTAACATTTCCAGTGAATTCTGACATTAAACAGAAATCAATATGCGTCAACATGCGAGGTAATTCTTTAGAGCATGGGCAAAGCAGCCCGATTGACCAAATTATAAATTCGTGAATCATTGCTACCCAATATTTGCTTTGAAACATTTCTTGGGTAAATATCCTTGAGATACCAGTTCCTTTCAACACCGGAACCAAATATTTCTGAAAAACATCCCAAAACCCTGCAAAGCTTTATTGTTGTTGTAAATGTCGACGTTGTTACCGGTGTACATATGTAAAGTAATGTGCCCGACTGCTGTCTGGTGATTTTCTAGGTCATGTCCAACTATAAGCTGCTCGCAGAAAATGAGCATCTCAAAATCGTAAGTGATGACAGCTTTATCAAAGCGCAAAACTGTTGTGTGGCGGTGCACTCCTGTACGTCTGGTGTTTCTGCAGCTAGGATTATGTCGGTTACAACGCATATATAGGACACTCCCACTGTGCAGTGCAGCCAGATGGGTTCTTAGAGTCGGCCGTGCCATATACGCAATACACTCGTATACAATGGAACTGGCTTAACTTCCTCCTATTTATGGTCCTTCTGAAAGAGTCTTGAGACTTATCAATACATATATGGTGTTAAACTATAAAACGATATTCTTTGGGTCTTTACCGAAAGACCCAAAGAATATGAATTCCTGCAGTCACGAAAGCTTTAAGTCAATTAAACTATAAAACTATTTAAAACTCATGATAAAGGTTATTGGGTTAGATTGCGTTATTTATAAATGTGTCGTAACCCTCCACCACCCGACACGGCCAATCAGCAAAAAAGTGTCACGTTGACAAAAGACATAGTTCACTACTTTAGCCCACCGGTGTGTTGAAGAGTGAATCCACAACATTTACAGTTTGAGTACGACGTTTAGCTGGTAATTACATCCAGCATCATCGGGCAATTCGCCAGAATGGTAAAGCCCTCACTTGCTCCCGGTCTTAAATAGAGCAGCAGGGTGACGTCATCATTTAACTCATTTATAAATAATGCGATCTTACCCAAAAACCTTTATGACTAATATTGGTCGCGAAAGCCTACATGTTAAACTATTTAAAACTATTCACTTTTAATTTTACCAGGTAAGGCCTACTGAGCTATGTAGCTCTTTTTCAGCAGTGACTTGGCCACAAATGATAGCTCAACAAAAAGTGGCTTATCACGTGGAAATTTATAGCAGCCAAATACTCTAAACACACGTTTCTCAATGTGGAGGGAAAAACCAGAGGACCCGGAGAAAAAGTCACCGCAAGTATCTTAGCCACACTCATCAATTACTATAGGAGAATATTTTTCGTCTAGCATCACGATGTTTGTAATTGTAAGCACTTGCTGCCAGAGGCACTTGAAAGTATTTTTTGGGCTTGGGTAGGGAAAGATTCTGCACTGTTTAATTGCGAGACAGATCCTTGGGTTGTGTGTGTGCCAGCACTTAGCTTGTTTAAGAAATGTGTCACACAAAGCGTTTGCATTTCTTTGTCCTCTGCATGCATCCCCATGAAGTAAATTATTTAAGCAACATGCTGTGTAATTTATGCATCCTGGTGTTCCATACCCACCCCAGTAATATAATTTAAGTAACATCCAAAGCTCGTTCAGCATTTACATCTTGGTGCATTTACATAATGCATCCCAGTATCCCGAGCCCTCTTGAGCTAGCTCTGTCCAGTTACACCGCACGACGTCGCGTTTTTCACCTCGCCTTTCCACATTCTGCTCCCCTGCATTTGCAGACGTACGACATTCGCGGGAACCCGACGGAGAGCGGGCAAGTGCTGGTGCCCATGCTGCTCGAGAACCGCTGCAGCGCACAACTCAAGGCCATGGAGTTCAACGTCCTGGACTCCATCAACATGCGGCTGGTCCGTCCGGCAAGCGCCTCCAGCCACGACGGCATTGCCGTGCCCTTCCAGCTGCCTCCTGGTACTACGGATTGCCGCTCGGCAGGAATGTGGCCATGTCACCCGAAGCGTTGGCCTGGCCTAGCGCAAGGGGTCGGCAACCTGCAGGTCCGGAGTCTTATACGGCTCTTTAAGGACTGCTTCTTGACGTTATTTATTAAGGGACCACCGACTCGTATTCACGTGCGCTGTGGCTCTTTAAATATTGAGTTTTGTTACCGAATTCGAAAAAAATGTCTCTACTTGTTACTTTGGTTGCCGACTCCTGGCTTAGCTCGTTGCAGAGGTTCAGGGGTCAAATCCGGTGGCCTCCCTGGTTATTCCTGCGGGTATTTTAACCACAATCTCCGCTTCACAATGGATGTTAAATATCCCGTGGACGCCTTTCGTGAGAGTAGGCCATTGTGTGGCAATACCGTGGTTGAAATCTCCCAAATGTCGAACATTATCCGCAAACTAATCAGTTGCGATGCTTGGGCACTTGTTGTAACTGGTTCTGGCTGCCTTCCAATCCTGCCTGCGATTTCCCACGCCTCCGTTCGAAAAATGTGCTCGTTACAAATTCCACCGCGCTGTGCGATGCAGCTTCCAACGAATGATGCTGTACAAAATAACGCATCACATACAGTGAGGGAAAAAAAGTATTTGATCCCTTGCTGATTTTGTACGTTTGCCCACTGACAAAGAAATGATCAGTCTATAATTTTAATGGTAGGTTTATTTGAACAGTGAGAGACAGAATAACAAAAAAATACAGAAAAATGCATGTCAAAAATGTTATAAATTGATTTGCATTTTAATGAGGGAAATAAGTATTTGACCCCTCTGCAAAACATGACTTAGTACTTGGTGGCAAAACCCTTGTTGGCAATCAGAGGTCTGACGTTTCTTGTAGTTGGCCACCAGGTTTGCACACATCTCAGGAGGGATTTTGTCCCACTCCTCTTTGCAGATCTTCTCCAAGTCATTAAGGTTTCGAGGCTGACGTTTTGCAACTCGAACCTTCAGCTTCCTCCACAGATTTTCTATAGGATTAAGGTCTGGAGACTGGCTAGGCCACTCCAGGACCTTAATGTGCTTCTTCTTGAGCTACTCCTTTGTTGCCTTGGCCATGTGTTTTTGGTCATTGTCATGCTGGAATACCCATCCACGACCCATTTTCAATGCCCTGGCTGAGGGAAGGAGGTTCTCACTCAAGATTTGACGGTACATGGCCCCGTCCATCGTCCCTTTGATGCGATGAATTTGTCCTGTCCCCTTAGCAGAAAAACATCCCCAAAGCATAATGTTTCCACCTCCATGTTTGACGGTGGGGATGGTGTTCTTGGGGTCATAGGCAGCATTCCTCCTCCTCCAAACACGGCGAGTTGAGTTGATGCCAAAGAGCTCCATTTTGGTCTCATCTGACCACAACACTTTCACCCAGTTGTCCTCTGAATCATTCAGATGTTCATTGGCAAACTTCAAACGGGCATGTATATGTGCTTTCTTGAGCAGGGGGACCTTGCGAGCTCTGCAGGATTTCAGTCCTTCACGGCGTAGTGTGTTACCAATTGTTTTCTTGGTGACTATGGTCCCAGCTGCCTTGAGATCATTGACAAGATCCTCCCGTGTAGTTCTGGGCTGATTCCTCACCGTTCTCATGATCATTGCAACTCCACGAGGTGAGATCTTGCATGGAGCCCCAGGTCGAGGGAGATTGCCAGTTCTTTTGTGTTTCTTCCATTTGCGAATAATCGCACCAACTGTTGTCACCTTCTCACCAAGCTGTTTGGCAATGTACTCTTTGGGTCTATTCGGTAAAGTCACGTAGGTAAAAAATAAAACAACAAAAAACACGACGTTTCGGCCACAACACAAGCGGCCTTCATCAGGTGAAGGGACCAGACTGTCTCGAAACAGAGCCAAGCTCAGACCACAGCCTTTAAGCTGTGTGAGAGGGATTAAGGTGCCTTGACAAAGGAATTAGCATAAAAAAATTGCATTTTAATAGGCGGACTTAGCATGATGAAAGGTATGGAGGGGGTCGACCTGTGCAAGCTGGCGAGGTGGCACGGCAGCGTCCACATGCTGGTGGTGTGAAAAGGGGATTTTAAGCTGCGAAAGTTTGGGGTACCAATACTTGAAAAATTTGCATTTTAATAGGCGGACTTAGCATGATGAACGGTAGGGAGGGTGTCGACCTGTGCAGGCTGGCGAGGTGACACGGCAGCGTCCACATGCTGGTGGTGTGAAAAGGGGATTTTAAACTGCGAAAGTTTGGGGATACCAATACTTGAAAATTTGCATTTTAATAGGCGGACTTAGCATGATGAACGGTAGGGAGGGGGTCGACCTGTTTTCACTCCAGCGCAGTCTTCGAGACAGTCTGGTCCCTTCACCTGATGAAGGCTGCTTGTGTTGTGGCCGAAACGTCGTGTTTTTTGTTGTTTTATTTTTTACCTACGTGACTTTACCGAATAGAACCAAAGAGTATGGATCCTTGCAGTCACGAAAGCTTCAAATCTAGAATTGCTTGGCAATGGTCTTGTGGCCCATTCCAGCCTTGTGTAGGTCTACAATCTTGTCCCTGACATCCTTGGAGAGCTCTTTGGTCTTGGCCGTGGTGGAGAGTTTGGAATCTGATTGATTGATTGCTTCTGTGGACAGGTGTCTTTTATACAGGTAACAAGCTGAGATTAGGAGCACTCCCTTTAAGAGTGTGCTCCTAATCTCAGCTCGTTACCTCTATAAAAGACACCTGGGAGCCAGAAATCTTTCTGATTGAGAGGGGGTCAAATACGTATTTCCCTATTTAAAATGGAAATTAATTTATAGCATTTTTGACATGCGTTTTTCTGGATTTTTTTTGTTATTCTGTCTCTCACTGTTCAAATAAACCTACCATTAAAATTATAGACTGATCATTTATTTGTCAGTGGGCAAACGTACAAAATCAGCAGGGGATCAAATACTTTTTTCCCCTCACTGTAGCAGCCCAATACTCTAAACGCACGTTTCTAAATGTAGAGGGAAAAACCAGAGGACCCGGAGAAAAATTCACAATACCACGGGGAGAGACATGCACACGCCAAATAGAGGCATCGTCGGGCTTGGGATCGAACCCATGACCTCCTGCATACCAGGCGAGATAGTTCAAATTTGCTAGCCACTGCAGACAGTGGCAGCACAGTGTTGCATATTTGATTTGTTGTCATGTTTTGGGGTCATGATTCAATTTTTTTTTAATTAAACTGCGATGTTCCTATTATCTCTTATGCTTTGTGTTGTTCATTCCATTAGCTTGTCGATATCATGCGCATAAAGGTTCCATGTATGTGCGTGTATATGTTGAATTTCTTTCGCACCGTATGTAGCCAACCGTGCTGATCGAAGGTGCGTGCACGTAGCCAACCGTAAATGTTCCACATGAAAAATAATAGATTCCTACACGCGTGATTCGGTACACGCGTTACAGAGCGGGAAGAATCGATTATTATCGCCGATTGAACGAACGATTCGTGGCGTGCCCGGTGCGCGTGCAGCTGCCGGCGAGAGCAGCGGGTTGTGGCTCACGTCGCATTACCGTGTCGGTCCGCGCAGGCGTGTCCAACGAGACCCACTTCGCCTTCACCGTCGAGAGCATCGTCAATCCGCAGAAGCTCAAGGGGACGCTCACGTACATGGTCATGGTGAGTGCGGCTCCATTGCTGGGCCGCGGTCAGTGTGGGAAACTTTAATGTGGTTCAAGGAAAACTATTTCAACAATTTTTTTCATGTTTATCCGGTAAGGCCCACTGAGCTTACATAGCTCATTTTCAGAAGCGACATGGTCACAAATGATAGCTCAACCAAGAGGCTTATTGTGTGGACAATTATAGCGGCCAAATACTTTTAAAACGCATGTTGATTCTAAATGTGGAGGGTTAATATCCAATCACGGGAAGAACATGCAAACTCCAAATATATTCAGGCGTCTAGAGTCGGGATCGAACCCACGACCTCTATAACATCCGAGGTAGTTGACATCTCGCCACCGTGGCACCCCAATAATACCATGGCAGGGATCAGACGTATTTATTGAGACAATTTTCTATCACTAGCAGTGAGTAATAACACCAGCTAAACCGTATTTTATCCACCCTGAAGGAATGATGGTTATGATAATGGCAGGAATGATTCGTGATACTGATGTATACATGAGCTGTAACCCAGGCATGTTCATTTTAAATAACGGTAACACAATCACACTTGTATCATTCAACACTTTAGCTGATGAAGATATTTTTTTTTATTAAAAAGGTTTGAAAGGCCACCATTGCCAAGTGCAATGATGCACTTCTGTTATCCTTTCATCTGAAGGTCAGGCTTTAATTTATACCCAAAAATGCCTCTACTGGGTGCCAAGAATCACTTTCAGGAGGGTAATACATTGTGATGATCCGTCAACTCCTTGTGGAATATATTTAAGTGAGTACCTGGACTAAAAGCGTGCAGGCATAGAAGGTGATAGCACTCTATGCCGCACAGATAAGCCGTGAACATATATGCTATTCCAGCTTTTACATAGGCCAACTTGTGCCCACAAAGTGACATGTCCGTAATGAGCTTTTGCGTAATCCACTCGTGTTGTATTTTACTCCCACAGTCGAATGAGATCTTGTCTCATGAGAAGTTGGACTTTACGCTGCAGTTCACGTGTACCTCCTACTTACTCGCCAGTCCCTGTTTCAGGTGAGATTCGGGTCTGAGGGGTACGTTCCTACTTCTCATTGCAATAGCTTCATTGTGGCAGCTGCCTTGTCATGCAAAGCAAGTCGATCACCAATCAAGATAAATGTGTAAATCGTCAATGCTAATGATATTGTTATTAGCAGGGAGATATGGGAGAGGTCTGTACAGAAGCGATGGAAGAGCCATACGAGGCAGAGGAGGGATGCACGAGGATGAAAGCACACGTGTTGCTGTGCTCACTCGAGCCAAGCTGGAGTTCACCCACCAGACCTGCATCTCCATGCATCTCGCTACGATATAGCCGAAGTGCTGACCAGTTTGCTTATTAAGCTGTGCGGTTGCTTTGGCCTACACATCCATAAGTTAGCCCACCTTAGATTGCATCCGCTGCACAAACCATAACAGTAGGTGCGGATGCCTGATGCACAAATATAAAATGAAAAACTCTCCAGTGTGTGCGGCTGTGGTCATCCAGACCAAGACAGTACAACGTTTATAACGACGCAATGCCCCGATCCACAAATACGAAGGAGACATCATCACAGCGATGATACACTCCGCTACTGCTGCTGACGCGGTTGTCTGGCTTGACCACCTGAAAGTGAAGTTGTAGTTGTTGCTCTGCATCCTCATCAGCAGTCATACGAAAGAAGAAGTCAATTTCACTTATATCTGTGTGTGTGTGTGTGGTCCCAGTGACATGTTTGCGGAGCTGATAGGCGAGGGAGAGCTGGCTGCAAGCTCTGTGAAGGTGAGCGATGTGGAGCTGCCCTTCCCCGTGCTGCTCGCCAAGATCTGCTTCCACCACCACTTCTCTGGTACGCATGCACAACAACAAAGATCGCCCGCGTGTAGCCTTAACAGGCTGATGTATGTGTGTTGAACGTACGTAGCTAATCGGAGGTGCTGGGGAAGGACAACAAACTGAACATAAAAAAACAGTTCTAAAGAAATGAGTTTCCAATGTTGAGGATTTAAAAATGCATAGCTCAAGTGGCTTCCTCATATCGGGAGGAATATTGTCCCAGACCGCCGCAGAAGCGCATCTGAAAGCGCGCGATGCGTGACCATCTTTGTTTGATGGTTAGCCAAAAGCCGCTGCGAGGATGACCGGAGTTTGAGTGATGGTGGTTTCTGCTCCTTGACAAGATCAGCAAGGTATTGTGGTTAATTTGTGGCAAGCGCTTTTTGTGTAACGAGTGCGACATTATAACAAGTGTTGTCAGCGGGTAGCACCTATGAAGGACGGCACTTCACACAAGGGGGTGGGTGGCCACTACCACTCCTGGCCATCTTAGTCTCCCCAGTGCTTGTGTGTGCACACCGCACCACGTACTCCTTTAACGCTGGACACATCATCAACAACCGCCATTCGCCACTAAGTGGTGGTTATGTCACCACGGTGCTTGTGCCAGGATATGTGCTGGACACAAACACACGCATACGTACACTCACATTCATGTACACGTGCCGACGCATGTATACACACACGCTAAAAATGCATACCCTCCCTTTGCTGCCCGGACCTGTTGATGATCGCTGCTTGTTCCCACCGTATCCCACAAACACGTGTCTCCACGCAGTGGTGGAGCACATTGGCTCGTGCGCCTCCCTCTACAGCCGCTCCATCCAAGAGCACCCCGTCTGTCTGCTGCTCAAGCTGCTGGTAAGGTCACCGTACAGCCGCTCGCTGAGCAATCTCACTCAACTTTGATCGAAACTGCCCTGCTCGGGATGTTCCGCGTGCTACCGTCGTCTCGCCAGTATCGCCGCATCCTCTTCGTGTCTCCCTTTGTACCTCTTCCCGTGACGTCCGTCAATGGCAGGATGAGCGGACGATATCTATGGACGGCAAGAGCAGCGACTCCTCGCTGCTTTCCTTCGTCATGGACGAGGTGAAGCAGACGCTGAGGTCCCCGTGAGGAGGGTGGCTCCTCTCGGACCTCGGTCGCCACGGCCACCTTGGCCTGCCCGCCCACCTTCTCGGCACGCACGCCTGCCCACCCGCTCGCTCGCCCGCCTGCCCAGGTCACACTGCCGCCGATAACCATGACGAACTGCTTCGGCGAAGTCATTCGCCTCGTTTAGGATACGGCCTAGAGAGGGGCGGGGGTACTTTTATTTCTAAATTTCGAGTAACGCAGTCTTCCAGTCACAGCCTCCCAGTCACAGCCTCCCTTGTGATGTGTCCAGTTTGAGCTGCGTGCTGCTCTGCGATGTGCGGTGTGCGCGTGCGTGCGTGGGGCTGCCTTTGCTGTCTTAAACTTTTAACTGGAAAAAAAAACGTTGTGCAATTGGAAGGATTCACCCCTTGGTTGCAGTGTTACCCAGGCTGTCAGTTTCCGTAAGGCTTACCAGGGCCGATTATCATTGCGATCCTTTCACAATACACAACATGCGTTGATCAGTAGCCTGCAAAGTGTATTATTTTACATTCGTTCAAACGCTGTTTAGTTTATTGTCGTTGTTTGTTTAGTTTCGATTTGCATTTTTGAGTCGTAATGTATTTTATTCCTTCATGTAGGAGGGTGCTGTAGTGAATATTGCGTTTAGATTCATGCCGTTACCCGTGAAGTGTTTTTTTGTCGCTGCTGCTGCCGTTAAGTTTGCGTTTAAAGGGCCTTTTGCTGGCTGTTGAAACAGTATTTTTCCTAGCCGAATTAGCTACGGTTGGGCTTTGTGAGCTGTTTTGTAAATATACATACAAAATCGGCTGAAATTAATGACGAGGTTACGTTTGCAATTCTTGTGATCAGTGCTGTGAACTTCTCAGAGTTCTGTAGTCACCAGATTATGTAAAATTTTCGTAGGGGTGTGGCACAATGAATTGGGAACAAGATATTGAAAGTTAATTTATCGACACTATTTAATTCATGTTTGACTATGGTCTGCCCTAACATTGGTGCAATTACTGTATTACACGCTTAATACAATGAAGATTAGACTTCATTGTGTTAATCAGCACGACTACTTACCCAAATATCTTGTTCTCAAAACTAATGCCTGCCATGTCTGTTACCATTGGCAAACTGAGAAAATATTTTTGATTTGTTGATCATCAGTGTGCAAAGAGGATTGAAGTGAAAAGTTTGAAATGGTTTAACAATAATTTCATTTTATAGAGCGTCATTCATGCAATTGCATTCCGTAACATTGCACATCAATTATATCCAGCTCCATACAAAAAATACAAAAGTAAAACCCCACTACTTTGCAAGATAAAAAAATTGAATAGATAAATTAGGAGAAAAAAATGCATGGAAAAATAAAAAAATCGCAGATGAAATAAATTAAAGTAAATAAATCTGCTGTCTCCATACCCCAGACCACAATCCCAACATTTCTCCGGATTTTGGAGAACCTTCACTCCGTAGAGTGAATATCACACCGAGGCAATATATAATGTATCAAATGTAGTCAGCATCTCGATTGTCACAGTGATAGTGCCCGGATGGCCACTTTAACACCGATCGTTGGAACTTTGCAATCGCCTGGCTAAGCATGACACCAATTCTAAAACCTTGTAACCCACAACTGTAAACAAAAAATATCACTGTGGGTATCACTGCACGACGTGTTATTGTCAAGCAAATATCACGTGGCATTGCATGCATCTTCCTTGCTCTGTATCGCCACTTTTCTAAGTTAAACTCCCTCGATGCAAAGCGATCATACGCACATTGCACACTGCATGCAGGAGTCCGTGGTGAATGTGTCCTTCATTCTAACTTAAATCTTACCGCTGTCTTTATTACATAGCCACCACCCCTTAAGTTCGATATTTTTAATTGGAATCTCCTGCCGTAATTACTCGTAATTTAATCTATATAGAAACATCATTTGGTGCCTCTAAAATGCATAAGCTGCACAGTACTGAGGGTTTATAGGTGGCGGATTTTTGTTGTAGTATGGCACGCCCCTGGTTTTTGTTGCCACATGTACGTACGAGAGCCACCCTCCCATTTATTTAGTTTGAAGTTGGCGCTGTCCAACGCTTGAGGCTAAGAAGGTGGGGTGGGGGGGGCAGCTGCTGGAGCAGAACTCAAACTGACTTCTTGAAAGAAAAAAAATACCACACGAGGCAAGCGGTTAGCGATCCGGACTGCGAACGTCGTGGCAATTGAGAGCTCCCGAAGCATTTGCGGTGTGTGGTCCTGCTCAAATGAGCATGGGGTGACCGCCCCCATGAGAGGTCCCGAGTCTGTTGTGGAACTTCCGGCTTGTCCATGGCGTTGGGCCATTAATTTGAAACGATGACCACTGTTAACTTCCTGCAAAGTGATGGTAATCATTGTTGGCGAAGCCAGGTAATTTTGAAATGATGTCATCTGCGTGACTAACACACGTAAAATTGTTGTACAGTTAGATAAATGTACGCACCAATGAGGGTGGAGAGTGTCACTTATTTATAAGGTGATTTAAAGATTGGTAGTAGAGTAGTTTTTGAAGTAGTGTGTACTTCAGCCGTGGTACTCATTTTAATGACCCCATGCAGTTGATGGGCAACCCCTGACTGGGATTTGAGCCCACAAATTCCTTATCTCCACCATGTGAATGTAGAATTTCCACCACTGGTTCAGTGCCACCAGTGCTGCCCCATTGCTCGGTTTGAGCCGGGAGACACTTAGTTTTTTTTTACAATTTTCAAAGCCATTGTTTGGCGTGGTGTTCGAATAGCCGTGCGCAAGTGTTTTGTGATTTTTTTTCCCTGCAAGACAGTTTCATTTCTATTTTTGTGGTGGTGCGGTTGTACATGCGTTGAGTTTACAAAGGAGCCTTTTCTTAGCGGGGAGTTGCCCTCATGCTGGAATGGTTCCGCTGGTGTACATAGGAACTGTGAAGTGCGACCACTGATCCGTTTATTTACCTGCAGCCCCGTAGCCTCCCCTGACGGCCACGCCAGCTGATACGTCCTCCTCATGCATGCGCGAATGAACGCACATTGACATGGGCTCGGTTAAAATTTCACAGGCACGCTCACTTTAGTCTGGTCATCTGTGCATCGGGTGATTTCATTTGAAACACATTAATTATCCACGTGTAAAAATAATATTGTTTTTCTGTAAAAAAAAATAGTATATAATCGTAACAAAACATCCTGTAGGATTTTGGCAATTGAGTGAACAAGTACATCACTGAGTTTCCAATTAGAAGTAGGAGAAAATGTCCTGTTTCTTTTAAACCATACTTTTTGTTTCCCTTCCGAGTTCTATATCAATTGTATTTGCATCCTCTCAAGAGATGAGACGACCTCGCAAACACCCGCTTCTAAATTCGCTACGAGAGGCCTCTGCTACCCGCACTGAGTGGTGCTGCATTTCACGTGTCCCACAAAGAGCACTGCATGTAAATTGACGCTGAAATTTTTTTATATACCTAGAGCTGAGTTATGCAGTGATTTATGGTTGATTTTTGGGGCACATCCTTCAGCTGAGCACAGACAATTAACAATGGTGTCACATGAACAAACATGCCATTTTACTAGTGCTTCAGTGCAATTGTTAAATGTTGTGGATTGCCGAAGCAGTAATAAATTAATACGTTTTGTTGGCGTGACAACTTTATCAATTGGCTGTGTCAGGTGGACGACGCACATTTTACTCGCACCATCCGACCCAGAAATCAATTGTGAATCTTGATGTTGGTCGCAAAAAGCCTCAACAGAATATGCAAATTAACTGACGAAACAAATGTAGCGTCCGACATTGGACCCTGTGATCCCAGCCCGTCTGGCTCAGTGTTCGAGCCCCTTGAGCCACCCAGCCATCTCAATTTAAACCAGTAACACATTTTTATTTAACATTTGCTGCATTCTAAATGTATTTATTTAAAAACGCAATTATTTTCGCTCGTCTTGACCAGGATACTTATTTTTCCACAGAGGTATATTTTTTTCCGCACATACAATTGATTTTACAAACTCTTAATATGAATGTACAAGTACAGCCCAATTGGCAAGTTGGTCCGCTGATGGATGAGGGCCTCCCACCACCATGTTGGTAATTTGACCGTACTTCACCACACCGGTCAGTGCGGGTATAAGGTTACACAGATAATCCCGTTTAAAACAGGATAGGGCCAAGCACAGTCTTAGTAATGGGGAACCTGTCCGATGATGTGTTATTAACAGAGACAATTTGAAATCAATCGTTTAAGTAGTTGCAAATACAGTTGATTGCCGAATTTGAGAAACGTATGCATCTATGCCTTTCCAACATGACAGCGCTGATCCACAGCGTCATACTCTTTAGACACATCGTGGGATAGGATGGCACGACGACGACCAAGTCCAGGGTATCGAGTACCGCGAAGGCTTAGGACTCTTAACACTTGGTCCAGTTTGAGTCCAAACAACCCGTTGGCTTGGCGAGTTTCCAAGCTGTGTTTCTGGAGTGGATGAGCTGGGCAGTTTGTGGCTTGAGCCAGGGGAGTTTTCTGTACCCCCTGGCTCTCGACTTGCTCAAGGAGCGTGTGTTTGTCAACCACAGAGAGGAAGGTCTTTCAGAAGAATGACCGAGCGGTGTCCGGACGTAAGGTCGGTCACAATTGGCGATGTCGTGGATGAAGGCCTGATGGTCCAATTATTTCAAAGAGCATTTAAATGTCCTCTTGTGTGGAGATGTAAGCGGTGTCCTGTGTTGAATGCTACGTATCATTGAGTGGTCGCACAGATGATTTCCCAGGACATCAACTTTTACAAACTTTTCTGGAGCGTTTGACATGAAGAAATCAAGGATTGCCGAGTGATCTGCGTTTATTTTTTTATATTAGGACGGGTTGGTAAACAGGTGAGGTGGGATATGTTGAATTCTATGTACGTATGCACGTTGAACTTCTTTTTCACCGTACGTAGCCAAACGTGCGAGTCGGAGGTGTGGAGGAAGGACAACAAACTAAACACAAAAAAGAAACGAGTTTCCAATCTAAATTTAAAAGCGCAAAGCTCCAGCTTCTTCCTAATCAGAATCCTGATTTAGACTGGAGTAATCCTAACAACAGAAGGAAGAGTTCCAGACGCGCATCTGAAAGCGCACGATGTAGTGGCCGTCTTTGTTTGATCGTGAGCGCAAAGCCGCGGCGAGGATTGGCCGGAGTTTGCTCGATTGTTCATGCTCCTTGACGAGATCAGCAAAGTATTGCGATGCATTTGTGGCAAAAGCACTTTGTGTGCAATGAGCACTAAAGCTTAAGGAGGGAACAGGCCGGCTAAAAAAGAAAGCATTGGGGACCACAGACGTCCCGCGTTGTGTTCTTAACCCCCTTCCGCATCACGCGGCTGGTTCAGATGACTGGACGGCTTCACGAAGGGGGAACGCGAGGTTGGGTCGTGCGATGGCAAAACTTCATCCAAATGTCACCCTTCCGGGTAGATCTCGTTTCCCGGCAACGCCGGAGCAGGAGGCGCCACGCCAGCCCGCACGCCGCAGAACGCCTCCCTGCTCAATCCCCGTGTGGATGGCATTGAGCAAACAAAAAGTGGAGGGTTTCTGTCCCCCTCTAAGTCTCTGCCCAAAATGGGGAACATCGACGTTGAAAACGTGAGCAGATCGCAATGATGAATTTTGCTGAATTGTCCCCGACAGCCTTGCAGCAGCTGTTCCGTGCACGGTGGTCACCCATCCATGCACTGTTCAAGCTCAACCCTGCATAGCTTCTGAGATCTAACGAGATTGCGCGCATTTTGGGCGATATGGTCATTGGTGGTTTTATTCAAACAAATTTCAATTGGTGGAGCAAAGTAACTAATTTGAAACGTATGCATGGATGTTGAACTTCTTTCACACCGTTATGTAGCGAATCGTGCCCATCGGAGGTGCAGAAATGCAGTGATTGTGATGCGTACACCAGCTGTGTTAGATCTTGCTGCCAAAATTTAAACTTTTGAAAGTAATATTTTTTTCCCCTTCAATACTGTACTTAGAGCCCACCGAGTGTGTGAAATTGGGGAGAGCTGTAGCAATCAGGCCCAGTCCAGATGAGACTTTAGTATTTAAGCACGCCTGTGTGGAATGTGTCTGCTTGGTAGAGATGATGTGGTTCTATACAAGTTGATTGTACCAGTTATATTTTAATTTCCGATTAAAATTACCCCTGTGACCGCATCATCATATATGACCCAACAATATAATGATAAACTAATGCTTAATTTTACAACGTACCCTTAATATGTGATAAACAGAAGGAAAAATAAGGCTAGTTATTTATTAAAGAGAACTGTTCTGTTGCTTTGTCTTAGATATTTTGTTGTTACCGATTGCACATTTAATTATATTTGTCACGTTATTTTTACGATCGTTAGGTTATTCTGTCTGAAGCAACTTGACGCTAAAAGTGCAAGAACGTCTGTGTGTTCGCTCAGCGCATTGCACTTCGTAACTTGTGGGGTCTGTCGATGGTGTCTGAAGGTTTGACTTGGCAAGTACCAGGCCCTGCTCTTTAAGTGTTCCGCTTTATCAGCCTTTTGGGGTGGGAGGAAGAAAAAGGCGCACACACGGTACGTTCCAGTTCACCCTGGAGAGAGGGGGGGGGGGGCGGAATTGTGTTTGTGTTGCCCATTGACGTTGCTTACATAATCGCGTGTTCTTTTGTTCAATCCCAGGTTTCGTGTATGTGCGCGTGTGTGTCCTCAGATTGTGAGGAGTGGTGGTTGGAGTGGTTTTGCGCAATGCTGTACAATACCAATGACCAGGGATTTCGATACCAGGCCTGATGCACAACCCCATTGGCAGTTGGTAGTTAACCCTAACCTGGGTCTTCCCGGTGAGTACCTGGCCTGACCCGGGAGTACTGGGTGCATGTTAACATCGACGCTGGGAAGACGGTGGCTGGCTCTGCGTGGAGCTGTCCATACCACCTCGTGGCATTTAGCCTCGCTATTTTGCTAGGCTAAACGTGTGATTTTAGTTCTCTATTTGTGATGCTGGCTGCTGCTTATACAAGCCGCTCGCATAGTAACTTTAGAAAGCGGCTGTGCCTTCGTTTTAAGTTGTTTCACAGAGCGGTCTTCGAGCCAGGATGTCACTGAGTTCATATTAGACACCCGCAGACAGACTGTTCTAGGAGACAGCCTTCCTCTCCACGGTGGCGAGATGTTATCTCCCTCGCCTGGTATACAGGAAGGCGAGTTCGATCCCGATGCTGACGAAGCCTGTATATTAGGAGTTTGCATGTTCTCCCTGTGGTTGCGTGGATTTTTCTCTGGGTCCTTCGGTTTTTCCCCCCATACTTAGAAACATGCGTTTAGAGTATTTGGCTTCTATAAATTTCCACTTGATAAGCCACTTCATTGAACTATCAATTGTGGCCAGATCGCTTCTGAAGACGAGCTATATTGCTGAGTCGGCCTTACCTGGTAAAGTAAACAATAGTTTTGAGAGTAAACTAATTTCCTACCAGGCTGCATTTGCAATGGCTTTTATGGTATTGAGTTTATTTTCTACTTCCGTCTACTGCTCTTTTTACAACCTACATTTTTCGTGTGCAAGTAGTGTCCTGTCGATTGTAGCATTGCATTTGTTTAAAATGTGAATCCTTGCCTAGCTCTGTTTTTATTGAAGGTCATGTGAACCTCTTGGGCCCGCCCCCCCCCGGCCGCTGTTCAATTCTCTCCGCGTAACGCCGAGAATTTCCCAAACCAAAGCGGACGCTTACTCTCCTAGCAAGACATTCCCATTGGCGCAGTGAATTTTAAAACCCTTTACCCCCTTGCGCCCTCCCCTTCCCCATGAGCCACATTTACCAACCTCCTTTGGAAAACACCGGTTGCCATGGCAGCATGCGTTTGTCAAAGAGTGCTGGCGCAATTGGCCATGGGAGGGGAAGGCGAGGACACTTGGCTTGCCAGCTCCCAATCGTTGCAACGCAGCTTTTGGCACAAAGTACGCCCCCTTCTCCCTCGCTGGCACCAAAATCCCAAGGCCTCGGCTGCACAATTGTCAACTTCTTTGACTCTTCGGACATCTTGTGCTGCTGTCGTAGTTCCCTCAATCTTGCTCATGGATCCCGAGGCAAGGGATATAAGCGGAGCCGGGGTTGGCGGTCGGTGAGCATGGATGACGGATGGTTCCGGAATGCTCATCCGTCTCTACGTCTGGGATTTGCCCACAACCACATCTGTGGTAGCTCCACTGCTGTCAGATATTCCCCGTGAAGGCTTTCTGGGGCAAATATTTATTTCCCTATTTATTATCTGGACCACACATCAGCTCTTTATCCTTGCATGGGTGCGTTTGAGTTCATTTGTTGCTCCGCAGATGACGATTTTCTTTTCATTTGCCACGTTTCCACTGGCGGCGGGGGATGCCCCCCCATCTCTCGCAAGTGCATCTTCTCTGCTTCAAGGCTTCAGGTTGTTGCCGCCGTGTACGACGTCGCATCGGCGGTGGGCGTGGTGGACGCGCGTAGTCAGACACTCGGGGTGGGGCAGTTGGGTGCTGTCTGCTGGGCTGCGAGGTGGCCAGGAGATGGAAACACGTGCATGTGGGTCCTCGGCGCGTGTGCATAATTCCGGTATTAACCTCGGGTCTTTCTCGGGCAATCCAATTTTATCTCACTTGCAAAATGTACTCGTTTAGAAAGTGGGCAAACTTGAAAATGCAAAACCAGTCCAGAAGAGAGTTTGCTTGAATAAAACGAGGACATCGTTCTTCTGGCTCGCTGCCTTCCAGCATCACTTGTTTCACCGGGTGCCGAGGATATATCGATCGCTTTTACAGCTTTTATAAATCGAGCCACTCGGTGCACAACCTACATTGCAACCGACGACGCGAATGCCTCCTCCCGGCGTACCTGGTCATCGAGCGAGCGGGCCGAGGAGTTGCATCCACGGTCGTGCGGTTGATGCCACCGCCTCAAAGACTGGGATTGTCGCAAAGACACACGTCGCATTGTCGCTTGGGGTTTCGCCTTGAATGCCGTGCGTTCATCCATTCCCTCCCCTCTCGGCTGCCTCCAACCAGCTGACCGTCCCCTCCATGGCACTGCCCTGGTGGTCATCAATCGTTGTGGTGAGAAGTATTTACCCAGTTTTGCGTACTATTTTAATTTTACCTTGCATTCCAAGACATATATACAATAGCCGTGGGCAGAGCTGCAAATGTGAACAATAAAGAGTTGAATGTGTGTGTACACTTCTGTTTGCCTGTATTTGCTTTATTCTTACCCCACTTATTCCTCCCCGCACTTCCGATCGCTTCCTCAAGCACCTCCGATTAGCACGGTTGGCTGTGTCCCGTGCGAAAGAAGTCCAACGTGCCGATGGTGTTGGTTTGAGAACCAAAACTCTGTCTGAAGATTGAGGGAAACTCCCTGGTCAAAACTTGACAAGGTCCATCGTCCCTCCAGGGTCTTTAAAATATTTTCCACTGCAATTATTGACAGATTTTGGAATGCAAAAAAATATAACGGTTTTGTACGTCGTCAGGTACATGTACCTATTTTCAGGCGGGCGGTGGTGGCTCTACGCACGTGGCCTGCAATGCAAGGGCGAGGGTTGGTGGATTGCACAAATGTTCCCTTGGGCATTGAGGTGCCACACCTTGGCTTGCCAGGAAAAGGCAGTACAGCAAGTGTGGACTAAACTCCACCTGTTCCATCTGCGTGGGATAGTGTTTTTCCCCCCACGTGTGAATGGGTATTTTTCGGCTGCTCCAATTTTAATCGAACATATCAACACTCAGTATAAGAATAGGTTTTACCCTTTCAGGCAATAAAACAGTTGTGTTAAAGATGTTAAAAACACCACACTGAAACCTTTTGCAAGGAATCATGTCTGCATTAACCACATACTTGTGGTGAACATGCATAAAAACCGTGCTCTGCTAGTACACCTGTTTTATTGCTTGAAAGGGTAAAACCTATTCTTATATTTTGATACTGGCGAGGGGGGTCCCATGACTAATTGGCTGGTAACATCTTAACATATATAGATGACCGCAGAGCTTGGGTGGGAGTTTGACAACGTTTTCTCTCCAATAGTGATTGAATACAATGCATTTAATGTTCAAGGTTAACCCACGAGATACTTCACTGTGAAGCTGGGGCAAGCGAAGCTGGGCACCCTGACAAGTTACCACCAAGCCCAAGCATCAGCCACGCTTGAAATTCGTCATTGGTTGTAACAGCATCAACATTCACGTACATTTACGCTGGCTGCTTGCTGCCTTTGCGGCTACTCGCGTGCCACGTGCCACGTGCCACATTGCCGTTTGGTCAAAGTGCCCACAGACACAGCCGTGTCGGCAACATCGTGCCACGTGATGTCATCGTTTCATTCCCTGAAATGTTTTCTTCACAACATATTCTTGTTCCGGCAATTGTTTTTACTCACGCTATTTGTGTTCTGTGTGGGATGGAGTGGTGGGCGCAACAGTTGCACATTGCAACCGTGAAATCCGGTGGTGATTCCCGTTCGAATTCCTGGCCACAGTGAGCACCCGTGGCCAATTGAATGTTGAACCAGTCCCGAGCACCCCACACCCTTCACCAAACCACACTAACCAGGGTGGTGAGGTATGGCCCAACCCCCCCCCCATGACCATCTAGCAGTGGTTTGAGTGACGCTAGAGCTGTACATTGTCCTCTGTCGCTCTGTGCAAGAGTCACAATGTAGACAATGTGAAAGTAGATTCCACCAGCCCCACAAGATGCCCACTTAGTGCCAGACCCAACCGAGGAGCAAATGTAGCTCACCACCGAAGGCCGACAGGATCCAGGGCTGATGGATTGGCTCGACCTATTTGTGCAGTGTTCAACACGGATGCACACACTCTGGACTGGGAGGCAACACCTTTATCTAATAACTTCCCTAGGACTGGCTGACATGCCGTACTTATTCTGGTGCTCGCATGGCTCCAGACGCACCGTTGCACTCCTGGAACAGTAGCTGGCGCGAACACCCTAGTGACACCATTTACATCACCCCCCCCCCTTTCTAAAATAGCCGTCCCGGCTGATCACTATACCCTCCAAAAACCCAACAACAACAAAGCAAGCAGCAACCGTCGCCCAGACAATATGTACATCAACGGAGGAGCACCCAACATTTTTTCCCCGCGAATACATGACCAACACAACCCCCAGACAATGTACACCCCCCAACACCCGCAACATGTCACACCCTACGAGCACATAACCCGTCTCTCACCAGGCTCACATTGCAGCGTGCGGCTGTACACAATCGAGCTGAGAGGACAGCAATCACTCGCAACTCAGCCCCTGGCTGCACACAATCGAGCGGAGAGGGCAACGCTATTCGGCGGCAATTAACAGCCCAACGCACCCTCGATCCATTATGAACACAAGGAACATTCTCGCACAAGAAAAAAGCTTTGTTTTCTGTGCAACAACGGGCAGGATACAACCAGTGAGTTCGAAACAACACCCGACCTGTCGTTTGGAACCCCCCAATAAATCGGTCAAATAACAGACAGGACACAAGCAGTAAGTTCGAACCACACCGAACCTGTCGTTCCAAAATCCCCCTCAACGTCAAACAGGGGATTTTCCCGGGGCTCAGGGCACCCGAACTCGACAGCAAAGCACCATACACAACACCCCCCCCCCCCCCCCCAATAGTCCACGATTGAGCTATGCAGTATATGCATCGCTAACCATCTCGAGCAATGCTCCATACAGTCCACACAAAATAAACAATACCGATCAGTGAACCATACAGTCCTCAACCATCGACTTAAAAAACACAATCCCGATAATGCACCATATACAATGAGGGGCCGTCCATAATGACGTCACGTGATTTTGGCCGCTTTTTGACTCCCCCTCAAATATGACGTCACAAAGCTCTGCCCCCCCCCAAACGATGTTTCCATTTTGGAAAAAAAAACTTGCTTCAAATCGCTTTAAACTATCGTCATTGTAGTGGCACTGCACTCGGATGTTGTAGGAGAAAACACGTATTAAAAAGGAGGCGTTGGAATGCTGAAATTTAGCATAAGAGTCACTTGAAAATATTAAACGTCTAACTAAAACTGCAGATGTTTAGAATATTATACTGAAATTATCTAATAATTATACAATATTAAAAGTAATAACTAATAGTTGAAACTGTAGTAGAACGAAGCCAAATAGTACAATTATAACAATCACATTAATTCCACAGAATGAAATGCCCTGTTAGAATAATTAGAATCAAAAAGTTTAATAACAATAAAAAAAAATTTTTACAAAATGTATGCTTCTCCATTCTCCCATGGAGAAGCAAAATGCTCCTTCATGGAATTGATAAAAGGTGACCTCAGTAAATTTAAGTAATCAAATAGTTAATCATGAAAATGAATATAAATTAGTCTTGCTTTAACAATTCTATTTACATTTTGATTTAAAGCTTTCGTGACTGTAGGGATTCATATTCTTGGTTCATTCGGTAAAGTCACGTAGAAGGGAAACAATAAAATAATACAAATATAAAACTAAATTCTCCAGTACCCTGGCGTCTACAAACTAAGTTGCCTCTGTGGTAGTAGTTACATTGGAGGAACCAAACGACATGTCTCGGACCGCATTCGTGAACACAAAGCAGACCTAGAACACGGTAGGACCAACACCTCGGCCGTGGCAGATCATTGTTCTAATTCAGTAGGCTCACATGACATTGACTTCTTCAAGACAGGTTCTCTGCAAGCCATCTGGCTACAATGACAGATTCGTTCATGAGGCTATCCACATATACAAACACAGACAATTTCAACCGAGTAAATGGATTCTGGCTTAGCAATCATTGGAAGGATTTGATAAACCATTTCGGGTGTTAATTGATTGTTCACGCTTACGGTGGCTTTCAGACCGCATCCATTATTTTCGTTTCCCCCCTCCTCTTTTCCGAACATAGATGGACTCGCCATCTGAATAACTGCCAAATCGCTCTCCGTGGTGCTAACGTTAAAAGAAACCCGCCACTTTTTTCAAATTATCTTGCTGTGGTTTTCACACCTGATGATTGCTTGTGTTGCAGTCGAAACGTCGTGAGAATTTTATTGTTTTATATTTTATTATTTAATTGTTTCCCTTCTACGTGATGACTTTACCGAAAGAACCAATAATACGATGGCTGACGTGTTTACAAGGGCCGCGTGTGGGATGTCACGACTCGCCTGTGGACCCAGAGGAGCGGAACACGACAGAGTTGAAGACGACGATGGCGGCGGCGTCGTCACGGAGCGTCTTGCTGTATTCAGCGCGGAATCGTCTTGCGACTTGAGGCCACGCTCAGCGCCGACGACAGGAGCGCTCCGCGGACGAGTGAAGCTCCCCCCTCAGCAGGCGCCCATTTTGGCGGGAAACTCGGATTTTGGCGGGAAACTCGGATTTTGGCGGGAACCCCGTCCCGCCCGGCCGCGTTTCTTGGGTTTCCCCGCGCGCACGGCAACAGCGGCCCCGGCACACCACCGACTCGTTTCGGCCGGCTCCTCCAGCTCGGAACTCGGTGAGCAGCGCTGCGCTCTCACCCCAGTGGCGGCTGCGTGCGGACGCAGCTTCCCACCCGCTGTAAGCCACCATGCAGTGGCTGCAAAGCCCCGGGGCCCGTCTGGAGAGTCCCCCCCCCCTCGCCGTCCTCCTCCATCGAAGACGTCTTCGTAAGTATTTTTCGTCTAGTTAACATCGCTAACCTAGCCTATTTCCTATTTACCACTGCTGACCCCAGTTGGGAGTGTTCTACACGGAGGCACACACTCTGGACTGGGAGGCAACACCTTCATCTAATAACTTCCCTAGCAGGTAAAACTGAACGTAACTCGGGTTCTATTGTCGGTGATGTGGCTCACTGTGCGAGTAGCGAGTTAACTCGAGACGAAGACGACGAGACGCGGGGCCCAGGCTTGATTCCACAAACGAGCCCACAACACGCTCGGGACTGCCCCCTGATGCTCCTGGGCGTGGCCTCGCTCTGCTTCCGGCCACGCCCCTTCCAGCCACGCCCCCTTCCAGCCACGCCCCCTTCCAGACCTTTCCCGAAGGATCCCGACCCAGCATCACGTACCCCACTCAGGCCACCACGTACCCCCTTGCCCTGTCTCTCAGGCCATCACCAGGACTGTGCCCCCTAGGACTGGCTGACATGCCGTCCTTATTCTGGTGCTCGAGAGGCTCCAGACGCACCGTTGCACTCCTGTAACAGTAGCTGGCGCGAACACCCTAGTGACACCATTTACGTCGCTACACATTTACCGTCAAACCCTCTACACGCGATTAAGATTCTACATTGAAGCTCCCAGTGCCTCACACACAACCAGTTTCTTGGCCTCGTCCGTTCAAGAATTTAAAACATGCATCGTCCAAAGCGGGATACATTTATTTACAACTGCTTTTATTTCTTTAGAACTGCTTTTTGCGTTTAGTTCGTTGTCCTTCCCAACCCCCCCCCCCCCACCACCTTCGATTGGCACGGTTGGCTACGTATGGTGCGAAAGAATTTCAACATCAGTACATTCATCGATCACAGGCCCAAGTCACAATATTGTTTCAGAATGGGCGTCTTCTGCAAACAAAAGCGTGGTGGTGAGATGTTAACTCCCTCGCCTGGTATACATGTTCTTTCCGTGGCCGGGTAGATTTTTCTCCGGGTCCTCCGGTTTTTTCCCCTCCACGTTTATAATCAACGTTTTGTTTAAGAGTATTTGAAGGCCCACGTGACATTTCCCCTAAATTATGGCGTCGCACTCCGTGAATGTTCCTTGTAAGACAGAAAAAGCTGGTCACGCCATCGGTATACATTACCGTAACACATATTCGATTTTATTACATTTCATGAACATGGTCAACAATTGGATAATCCGGTTGGGTCACACATCCCCTCCCAGAAGTGCCCTGTAACTGTCGCCGCGTTCCGAAGGTCTTGACCTCTGGTCTTGGCCTCTGGTCCGTGCTTTGTGACAGGACAGCTTTGCTCAGTGGGGCCTCACCAGCTGCGACAACATACGGTTTACCCCGTATTCTTGTACAGGGAAACAGAGTTTTCACGTCCATGCGGCGTACAGCCGTTTCAATACGGGGAACAACAATCAACCTGATTGTGTGCATCCACATATCAAGCAAGCAGCAGCATCAGCATGCAAGAGCACAGACAGTAAGCATGATGAGTATCATCAGTGACACCAATGATCAAAATTAATACATAACAGTTTTTGCTTAATAACACTTTGTTTTGATTTAAAGCTTTCGTGACTGCAGTGATTCATATTCTTGGTTCTTTCGGTAAAGTCACGTTGAAGGGAAACATTATTTTATTGTTTCCCTTCAACGTGACTTCCGAAAGAACCAAGAATATGAACACTATTTGTGTTTCTCCCTTGTGGTGATGGGGCTTTGTAGGATGGACGTTGATATTTATAAGGGGCACGGGGTGACCAATAAGGTCTGAATTGGTCTATTGCAGAAGGTAGGGCACTGATAAGGGGTTGACAGGTATGCAACAATGTCTCAGGTCTCCTCACGATCTAAAGCGTGGCTCACCGCCGCGATTTAAATTACCTGCAGTCATCTTGCAGTCATCTTTCACGAATGTATTTATTTTGGGCTGACCCACGCTGCAGCTGCGTTCTGGACGCACGGTCACCGAGTGATTTTGCCAAATGGTGCTGCGGGGTTTGACGTCAATGAGGCCTGCAGATCATTTTAGTTCCTGGGACTGACGGTCCCCCCAGATTGCAAGTTCCACTTTGCTCATGGTTACACCACGGCAACGTCCCTTCACTGCAAACAACAGATAAATAGGAAATTACTGCCACTTCCACGAAGCTCGTGGTCCACCCTAAACAGCATCCACTGCACAAACCACGGCAGTAGATGCGGATGAAAAACTCTCCGGCAGCAGTGCGCGAGTGTGTTCGTGCAGATCAGACCGTACGACGTATAATGACACCATGCCCCGATCCGCAAAATTTTCAAAGGAGACATCATCACAGCGATGTTACGCTCCCGCTGTTCCTGACGCGGTCGTCTGGGCTTCACAACCCTGAATGTGACATTGTAGTTGTTGCCTTTGCAACTACGCCAGCAGCCGTGCGGCAAGAAGACGACTGCCACTTCTGGGTTGCTCTTCTTATCCGCAAAATATCTCTTGGAAATAACCTCAATGCCGAGGAGTATCAACGGATAACAGGAAGTGGCATTGAGAGAATCTCTGCTGTTTGAATAATAAGTACAGTGTTATGTTTGTATATGTTTTGTATTGTGTTTGTGCTGCATGTGTATTGTGCGTTTACAGTTGTAGATTTAAGGGGGTTAATGGGGGGCTAAACTCCCCCCACCAAGTAAAAAAATATAATTAATCATTAAAATGTGTGTGTGGTTCACCATCATCAACAACAACAGCGCATCCAACCGGTCACAATCACCACCGACACCACAATAACCACCACTGACTACACAACCACCACCGACCACCACGATGGACGACGGCGCTATTGCGATGACCGTGATGCCGCCATGAGGATGACCAACGTCAGGATGACGACGATAATCCAGTGACACCGAGACACGCGGGACTGCGGTGAAAAGCAGAGCACGGCACCTCCTGGAGGAGCCTCGCACCACGGAGTACCTCGCCAGGAGCCACAGAGCGTGCCGCATCTCCAGTGCCGCCATCGTCATGAGCCCCGATAGCATGGTGGCAGAACGTGACACGAGGGAGGATAATGAACTCCAAAAAACTGTAAACTATTTTTATTTGACCAGCTAAGGCTCTACTGAGCTGTGCCACTCTTTTTCAGAAGCCACCTGGCTATTGTCACAAACGGTAACGCAACGAAGCGGCTTATCACCGTCGCGTGGAAACATAGAGCAGCCAAATACTCTAAATGCGTGATGTTGATTCTGAATGTGGAGGGAAAAACCGGCGGGCGGTGGTGGAGGATCCAAGGGGAGGGGTGGTGGTGGGGGGATATTGTCCTCCCATCGAGACCTCGAAAATTGGTGCTTTATTGTGTTATGAAAATATGTCATTTATTTGTTAACGTAGACTGAAATTTTAAAATAATTAGCATTTCAGGATCGCCTGTCTCCCACACTACAATCTCCCCCACCCCCCCCATGGGGCAGTGTCTCGACCGACACCCAAGGTTGGTGGAGTGAGCCAGGATGGCTCACGAGGGCGGCGGCCGCAGGGGGATCTGCCCGCGGCCCCTCAGTGCCGGGGGGTCGAGGGAGGGTCGCCGATCGGCTCCACGGTGAGCCAGAGCCCCCCCTCGGCGCGCATCACCAGCTCGGGCAGACGGCGCACGGCGCGCGTCGCGTCCACGGCGATGCGGAAGCGCGCCAGCGTGAGCGCCAGCGCCACCTTCATCTCGGCCATCGCGAACCGCTGCCCGATACAGTTCCTGTTCAAAGACACGAAGATCCAAGATCCCCCGCCAGGCCCCACTAACAGACTGTCCCCGCCGTGGAGCGGGAATCGAACCCGGGCCACCAACGCAGCTTGATCCGGAAATAATGACGACGTTGTTTCGGACGTTAATTCATGTTTTACTTATAATATTTAACTTTAAAAATTTAGTTAGGTAAACTACCCTGATTAAACTAATGTTCCTGTAATAGGAATAATTTAGTTTAACACGTATTAGGCTTTCACAACCAATATCATCCATAAGTTTTTTTTGGTTCGATCGCATAAATATAAATATTTCCTTAAACCTGCCACCACCCGACACAGCCAACTAGTAATGTTTGTGACGTAAACAGAACGTGCCAATTAGTTACTAGTACAGCACACCGGTGTGTTGGAGAGCAAATCCACAACATTTACAATCTGAGCACGACGTTTCGCCAGCAATTCCAACTAGCTTCATCAGGTGGATGATTCTCGTTGTAATTACATCTAGAACCATCACAAATCTGGCCGTCTGCCTGATGATGCTAGTTGTAATTACTGGTGAAACGTCGCCAGCGATCCGCCAAGCCAACCTCGCTCGTGATGGGAGCGATGTTTACCGGGGTCCAGCGGAGAAGGGGATGAAGGCGTGAGGGGAGATCTTGTCCACCTTGTCGGCGCTGAACCGCTCAGGGTCGTACACCTGGAATGGTACGCGGCGCAGAAAACTATTAAACTAAACAATTTTTGTTATTTTATGTTACCAGGTAATGTCCCACTGGGCTGTGTAGCTCTTTTTCAGAAGCGAGCTGGCCACAAATGATCGCGACCACGGAGGGAGAAACACGCAAACTCCAAATACACAGCAGCAGGCATTAGGGTGGAGATCAAACCCACTACCTGTATACCAGGCGAGGTAGTTAACATCCTGCCCATCGCTCGCTTCTCCACAATCACGAGGCCCACGAGGCACCCCGAACGTGCCCAAACCTATCGGGATCGCAGACGCCACACGGGGTTGAGCGAGGATTCGCGTTTAGACGGGGTGCCACGGTGGCTAGGAGATGTTCACTACCTCGCCTGGTATACAGGAGGTTGTGGGTTCAATCTCGAACCCTGACGCTTGTCGTATATTTGCACGTTTCTTTCCCCGTGGTCGTGTGAATTTTTCTCCGGGTCCTCCGGTTTTTCCCTCCGCATTTAGAATCAGCATCACGCGTTTAGAGTATTTGGCTGCGGTACATTTCTCACGCGATAGGCCACTTCGTTGGGCTATAATTTGTGATAGCCAGGTCGCTTATGAAAAAGAGTGATATAGTTCAGGGGGGCATTACCTGGTAAAATAAAAAATAGTTTAGTTTTTTTCAGTTTTATAAAACAGGTGTTGTAGACGACTGTGGAGCAATGTGTTTCAGCAGAGAGTCATTGCAGAAAAATTCATTGTTGTACTGCACTACCCTCCGTTGTCTGTGTTCCCCGACATTACCAACCCGTACTGACCGGCATGGTGACGAGTGGTCAAAATAAGCCCCGTGGTCAGTGTGGTGTTAGGAGGCCGTCATCCAGCAGGGGATTGACAAAACGTTGGCACGTGCACCTAATGACGACGTGCGGTGCGTACTAAAGGGCTTAATCAAAGTCCACAATGCCGACAATTGTGCGTGGTGTAGAGCCGTCTCGCGGCATCGCGTTTTCATTGGCTGTCATACCGCAGCGTCACAAACAGCGTCACCCAAAGCCACGTGGAGGCGCTGCAGTGTCACAAACAACATGGCTGACGTGGACGTATCTTTCGAGCAGAGGGCTGTGATTGGATCTCTCGTGATGGAAGGTGTCAAGGCAGCCGAGATGGCGGCAGAAAGCGTGTCGCCCATCCCCCCGCACCTCGGATGAGCGCGGTTGGCTAGGGTACGGTGCGAAAGAAGTTCAACGTATACGCGTACAGATGCGGTGGTACCGCTCGAGCTACAGAGGCATCGCTGCTTAGTCCGGGAGTGGCGGCTGCGGCATCACAGCCAAGTCCCCTACCTCTGGGTCCGGCCACACCAGGGGGTTGTGGTGGGTGCCGAACACCGAGATGATCACCGTGTTGCCTGGAACGGCACAGCGCAACGCAACGTCACAGGTCTGCTCTCATCCCTGCACGATCCACCAACCCGTACATCCACAACTCACCGGATTACAGCCGTGCATCGTCGTCAACTCAGAAGTCATCAGGGCCAACGCTGTTGATGCCACCACATCTCACCATCACGCCTTTCCTCACACAGATGAGGGCTTTCACGTGTCCATCAAGATCTGTCCTTGCATCTCCATCTCACTTGAGATCTACTACTTGCTATGCTGTGGATACATCCTCTCTGCCTGCCTGCCAGCCAGCCAACCTGCCTACAGTCTGGGTTCGAGTCCAGGCAGCCGACTGTGAACAAACCGGGTTCTCAGGGAGGTGACCGGGTTTCGGGTCACCGGTGAATGCGCAAACAGCTTTGTCGTAAATATATACAAATAAATCGCTAAATAAATCCGGCAATACAAACGTTGAGTTTGACTGGCATGTGATAAGAAAATATCTCTACAGCAGAGCGGGGGGGTGAGGGGGGAGATAAGAGGTCATTTGTCATTACCCAACTAGGATCACTGAGATCACTGTGATCACTGATGTCACTGAGATCACTGACATCACTGATCACTGAGATCACACACAGAACACACAGAACAGCAATCACTGCCTCCTACTGGCAGACTACTACCCCAGGTCACTCTTGCAAATGAAGACTTATCCTGGCCTTTTCGAGTTCCCAAGCTGGTTAAACAAAATCAACGTGAGACTCGATAAACATGCCGAACTTACATTGAAGCATCTCTGTGACATCGTCATCCACGACCGTTCTCTAAGACGGGGCGAGAGTACACAGTGCCCTGCGGGCGTTCCAAACCGGTGCAATTATTAGGATTATTTTGCACGAGACTCCGAGAGAAGAAACATTTTGAATAAAATTTGCTGACGGTCACAATAGCGCCACGACATCACGGTGGCTAGGAGATGTTAACTACCTCACCTGGTCTGCCGGAGGTCGTGGGTCCGATTCCGACCCTGACGCCTGCTGTATATTTGGAGTTTGCGTGTCTCTCTCCCCGTGGATTTTTCTCCGGGTCCCCTGGTTTTTTCCCCTCCATGTTTAGAATCAACATCACGCGTTTAGAGTATGTGGCTACTGCGATACATTTGCACGTGAAGAGCCACTTCGGTGAGCTATCATTTGTGATGGCCAGGTCGCTTCTGAGAAAACGGCGACATAGCAGTTCAGTGGGCCTTAACCAGGTAAAATAAAAATAGTGAGTTCGTTAGTGTGGCTACTAGAGAAAGGCTGTTTGCATTTCGCGCGGCGTTTTCACTCCTACGGCAGGCTGTACGTACAGTATGTTGAACTTCTTTTGCACCGTACGTAACCAAATCGGAGACGCGGGGAGAATGACGCCGCCACCGGCTACCAAAAGCGGTCACCTTTGGGGATGACGCGTCCGTCCGTGAGCGTCACGTCCTGGGTGCAGGCTCGTGCCACCGCCGTCACGGGCGGGTGCAGCCGCAGGCTCTCCTTGAGGCACATGGTGAGGTAGGGCAGCTGGGAGAGGTCGTCCCTGTCACACGGGAGGGGGGGGGGGGGCGTTAAGTTTTTGAGTGTGTGGAGTGTGCGGAGTGTGCGGAGTGTGTGGTGTGTGTGGAGTGTGCGGTGGGTGTGGAGTGTGTGGAGTGTGCGGTGTGTGTGGAGTGTGCGGTGTGTGTGGAGTGTGTGGTGTGTGTGGAGTGTGTGGTGTGTGTGGAGTGTGTGGAGTGTGTGGAGTGTGCGGAGTGTGCGGAGTGTGCGGTGGGTGTGGAGTGTGTGGAGTGTGCGGAGTGTGCGGTGGGTGTGGAGTGTGTGGAGTGTGCGGTGTGTGTGGTGTGTGTGGAGTGTGTGGTGTGTGTGGAGTGTGTGGTGTGTGGAGTGTGTGGTGTGTAGTGTGTGTGGAGTGTGTGTGGAGTGTGTGGTGTGTGTGGAGTGTGTGTGGAGTGTGTGGAGTGTGTGGAGTGTGCGTTGTTCTCTCTCCCCAGATGGTGCATCTGCCAGTTATCTCGGTCAACTCATAGCACCTCTGTGCCATTACCTCCTGCACCCAGCCTGGCACAGCAGTTAACCCACAACAACAACGCTTTGTTCCGTGACCTACCGTACCGAGCCTGGCACAGCAGTTAACCACGGTGGCTGGGAGATGTTGTCTTCCTCGCCTAGTGTACAGGAGGTCTTGGGTTCGATCCCGACCCTGACACTTAGAGTTTGCGTGTCTCTCCCGCAAGGGTCACGTGAATTGTTTTTGTTCCCTCCGGGACCTCCGTATTTTTCCCTCCACATTAGACACGCGCGTTTAAGAGTATTTGGCTGCTATAAATGTTCCACGTGATAAGCCGCTTCGTTGAGCTGTCACTTGTGATAGGCAGGTCGCTTCTGAAAACGAGCTACGTCACTCAGTTGGCCTAATCTGGTCAAACAAAAAAAATGTTTAAATAGTGTATGCAGAGAATCGCCCAAATCAGAAACAACATCAGGAGAATAATCCATCATCATTCATGTGATGACCATCATAGCAGCAGCAGATAAAACGGCAACATCAACACCAACAGACACAATAAGATCAGAATCATCGTTGTTAGCACCAGCATGGGAGTGGTGGGGGGAGTGGTGGGGGGAGTGGTGAGTGGTGGGGGGAGTGGTGCGGGGAGTGGTGGGGGGAGTGGTGCGGGGAGTGGTGAGAGGTGGGGGGAGTGGTGGGGGGTGGGGGGAGTGGTGGGGGGGTGGGGGGAGTGGTGGGGGGGTGGGGGGGTGGGGGGGTGGGTGGAGTGGTGGGTGGAGTGGTGGGTGGAGTGGTGGGGGGAGTGGTGGGGGGAGTGGTGGGGGGAGTGGTGGGGGGAGTGGTGGGGGGAGTGGTGGGGGTACCGACCACTCGAGGCCTCCTCCGTTCTTGGCCTGCAGGAGCTGCGTCACCTCCTGGCGACAGCGCTGCTGGTACTCGGGATGGCGTGCCAGGTTGTACAGCGCCCAGCTGATGCCGCTCGCCGTCGTGTCGTGCCCTAGACGTAAACACGGTGCCCACGACAATAACGGTACTAAGACAAAGCTCCCCCGTGTAGCCTGTAACAGACTGTTGGGGCAAGTGCTGTTAGCGAGCACCTATTGAGGCCGGCACGGCGCACGAGGGGGTGGGTGGCCAGCACCACGCCCGGCCGCCTTTGTCTCCCCAGTGGCGATGTTTGTCTCCCCCGCGACACTACCACTAAATGCACACATGAACACACGTGTGCACACATGAACACACGTGTGCACACATGAACACACGTGTGCACACATGAACACACGTGTGCACACATGAACACACGTGTGCACACGCACACACAGAAGGTTGAGGTGACTTCTGTTTGTGAGCACCTGTCAAGCCTGGCACAGCACACAACAGGCGGTGGCGTTGCCAATACCACAAATGCCCGGCCGCCTTTGTTTCACACTGAGGTTACAGGAAAGAGCCGGGCATTACGACTGCGTTGGTGGACGCTGCGGTGATGGGAGCCGGTCACACGGACACACGGGGGTGCCGCATGGCGAGATGTTAACTGCCTCGCCTGGGTATCCAGGAGGTCGTGGGTTCAATCCCGACCCTGATGCCTGTTGTAAATTTGGAGTTTGCGTGTCTCTTTCTCTCCCCGTGGTCACGTGGGTTTTTTCTCCGGGTTCTCCGGTTTTTCCCTCCACATTTAGAATCAACATCACGTGTTTAGAGTATTTGTCTGCTGCTATAAATGTCCACGTGATGATAAGACAATTCGTTGAGCTGGTAACCAGGTGACTTCTGAAAAAGAGCTACACAGCCCAGCGTGCCTTACCCATAGGTAAAAAAAAAAAATCACGATGTTTCGGCCACAACACAAGCGGCCTTCATCAGGTGCTTGTGTTGTGGCCGAAACGTCGTGATTTTTGTTATTTTATTTTTTACCTACGTGACTTTACCCAATAGAACCAAAGAGTATGGATCCTTGCAGTCACGAAAGCTTTAAATCTAGAAATGAAAAGTTTAGTTAGTTTAGTTTTTAAGGCTGTGGTGTCGTCCTGTGCTCACCCTCGAACATGAATGTGTCAACCTCAGCCTGAATGTCATCATCCGTCATCCCCTTCCCATCTTCATCCTGAAAGAAAACCATCACCATCATCACCATCATCACCAACGTAGTCATTCTTCTTTTAAAATCGCATGGGACATTGCGGAGAGAAACCGCTGAACTTTTTGATTGACAGCAAATGTTATAAATCAATGTCTGGGTTCTTCAGCCATTCAACTACATTGACTGTGAGATGCATTGCATTGGTGATGTCGAGGGACCCAGAGTCACACATAGACACAGAGACTCACAGAGACACAGAGACTCACAGAGAGATGCATAGAGCACAGTCACCACCACCACTGCTGCCACCGCTACCACCACCACCGCCACCACCGCCACCACCGCCGCAACCGCCGCAACCACCGCCACCACCGCCACCACCGCCACCACTGCCACCACGACAACCGCCACCAAAGCCGGCTCGCGGGGGACTCAAACATTGCTCCGCGCGGTGCCACCCGCCCACCCTGGCCAGCAGGACGATGTCGATGAAGTCCGGGAACTTCCCCGGCCGGCCGCCCTGGCTGAGCGCAGTGCGGCGTCTGCGCACGGCGCCGAGGGAGTAGTCGTGCACCAGGGTGCAGAGGTGACGTGCGCGGCGCCCGTTGGCCGACAGCCAGTAGATCGCGTCGGGGTAGTGCAGGAAGTTGAACTCGCGCTTGATCACGAGCTTGCTCAGCTCGTAGACGGCGCTGATGTAGCGGCTCGACTCCCTGCACAGGGGCGGAGCGGCGCTCAGACGCCAGAACACGCGGACCGGTCCCACCCACCCACCGCCCCCCCCACCACCCACCCACTACCCACGGCCCCCCACCCACCGCCCACGTGGAGATCGCGCGACTTGACCTTGCCGGCTAAACCTGACCACTGTGTCCGCGCCTGAGCGACCTTCAGTTGCCCAGGCAGGAGGCCCTCGTGTCCACAAGCTATCCCGCCGACCGGCCAGATCGCCACGAGCCTCGTCCAAATATGCGAAAACCAACCCGTCGAGCTCAAGTGGGCACCGTTTCTCTTGTGAACGGACGAGGGGCTCGGGCACCGTGCATGGAGGTCGAAGGCCGAACACTCGAGGACAAGTCGGTAACCAGGGGAGAGGTTAACGCGTGGCGAGAGAAAATAGTTTTTACGGCACGATACCACGCGCGGCCCCTTTGTGATAAGATAGGGTGTTTAGCCGTATCTTGCTTGCATCTCCAGCGAGATAAAGCATGCTCCGAGCCACAGTGCGTTGCTGCTGCTGCTGCTGCTGCTGCTGCTGCTGCACCGTCATCGCGCGAGCTGTAAACCGCGCGCTGTATTAGCGACGGTTTGCTCGTTCAAGGAGTTCGCCGCGTCGCTTCCGTCACCCACGCTCTGCTCATTTCCATTCCACCGTTGCGGTTTGTCCGTTTCACGACTGGACTTGCTCACTTCACGCGAGCCCAAATTCTGGCGTCAAAGCGGGGAATCGAACCGAGGGGTTTCTCGCTGCGAGGCGCAGCGTCACCATTGTGTCACACAGCCCATTTCTTTAAAGGAGCACACCGTTTGAATGCGAGAAACTCTTTGGTTTCCTGTGAATTTTGTAACGGTCTCTGTGTTGTGTAACTAGAGGGAGGGGGGGAGTGAGGGAGGGGGGAAGGTGGGGAGAGGGGGAGGAAGAAGGAGAGGAAGGGAGGGGCTCACTGCTGGCAGATGTTGTCCTGGCCGAAGGTGCACTTGAGGAGGCTGTCGAGCGTCATGAGGCTCACCGACTCGAACACGTTCACCGAACTCTTGCCGCTCCGCAGCATCTCCGTCCAGCCGGCCTGCCGTCCAGACACGGCACGGCAACGTCCTCGATCGAACCGGACGCTCGGATTGTACGAGTCCCGTCCACTCCGCCGGGGACCAAACCACAGCAGTCACGCGGTCTCTAGTCTAGCGGCCGGTCTGAATCGGGCCCTCCACTCAACGCGACACTGACAGAGCCCATCCGCTCCATCTGGAACCGAGTTGGGACATTGTCCTCGGCTCGGTGTGAGCGACATCGAGACGGAGCCAGTGCCTCCACTCCACTTGGGAGAGATGAGGAGGAGCACCGCTCTTCCTGCACCGCCGGGACATCGACCGTTCGCTTAGAGGTCGCGACCTCGACCTCGTCCTGCACTCAGCGGACACGGGGAGAGGGCGTCCTCCACTGCACATCGCCCTTCCTCTCCTCCCTCTTCTCACTCCCTACCCCGTCCCTCCCTCTCCCCCTCCGCACCTCCGCCCCTCGCTCCTCCATCCCCATCCTCCCTCTCCTCCCTCCCTCACGTGCATGGCGGAGATGCTCCGGTCGAACACGGAGACGTAGGGCTGCAGGATGCTGAAGTGGAACGCCGGCGTGAGGAGGTGGCGTTGGCGTGACCAGCGCTGACCGCGGCTCAGCAGCAGCCCATCCCCTGTGCACGCACACGCGGGGGTGGCGGAGGCAAAGTTCCCCCGCGTAGCCGCACAGACGGATCGGGGCAAGTGCGAGTACACCGTGAGCGAGCGAGGTACGCGAGACCGCGACGTCTGACCAGACACCGAGCGTGGCAGACCTCTGCCTCCTCGGTGCCGATGTTTGCGCACGGCGAGAGTCGTTTAAGGCCGAGTCGACCTAGGGAATGCTCAGAAACAGCTCGGGTGTCACGTGTGCTGTTAGCGAGCGGTGATGTGACCACACCACATCCAGGTATTCGTCTGCCCAGTGCTGGTGTCTTACACACGACAGAAAGTACTCATTTAAGGCTGAGTCAACCTAAGAGAGGCCCGGGACAAATTCTGATGCTATTTGTCACTTAATTTTTTGCCATATTCGAGAATCAAACTCATGTTAACGGGTTTGGAACGCAGTGCACTCACCACTGCACCACCTGCCAGCATATATAAAAACATACACGAGACAAAGATCCTGCGGCCGTCTGGAACGCTCTTCCTTCCGATATTCGTAAGCCGCTGGAGCTATGCACTTTTTAAATCTACAGGGGTGGTACAGATGTCCTGGGACCCCCCCCCCCCCCCACCATTTAATTATAAAAACCTTCACATTTTTTAAAGTAAGGTTTATTTAAAACAGTTCTACCACCCTGTAGATTTAAACAAAGATTTTTAGAACTGCTTTTTGTGTTTGGTGTTGTCCTTCCCCCGCACCAACGATTAGCGTGGTTGGTCACGTACTGTGCGAAAGAAGTTCAACGTAAATGCATACAAAGCCAAGTCAAATCCACTCCTTCAAATATCCGAGAGCGGATATCGCTGATCACACGAGGAAGCAAGCGACAGCATTGCACAAGCAATGGCAGACCTTGCAAAATGTGTCAAAGTGAGGCGACAACTTGAGCACTGTACCTCCGATTAGCGTGGTTGGCTACGTACGGTGCGAAAGAAGTTCAACGAAGTTACTTTGATACTTGCGTTGCGCTTGTGCTGTTCGCCTAATGGCCTTCTCTGGTCTCACACCGGTGGTGAGACTAGGCCCTAAAGAAGGCTGTCTCTGGTGTAGGCCAATCAGTTTCAAAGACAATGCGTGCATTATAAGAGCCGCGTGTTTGTTTGCATGTTCACCAGTATTGTGTGTGGTTAATGCAGATTTGATGCCTTGCAATAGGAATCTATTTGGTGTTTGAACATCTTACCACCTCCACTTTTTATTGCCCCAAAGGGTGAAGCCCATTCTTATGTTCTCATACTTTTGATACTGCCCAAAAATGTCCCATAGATACACTGTACAAACAATGGCCACAAAGACAAAGATCCCCCGTGTAGCCTGAACAGACTGTTGGGGCAAGTGCTGTTAAGCGAGCACCTACACGCGCACATAATGAGACGCGTACACAAACACACGTGCGCGCACGCAGACACTCAAGAGAGATTGCCCGTATGACCACGGAGACTGCTAACCGTCCGGGGGGGGGCACCGAGGAAGGGTGACGCGGTCCCAGCCTCCCCAAGCGGTTTCACGTCGACCGCACCAACCGCACACACGGAGGGGCTTCATTTAGACCGGGGGTCGCAGTTCAACCACCGCAGACCTGGCGGCCTACGTGTCAACTTTTAAGCGGAACCCCATTTGCCAAAACTGCCTCATCGGACACATTCCTTGGTGCGTGCGGCTTCGTGTTATCAGGGTTCAGCGGTGACAACGCCGCGATAAGGGCGGACGGACGGCGTGCGGCCTGCTCGGTTTAGCGAGGGGGCTGCGTTGAGGTCGTGCGGCCCCCGTGGGCAGTGGCGAGTTGTCACGGTGGGGGGCGCTGGGACGGGGGTTGAACCGCGAGAGTCCAGAGCGGGGGGGGGGGGGGTAGCGAACTCACCGAGCCACGGTCTCAGCAGCCGGTAGAAAAAGTCGTCCTTCTCGGCGACGCTCGCTGCTCACGGTGAAGAGGCGGCGGCGGTGGGGGAAGACGGGGCAGGGCACACAGAGAGAGCACACAGAGAGAGCACACAGAGAGAGCACACAGAGAGAGAGCACACAGAGAGAGCACACACAGAGAGCACACACAGAGAGCACACAGACGGAGCACACACAGAGAGCACGCAGAGAGAGCACGCAGAGAGAGCACACAGAGAGAGCACACAGAGAGAGCACACAGAGAGAGCACACAGAGAGAGCACACAGAGAGAGCACACAGAGGGAGCACACAGAGGGAGCACACAGAGAGAGCACACAGAGAGAGCACACAGAGAGAGCACACAGAGAGAGCACACAGAGAGAGCACACAGAGAGAGCACACAGAGAGAGCACACAGAGAGAGCACACAGAGAGAGCACACAGAGGGAGCACACAGAGGGAGCACACAGAGAGAGCACACAGAGAGAGCACACAGAGAGAGCACACAGAGAGAGCACACAGAGAGAGCACACAGAGAGAGAGCACACAGAGAGAGAGCACACAGAGAGAGAGCACACAGAGAGAGAGCACACAGAGAGCACACAGAGAGCACACAGAGAGAGCACACAGAGGGAGCACACACAGAGAGAGCACACAGAGAGAGCACACAGAGAGAGCACACAGAGAGAGCACACAGAGGGAGCACACACAGAGAGAGCACACAGAGAGAGCACACAGAGAGAGCACACAGAGAGAGAGCGCACACAGAGAGAGCACACAGAGAGAGCACACAGAGAGAGCACACAGAGAGAGCACACAGAGAGAGCACACAGAGAGAGCACACAGAGAGAGCACACAGAGGGAGCACACAGAGGGAGCACACAGAGGGAGCACACAGAGAGAGCACACAGAGAGAGCACACAGAGAGAGCACACAGAGGGAGCACACAGAGAGAGCACACAGAGAGAGCACACAGAGAGAGCACACAGAGAGAGCACACAGAGAGAGCACACAGAGAGAGCACACAGAGGGAGCACACAGAGGGAGCACACAGAGAGAGCACACAGAGAGAGCACACAGAGAGAGAGCACACAGAGAGAGAGCACACAGAGAGAGAGCACACAGAGAGAGAGCACACAGAGAGAGAGCACACAGAGAGCACACAGAGAGAGAGCACACAGAGAGAGCACACAGAGAGAGCACACGCAGAGAAACGGCGAGAAGATGCACGTTGAACATCGTACACGGAGGCGACTCGTCTCCCAGTGCTCATTTAAGGCCAAGTCAACTCAAGGGAGGGCCAGGACGAATTTTGATACTGGCCCCCCCCCCCCTTTGGTCGACTCAAACTTTTTTTTAAATGTGGTGCGTAAAACCCCAGCACTGGGAAGATGAGATACCTGGCAATGGTGTAGAGGAGATCAGCGTGGTATTGTCTTCAAAATTGGACATTTTTCTGCTCGTATCAAAGTATGAAAAAAACAGGAATAGGTTTTACCTGCGACAACGCGTCACCGCGACAACGCGTCAACGCGTCAACGCGTCAACGCGTCAACGCGTCAACGCGTCAACGCGTCAACGCGTCAACGCGACAACGCGTCAACGCGACAACGCGACAACGCGTCACCGCGTCACCACGACAACGCGTCAACGCGTCACCACGACAACGCGACAACGCGACAACGCGTCACCACGACAACGCGACAACGCGTCACCACGACAACGCGTCAACGCGTCACCACGACAACGCGTCAACGCGTCACCGCGACAACGCGTCAACGCGTCACCGCGACAACGCGTCAACGCGACAACGCATCACCGCGACACCGCGCCGAAGAGCGCAATGCGGCGATCCGTCGACGTTCAAAGACCCCCCCCCCCCTCACCTGAGGCCATGAGCACAGACTTGACGTAGTCGGGGTGGTAGAGGCGGATAAAGGGAAAGGGCCCGAACCACGTGAGGTTGGACACCTTGAAGCGACGCACGATCTCGCACACGGTCCGCAGGCCCTCCTCCGTGTTCCGGATCTGGGCGAGGGGACACGCACGGACTCCGTGAGCGCTCTCCGAGTGTGCACGGTCCGTGGGCTTGATTCGAGAATCTTTATTCTTGGTTCTTCCGGTAAAGTCACCACGTAGAAGGGAAACAATAAAATAATAAAAATATAAAACAATTAAATTATCACGACGTTTCGACTGCGACACAAGCAATCATCATCAGGTGTGAAAACAACATCTGTGGTTTTCACACCTGATGACGAAACCACAGCTGTGGTTTTCACACCTGGTGCGGTGTCTCAACATCTCCACTGGGAAGATAAAGGCGGCCGGGCGTGGTGCTGGCCACTCACCCTCTCGTGCATCGTTTCGGCCTTCATAGATTGCAACTCGCTAACAGAACTTGCCCCTACAGTCTGTTAAGGCTACACGGGGGGACTTTGTGTGTGTGTGTGTGTGCGTGCGTGCGTGCGTGCGTGCGTTTGCATGCGTGTGTGTGCGTGCGTGTGTGTGCGTGCGTGTGTGTGCGCGTGTGTGTGTGCGCGTGCTTGTGTGTGTGTGCTTGTGTGTGTGCGCGTGTGTGCGTGCGTGCGTGTGCACGGGCGAGGCCGCACGATGCCGAAGTGTCCCAGCAGCCAGCTGTGGCGTGGCGGCTCGGGGAAGCAGGCGAGGCGTCGCGCGTTGAGGCGGTACGCGAGCACGGCCCGCGTGGCGCGGACGGCCCCCAGCAGCGCCACGGACAGCAGCACCACCAGCAGCGCCAGCAGCACCGGAGCCATCCCGAGCGCGGCCTCTGGGGCGGCAACGGACGGACGATCGGACGGCGCTCGCGCCGGGCTGGGTGCGCCTCGTGCGGAAGGCCCTCGCTGCCGGCAGGAGATCACGGGGCGGAGCCGGGCGCCGTGGTAGCGCTGCTGTGCCAAGCTAGGTGCAGGAGGTCACGGGACAGTAGGAGGTGCGTTCTAAGAAAAGGGCGCACAAAGTGAACCGCACGACGAGGCAGCTGCCTGCCGAGTAGCGCGTGCAGTGCACACAGCACACACACAGTACACATAGTACACACACAGCATACATACAGTACACACACAGTACACATAGTACACACACAGTACACACACAGCATACATACAGTACACACACAGCATACATACAGCACACACACAGCATACATACAGCACACACACAGTACACACACAGCACACACACAGTGCACACAGCACACACAGTACACACAGCACACACACAGTACACATAGTACACACACAGTACACACAGCACACACAGTACACACAGCACACACACAGTACACATAGTACACACACAGTACACACACAGCATACATACAGCACACACACAGCATACATACAGCACACACACAGCACACACACAGTGCACACAGCACACACACAGTACACATAGTACACACACAGTACACACACAGCATACATACAGCACACATAGTACACACACAGCACACACACAGCACACACAGTACACACACAGCATACATACAGTACACACACAGCATACATACAGTACACACACAGCATACATACAGGTACACACACAGCACACACACAGTACACACACAGCATACATACAGTACACATAGTACACACACAGTACACACACAGCATACATACAGTACACACACAGCATACATACAGCACACACACAGCACACACAGTACACACACAGCACACACACAGCACATACACAGCACACATAGTACACACACAGTACACACACAGCATACATACAGTACACACACAGCATACATACAGCACACACACAGCACACACACAGCATACACACAGCACACACACAGTACACACACAGCATACACACAGCACACACACAGTACACACAGCACACACACAGCACACACACAGCACACACACAGCACACACACAGTACACAGTACACACACAGTACACACACAGTACACACACAGCACACACACAGCACACACACAGCATACATACAGCACACACACAGCACACACACAGTGCACACAGCACACACACAGTACACATAGTACACACACAGTACACACACAGCATACATACAGCACACATAGTACACACACAGCACACACACAGCACACACAGTACACACACAGCATACATACAGTACACACACAGCATACATACAGTACACACACAGCATACATACAGTACACACACAGCATACACACAGCACACACACAGTACACACACAGCATACACACAGCACACACACAGTACACACAGCACACACACAGCACACACACAGCACACACACAGCACACACACAGTACACAGTACACACACAGTACACACACAGTACACACACAGCACACACACAGCACACACACAGTACACACAAAGCTTTGTCCCACGTCGGACCGCATCGCTGCGCGTAGAGCGAATTCAAACCGCGAGGCTGGGGGATTTGTTTAAGTGTAAATAGGTAAAGCCGCATATACAGCGCGGAATCGCTCAGAGCGAAACAACGGCGTAGAGCGAGGGGGACCCCGAGCGTGACTCCGCGAGCCGAACAAAGAATCCGTTTGATAACGGGAGAGCAGCAGAGCAAACCAACGCAGACACCGGAGTGGTGGCGGACTTCCGGGACGCTACGACGCGGATCAGAAACGCAAGCCGCTGAAAGATCAAATGTGAGGAGTCTCACGGCAGGGAGCAAAAGGCACAAAGACGGGCGGCCACGCTTGGAAACGCCGTGTCCCCCCGGCTACTCACGAACTTGCCATCCGCGGTTTTGGCTATCCGAGAATCGCATCTGTAACCTCTACACGACTACTGGTCATCGATAGAGACAGCAGGTGGGGGGGGAGAAAGAAAATGATGAGATAAAGTAATGAGGGGGAATGTGATGCGAGAAAGTGATCAGATGAAGTGATGAAAGAAAAAGGAATGAGATAAAGCGATGACATAAAGTTTCATGAGATAAATAGAGAGATAGAGAGAACTTCTCAGACGGTAATACGTTAAAGAGAGAGGTTTTTTGTAGGCCAATATCATTATCCGCTTAAATGTGTGGATAAATTCAAGAGCATCTCCGGAACGTCTCCCTGGCGAATAACGAGGCAACACTGTGTACACGCCAAGAGGCGGGGGGAAGAACGCAGGAGTTGAGAGAGCGACAGGGGAGACACCGGGGCGGAGTGTGAAGAGGAGTGGGTGGGCTAGGGGACACGACGCTAGGAGATGGGCTGATGGCCATCGGTCGAGAGCGATGATTGAAGATGATGATGGAGTGGCAGCCGATGTCCGAGACGGAGCGATGACACTCAGCTCACGCGCGCAAAACGGAGCTTTTGCCGTTGCTTTGCGAGACCGCGGAGGGATGGCGACGACCCGGAGACGTCTCATTCAGCAGCGGGTAGATCACAGCTGACGACGGCGATGACGGCGATGACTCGGTATGATCACAAGAAATCGCGACGGTGTCAAACACACGCACGTGCGCTGGCTCAAGCACTTTCAACAGTGGCCCAGGGTGACCCCACCCTCGCGCAAATATCCAGTTTGGCATTTACTGAAGAAACTTGCAAGACAAGCAACGGCCACCACAAATGTTCCGACTGTTTTTTTTTTCCGGCAGTCGCTTAAAGCCATTTACTCCGATGTATAATACACTCTTATATAAGCGCACAACTTTATCTGTGCTGCACTTTCTGTCGTTTTCATGCAGGGGGCGCTGCAAACCTACGCACCCCCTGCATGAACGACGGAGGCGGAGGCACAGACGTTCGATTACGTTGGAATCGATCTGCAGACGGCGGTCTTCTCGCACGGCCAGCTCTATGTCGCCTTATCTCGATCCCGCAATCCCAAACGGGTGAAAGTCCGCATCGAACCGAACCCCCGGCAAGGCCATCAACTTAACGACGAGAGAAAATTCACACGAAATGTCGTTTTCAATGAAGTCTTCCAGATGTAAAATATAAGCTTTAAATGAAGAAATAAAATTATCTAATACAAAACATAATACAATTCAAAGATGTTTCATTTTAAAACTTCAAAACGGAGCATCGGGTGCTTGCGTGAATGCGTCGTTCGTGTGCAATTTTTTCGTGACTTTCCTGGCCGAAAGCCGAAGGCCGTAAATGATTGTGAGGGGCGCCGCAACCCTAACCCTAACCCAGGCGCCCCCGAACAACCCCGAGTATAATACATGCGTACGCGGCAATTCAACGCGCGATGTTTTAACCCACCGCTTTTTGGCCTCCGCTAAAGTTGGACCCGGCTGCCCCCGGTTGCTGGGTCCGGCTGCCCCAGGTTGTAAGCCACGGCGGTGAACTTCAACCTTTGCTCAGTGTTGATCCAGGGACCCCGACTCCGTGGGTTTGTTATTAACAGGGCGGAGAACGCCCGCGTCCTGCCAGTTGACAATGCAAGCGCAAGGGGAAGATAGATGGGACGGCGATGCATTTTACACTCTCCCTTCATTGCAATGCTATTACAAATTGCACGTAATAATCATTGTCAAGCGCTAAATAATAGCGTGATCACAGCGTCACAAAACAAAACACGGCACGTCGTGCCGGTGACAGGCCCGCTCAATGGGAGCAATGAGTTTATGATGAACTCTTTAAAGGGTTTTTTTTTTTATTCAGATTTCAGACGTGCAATATGTTTATAATTATAACACAATTATTATGTGAGCACAATAGGCGTTGTTTCGTGAGATCAACGATTATTAAATTCCAAACTTTGCTGCGTCTGAGAATTCAACACACTCGTCAACAACGCTACGGCCTAAAAATAAAATATAAATATATTATACATTGGCAACGTTTCGGGAAATGGCCCTTCTGCATAGGAAACGGAGAGGCCGGAGAATGGCTCTGGAAAGATGTCACAGAACGAAAGATGACGTCACAGAACGAAAGATGACGTCACAGAACAAAGGACTCTTGAAGTCACTTGAAGGCACTCGTCTCCACAACCAGAAACGGTGGCGGTGGTGGCAAACTTTCCCGCATGACCTGCGACAAAAAGTGAGCCTATGTGTTAAAAAGTGACCCTATTTTGTTCTATCGATTAAGGTTATGAGATGAAGAATCCATTCGGATCTCGTGCAGCTGTTGTTGTTGGAGAGCCGCCCACAGAAGTAGATGTCTTGGAGCTACCTCTGAGATGCCTTCAGGTGATCGCCGGTTCCACAGGGTAGAGGGCGCCACGTTCTCACCCGCCCCGCCATGGAGAGTAACGTCGAGTGACAGTCAAACCGATATTTTAAATTCTGAGGAGCTGGAATTTTGTCAAGTGTCGAGCCAAATTAGAATGTGACTTTTTTTCATGCATCTTTCTCAGTCACCGAAGGAAACCCATAAACGTGCTACACTTGAATATATTGTATGTTCATCATGGGTGACTGTCACATAGTCACTTTAAGATGTTTTCTTGTTCATGTTTTTGTTTTTTGTTTGTTGCGGTTGCACCTGATTCAAGAGCCGAATGGCTCACAGGGCTACACCAAATAAATGGAACTGAACTGACTGCATAAACTGTGCACCCAATACATCACTCCCGACACAATAGTGGCCGACCCACCCTAGCCACCGCAGCCACCCCAGCCACTCCAGCCACTCCAGTCACTCCAGCCACCCTAGCCACTCCAGCCACCCTAGCCACCCTAGCCACTCCAGTCACCCTAGCCACCCTAGCCACTCCAGTCACCCTAGCCACCCCAGCCACTCCAGCCACCCTAGCCACCCCAGCCACCCCAGCCACTCCAGCCACCCTAGCCACCGCAGCCACCCTAGCCACCCTAGCCACCCCAGCCACCCCAGCCACCCTAGCCACTCTAGCCACCCCAGCAACCCCAGCCACCGTAGCCACCCTAGCCACTTTAGCCACCGCAGCCACCCTAGCCACCCCAGCCACCCTAGCCACCGCAGCCACCCTAGCCACCCTAGCCACTTTAGCCACCCTAGCCACCCTAGCCACCCCAGCCACTCCAGCCACCCTAGCCACTCCAGCCACCCTGGCCACTTTAGCCACCGCAGCCACCCTAGCCACCCCAGCCACCCCAGCCACTCCAGCCACCCTAGCCACTCCAGCCACCCTGGCCACTTTAGCCACCGCAGCCACCCCTGCCACCCCAGCCACCCTAGCCACCGCAGCCACCCTAGCCACCCTAGCCACTTTAGCCACCCTAGCCACCCCAGACACTCCAGCCACCCTAGCCACCCTGGCCACTTTAGCCACCGCAGCCACCCTAGCCATCCCAGCCACCCTAGCCACCCCAGCCACTCCAGCCACCCCAGCCACTCCAGCTACCCTAGCCACTCCAGCCACCCTGGCCACTTTAGCCACCCTAGCCACTGAAGCCACTCCAGCCACCCTAGCCACCCTAGCCACCCCAGCCACCCTAGCCACTCCGGCCACTTTAGCCACCGCAGCCACCCTAGCCACCCTAGCCACTCCAGCCACCCTAGCCACCCTAGCCACCCCAGCCACCCTAGCCACCCCAGCCACCCTAGCCACCCCAGCCACCCTAGCCACCCCAGCCACTCCAGCCACCCTAGCCTCTTTAGCCACCCTAGCCACTTTAGCCACCCTAGCCACTCCAGCCACCCCAGCCACCCCAGCCACTCCAACCACCCCAGCCACTCCAGCCATCCCAGCCATTCCAGCCACCACAAGTCACTCCAGCGACCCAAAGCGATGGTATTTCACATTTGCAGGAAGCCGCGGTGAGTCGCTCCCAGTTCACCCTTCAGTACAGTGCATTGCGCAATGCACGCAATTATCTCCATATATATTAAAGGCAAAGTTGTGAATGTGTGTCTGTTCAAAAATGTTAAGCGTACTTCCCAATATGCAACAAACTTGAAATGTGCCATGTGAGTACTTTCCCGACTGTACACCATGCACACATTATAAAAATACGCTGTTTTTTTGTTTTGGGGGGGGAGCTCAATAATGCTTTTATTTTCTGCACGGCGAGTGAGCTGTGACGTCAAATCTGTCACGTGACCCACACACGTGGAAGCGTAACACATTGTAGTGTAGTGGTTAGCGTGCCGTGTGTGTGTCTGTGTGTGTGTCTGTGTGTGTGTGGAAGCGTAACACATTGTAGTGTAGTGGTTAGCGTGCTGTGTGTGTGTCTGTGTGTGTCTGTCTGTGTGTGTGTCTGTGTGTGTGTGGAAGCGTAACACATTGTAGTGTAGTGGTTAGCGTGCTGTGTGTGTGTCTGTGTGTGTCTGTCTGTGTGTGTGTCTGTGTGTGTGTGGAAGCGTAACACATTGTAGTGTAGTGGTTAGCGCTACGCTGTGCTACGAACCCGGCGACCCGAGTTCGATTCCCGCTCACGGCCACCACCGGTGACGATTATTTTTATCGGTCCTGGGCCTCCCCTAGGTCGACTAAGCCTCAAACACGTAACTGCTGTGGTGTGAACATCGCCACTGGGGAGACAAAGGCGGCCGGGCGTGGTGAATCCAAGTCCCGGGCGAAGCCGGGTAGTTAAGCTAGTTATATATAATTTAGTCATCAGCTTATGTAACAAAACACAAAAAACGTCAAAAAATCCAGCGTGCGAGTTTCGTTCTACACGGAATTAATAAAAAACAATAATAACAAAGCAACAAGTGTAAATGGACACAAATTACCTATCGCGGTTACCGCGCAGGCTCCTGGACAGGTGCGACCGCTTGCCGCGCGTGACGAGTGCCCGCAGCGGGCGGCCTGCGGGCTGCTGATGAGCGGCGAGAGCGCGAAACCCGCCCGGCCCAGGGTCTCAGTGGAGGAGCGGAGACGGCGCGGGGCGGCACCTGCGGTGAGGTCGCCGTGGACGCCACGCGAGAAGGAGTTCCTCCAATCAGCCTCCTGCGTTGTGGTCACCCCCTCTCTCCCTCTCTTCCTCCTCCCTCCCTCTCTCCTCTCTCCCTCTCTCCCTCTCTCCTCCCTCCCCCCTCCACTCCCTCCTCCCTCCTCCCCCCTCCACTCCCTCCACTCCCTCCCCACCTCCTCCCTCTCTTCCCTCCCCCCTCCCTCCTCCTCCCCTCCCCCCTCCACCCCCTCCCTCTCTCCTCCCTCCTCCCTCTCTTCCTCCCTCCCCCCTCCCTCCCTCCTCCCCCCTCCACTCCCTCCTCCCTCCTCCCCCCTCCACTCCCTCCACTCCCTCCCCACCTCCTCCCTCTCTTCCCTCCCCCCTCCCTCCTCCTCCCCCTCCCCCCTCCACCCCCTCCCTCTCTCCTCCCTCCTCCCTCTCTTCCTCCCTCCCCCCTCCCTCCCTCCTCCCCTCTCCACTCCCTCCTCCCCCCTCCACTCCCTCCACCCTCCCTCCACTCCCTCCCCACCTCCTCCCTCTCTTCCCTCCCCCCTCCCTCCTCCTCCACTCCCCCCCTCCACCCCACCCTCCCTCCTCCCCTCCCTCCTCCCCTCCCACCCTCCCTCCTCCCCTCCCACCCTCTTTCTTCCCCTCCCTCCTTCCTCCTCCCACACCCGAACTCCCTTTAACGCGTCGGCTTTCGCGACCAGCATTACTCATAACAAATTAGCCCGTGTTTTGCAAAAGCAAAACATTAAAGTGAGATTTGGTACGGTACACAACATTCTAAAACTAGTGTCTTGTGCTAAAGATGAATTACCGAAGTTATCAACAGAAGGTGTATATCGGATCAATTGCTTATGTGGTAAGTGTTATATTGGACAGACGGGACGAAACATCAGCGTAAGACTAAAAGAACACCAAAGGAACATTAAATTATCTCAAACACAACTGTCAACAGTGGCAGAGCATGCTTGCCAACAAGGACATTCAATTGATTTTGATGCCGTTGAAGTGTTATGCAGAACTAATTATTACTGGCCAAGATTAGTTAGAGAATCAATTGAAATTGAGAAGAATTCAAATAATTTCAATCGCTTCGATAGCTCTTGATTCAGCGCAGCCTGGAAGCGTATTATGAAGTAATTCACAACACATTGCAAATCCTTACAGGTGTGAGTCACATGCTAAGTGGCTGATAACTCAGCTACTACTTAATTGCATACACCCCCCACCTCCGCCTCTGATCTCAACACCTGATGGAGATCAACAACGATGACGTCATCCTGCTGCTCTATTTAAGACCGGAAGCAGGTGGACGGCTTCAATAATCCGGCAAATCGCCCGATTATGCTGGATGTAATTACCAGCGAAACGCCGTACTCAAAATTGTAAATGTTGTGGATCCACTCTTCAACACACCGGTGGGATAAAGTAGTGAACTATTTGTCTTTTGTGAATGTGACACTTTTTTTATTGATTGGCCGTGTCGGGTGGTGGAGGGTTGCGACACATTTATAAATAACGCAATCTAACCTAAAAACCTTTATTATGAATCTCCCCCCTCCCTCCTCCCACAAAATTCTACCTCTGCTCCTGCGTGTGCCGCTGGACGGGAGGTGATGTGCGGGGCATGGCGATGTTATTGGCGTCGGCGACCGCGTCACGCTAGGCGTGGCTTGTAGGGGGTTTCCCTCCTTCGGGGAGCTGCGATCATTATTTGGATGAATTAACATAATCGACTAATCGTCCCGCCTGTGGTTATAACATTCGTCGAGTAAACTTGATTTGGCGCTTTCGTGACTGCAGGAATTACTCTTTGTTTTTTTCGGTAAAGTCACGTAGAAATAATAAAATGACATAATAGCGTACGACGTTTCGATTGCAACACAAGCAATCATCATCAGGTACAGAAGAGCTAAATTGAAGAGAGAGAGGAAACACATAACCGCAGATATATAGACGGAGGAGCACACTAAATCAAACGGGGTTTAGCAAAATTTGGAAACCATATAAAGCAACACAGACGGTCGGTCAAAACACAATTAACGCATGGTCTGGTTGATTACGCTATTTCATGTGTCTCTGTGCTAACTCGTTCTGCTTGGATGTCTATATATGTGTATGCGGTCCTTTTTCTATCACTCTCTTAAATTTCAGGGCATCGATGGAGAATTAACAGATTCAAGTCGTACAATGAAAACGAAACCACATCTACAGATCGCCTCCTCGCGATCTAAACACGGGAGAGAGCCTCTCAACTGAGAGACACCGCCCGAACACGTGGTGCTTGCAGTCAGACAACACTGCTCACGTGACTAAGGGTCATCACGATCTCCAAATCGCGGGGTCGAGGTCAACTCCGCTCATGGCTCCTCTGCAGGGGCAGCTCGAGACGAGCTGCTGCTGCTGCTGCCTTCAGCTGGCGCCTTGGGGGGGGGGGGGGGGCAAACCTCGCAATCAACTCCCAAACCCCGAGAGCAGAAATTAATGCCGAGGTTTTTTGGTCAACTGAGAAACATTTCCACCGCCCCTACTGTTTTCCGTTTAATGTTTTTGTAAGCGGATTTTTTTTTAAACAGAGGCATAATCATTCGGTTTGCCCGTCTGTCCAACCAATACATTCTCAGACATCTTGAGGAATTAATTAGACATCAGGTGTGAAAACCACAACAAGAAAATTTGAATGATTGCTTGTGTTACAGTCGAAACATCGTGATAATTTTATTGGTTTATATTTTTTATTATTTTATTGTTTCCCTTCTACGTGACTTTACCGAAAGAACCAAGAATATAAATCCCTGCAGTCACGAAAGCTTTCAATCAAAATTTAATTAGAATTCATATCCCCTCTGTACGTGCACGGGAATTGAAATGACATCTTTTTTTATTTTTTTTCCCTCGAAAGTTTTCACCCCCACGTCACTTGGCACCCGAGGTGACCCCCTAGTTCGGCTGTAAGGATGGGTCACCCCTGCTCCTCTGCTGGGTCGATAAAATAGTCACCACTTTCCTGCTTATGTCCTAATGACACACTGGTCACTTTGGCAACTTTCCACGGCTGGCTTAGGGCGACAGCATTTGTTTGAGCAATGGAGACATATTAACTTGTTAGTTTACTTCGAGAAAAGGAAACATTTAACTCTTTGGGTCTTTCGGTCAAGTCACGTAGATAGAAAAATAATAATAAAATCACGACGTTTCGATCGCAACACAAGCAAACTACAGTAGGCGGACTGCAGTCCTGCCTGCTGTATTTTTTCACTTGAAGACGATTGCTTGTGTTGCGATCGAAACGTCGTGACTTTTTTATTTTATTAATTTTCTATCTACGTGACTTTTCCGAAAGACCCAAAGAGTATGAATTATTGCAGTCACGAAAGCTTTAAGTCAAGATTTAAACATTAAACAATTTTAATATGTAGCCATGCATCTCGTTGACACAACTTTACCCTAAACTTCGCACCACGTGTGCACGTATGGCGCGGCATCTCCTGGGCCCTCTCACCTCGGGAGCTGCCCCCCTCCTGCAGCTGTGGGGTCAGAGGTTGAGTGGAGGACACATAGGCACTACATACATACTCACCACAACCACTACATATACACTATCCCTTCTTGAAGTATGCGTACAAATGCGTTGTTTTTTTCTTCTCTTCTTCAATCCCAAGATGCTGCACAACATCAGCAGCAAAAGCGGGAGACGTAGTGGTGAAGACGAGCGAGATGAAGGCAGCTGAGCGTCGTGACGCGTTCCTGGCCCAGGGGAGGCCCGCGAGGTGCCAGGCTGAGTGGCGACCGGGACCCGGGTTGAATCGTCCACCACCCTGGGTGCCATGGGGGGGGGGGTCTGGATATCTCCCACCTCCTCCATCCCCAAAAAACATTTTTTTAGATTCGACTAAGAGACACCCACAATAGTTTGTACAAAAACCATGGTATTTTTTGGAGTTCATGAGTGGGTTTTTTTTTCCCGCTTCTCGGTTTCGGGAAAAAGTGACAGAGGGCCGATGATGATGATGATTGTTCTGATGACGGGGACATTGGAATGTGGTGGAGCGGTCGTTTTCTTAGCCCAAAACCTCCTCCCCCTTGCACATCGACCAGGATGCGTCCGGGTAATAATTGCGGCACCGGTGGATTACTTCGTCGTGCTGTTCGGTTTCTTTGTTCAGCCCCAACGTTCAGCCGCGGAAATTGTTCTCATTTACAGCAACAAAAATTTGTTTCGATTTAAAGCTTTCGTGACTGCAGGGATTCATCTTCTTGGTTCTTTCGGTAAAGTCACGTAGAATGGAAACAAAGTAATAAAAATAAAACGTAATAAAATAAAATTCTCACGACGTTTCGGCCACAACACAAGTAGCCTTCTTCAGGTGAAGGAACAGAACTGTCGGGACGACAGCGCTTCAATGAATGCTGCTAAGATTCGCAGCGTATTTTAAGCTTAAAAGACGCTGACTTTACCGAAAGAACCAATAAGAAAATTTTGTTTATAAATATATATTTTTTATATATACGGAGCTGTTGCACGAACAGCGGGGTTCAGAACTGAGTGCTCTAGCCAGCTGTTGTTTATACTGTACCTATCATCACACAGGAATGTATGTCCTTAACGCTCGTGACGTCACTCCACATCGACCAACCCCCTCATTAATATTCATGAGCGGGTGATGTCACTCAATATGCAGTACTCCTCCCCGCTCACTAATAATCATGCGCAAGTGAGTCAACTCCACATCGAACAGCCCCCTCATTTCGATTTAAAGCTCATTAATAATCATGAGCAGGTGACGCCCAAATGGACACCCCCACCATTAATCATGAGCAGGTGACGTCACTCCACATGGAGCACCCTCCCCCCTCATTAATAATCATGAGCAGGTGACGTCACTCCACATAGAACAGGCCCCCTCATTAATAATTATAAGGTGACGTCCTCCAAATGGACCCCCCCCATTCATAATAATTAGCGGCTAACGTCACTCCACATGGGGGGCCGAGGCACCATCACTTTGGATAAACTCAAAGTGTTGTCGCATTGAAATTGGCAATTAGTTGGCACTCATTTGTTGCTGGCCCTGATTCAGTGATGTAA